AGCAATTTCTGAGTGCAGAGCCGGAGTATTGCCCAGGTATGGCCAAGAAATAATAAAACAAAACAAGCACAAGAAAGATTGTTAAGAGAAAAGACGAGCTTAGGTAGAGACTTAAAAGCTGATTGAGGCCAGGGCCAGAGCTATCCCTGCGCATTGAGCATCACCGGATGTGACCCTCCCCCCTTTTAAAAAAATAAGCTGATTGAGACTAGTGGAGGGTTTGTGTGATCTTTCCAGCAAGGTTATTTGTCTCTGAAAGTGGGAGATACATTTGGCAGGGGGGTTCCAGAATTTTCAGAAAAAAGAGGGAGAGGGAAGGTAGGTCAAAGGACAGAGACGTGCCAGAGCCCTGAGCACGGTCCTGGCACCGCATGGTCCCCAAGGGCTGTGAAGGAGTCCCTGAGAACTTCCCAGTGTGGCAGAGACAGACTGACAGAGTGGAGGGAGAGAGGAAGAGAAAGGGAGAGGGGAGAGAGAGAGAAAGACAGGGAGGGAGAGAGCTTCTCTCCTAGTCTCTAGGATGAAGTGGGCAAGTGGGAAGTCCTTGTCCCTCCCAAATCAGAAGAAACCCAAGGCAAAGATTTTCTGGGGGGTGGAGGCACACCCAGCAGTGCTCAGGGTTACTTTTCGCTCTGCAATCAGGAATTACTCATGGCGGGGTGCTCGGGGAGCATATGGACCTGTCAAGGCATGCCCCCTCCCCACTGTACTATCACTCAGTCCCAGTCAAAGTTATCTGACTGTTATCAGTCGTTCTTTTGGAATATAGAGGATTTGGGTGGTTCTCCAAAAGAAAGTCTCCTTGTAGAGTGGGAGAGTCCAGAGCAGAAGCGGGAAGCTTGAGACACGACCTCTGAGTGACCCGTCCTGGGGGCTAGGTGAGGCCACACATCAGAGTCATGCCGGGAACAGAGCAGAAGCCACTGGACTCATTGGGTTGGGTGAGCAGGACAGAGCAGGGCCACAGACACAGTAAGCAAACACCTAGTGAAATCTAAAGCAAAATCTGATCGTACCAAACATTACATAGGTCATCAGAAAAGACTTTTTGATGGGGGTATGGTGCCGCCAACAGGTCAATCTGTACCTGTGAGGCGAGTGCATCAGCAGCCTGATGGCGCCTTCAGACTTTCAGATACCCCAAAATTGCTGCTGTGCCTTTGGTCAGACCCCAAATATTTGGGGCAAAGTTTACCAAGAAAGTAAACGGCCAAAAGTTAGGTATGTGGGAGACATACCCACAAACCACCTCCAGCTCAGCTATATAATTGGAGGCATGGCCTCTCTGGTTCCTGATCGAACTGCTTAACAGCCATGATCCCAGAGACTCAGAAACAAATCTCAAAATCCAGCGGCAGAAATGTGTCCAGACCCCACAGTAGGTTACTGTCACCGGGCCACCCCAGGGGGAAAAGGGTGTTGTCCCTCCACCTGCTCCCCCTTGGCGGCTCTGTGGCTGCCATCCTCCAGAGGCCATTGGACAGTCAGGTTTGGGCCCTCAGTGAAGAGAAACGTGGGGTCTCACGGGATGGGGGCAGAGGTGGCCCTTTTCTCCCCGTCCCAATGAGACCCCAAGTCTCTGCCCACTAATGGTCACTCTGGCTCCTGATCAAGCTGCTTAATGGCCATGATCCAAGACACTCAAGAACAAATCTCAGAACCCCGCAGGTTTTGGCAGAAATCCCTCAAGATTTAATCATTAAAATTTCGGAATTTCAAAATCACGCAGCCACTACTGCGACCATGCGACATTACATGTTATTCATAACCAGGAATAGAAAACAAATTCTCTACCGTTGCCTTTTCAGCAGATCTGAGTGTTGGGGTAAAATCTCAAATAATAATGGTGGGTCTGTGTCAAAATATTGTATGTAATCAAAGTAGAGAGAGTAATGTGGAAATGGTCTGCCCCACAGGTAGGGGGGTGGGGGTATACTGGGGTTTTGGGGGGTGGAGAATGGGCACTGGTGAAGGTACAGGTGTTTCATTGTATGACCGAGACTTAAACCCGAAAGCTTTGTAACTGCTCTCACGGTGATTCAATAAATAAAATTATAAAAAATGAAAAAAAAAGTAAGGTGGAGTTCATGCCCAATTCAATCAGCTAATCAGTGGATAAATAAATAGCAGTACTCGGGGCTGAAGTGATAGCACAGCGAGTAAGGCGTTTGCCTTGCACGCAGCCAACATGGCTGACACAGGTTCGATTCCCAGCACCCCATATGGTCCCCTGAGCACCGCCAGGAGTGATTTCTGAGTGCATGAGCCAGGAGTAACCCCTGAACATCGCCGGGTGTGACCCAAAAAGAAAAAAAAAAAAGAAATAAGATCAAGGGGCTGGAGTGATAGCACAGTGGGTAGGGCATTTGCCTTGCACGCGGCCGACCCAGGTTCAATTCCCAGTATCCCATATGGTCCCCTGAGCACCGCCAGGAGCAATTCCTGAGTGCATGAGCCAGGAGTAACCCCTGCCTGAGCATCGCGGGGCGTGACCCAAAAAGCAAAAAAATAAAAATAAAAAAATAAAAAATAAATAGCAGTACTCCTACATAAAAAAAGGAAAAGAAAAGACTTTTTGGGAGGAGAAATAGGGGAGTGAAATGGTTTGATTTAGAGAGACACGAGAGAACATGGGGGTGGGGATGGTGGAGAGATGGGACGGGGTTCAGGTTCATGCTTTGCAGTCTGACCCTGGTTTGATGCCTGGCATGGCATATGTCCCCAAAGCACCACCAGCGGTCGCTCAGAGCCAGAAATACTCTGAGCACTGCTGTTAGTGGCCCCAACTGCCCCTCTCAAATAATCATCATCACTGGGGCCTGAGAGATCAATGACTGAGCACCTGCTTGGCGTGTAGGAAGGTTGGGTTCAGTGCCTGGCATCTAAGGTCTCTGAGTACCACCGAGGGTGACTCTTGGCAGAGCACAGAGTCAGGAGTAGCTCCTGAACATTGCTGGGTGTGTCCCAGAAACAAAACAATTATAATAATTGAAGCTGCCACCTTAGCACATCCTGGTGCCTGTCTTTGTTTTGGCTTTTTGTTTTTGGGTGGGGCTCAGGAACCTTAGGAGGTGCCAGGGATCGAACCTAGGTCAGCCTTGTGCAAAGCAAGTGCCTTCCCCACTGTATCATCACTCAGGCTCAGGGTTTATTTTTGTTGTTGTTGTTGTTTGGAGTGGGGAGCAGAGAGCAGGGAGAGCTTCACTGTAAGAGGCAAGAACCTGGGACTGGAGTGATAACACAGCGCGTAGGGCGTTTGCCTCGGACGTGGCCGACCCAGGTTCGATTCCCAGCATCCCATATGGTCCCTGAGCACCGCCAGGAGTAATTCCTGAGTGCAGAGCCAGGAGTAACCCCTGAGCATCGCTGGGTGTGACCCCAAAAAGCAAAAAAAAAAAAAAAAAAGAGGCAAGAACCTGAACCTCAGTGGTAGAGAGAAGCAGCTCGTGGCGTCATGTCTCTGAGAGTTGTTAGTTTTTGTTTTGTTTGGGGGCCATACCTGGCTGTGCTCAGAGCTGACACCAGACTCTGTGCTCTGGGATCACGAGACCATATGTGTTTCCAGGGATCAAACCCAGGTGGTCACGTGCCAGGACAGCGCCCTCCTGCCGTTCTATCATTCTGACTCCTTTTTGTTTCGTTTTCATCCCCAGGACCTCATGTGTGTAATACAGCTCTAGTCCAGAGCTGCTTCCCGGGCCCTGGGGCCTGTCTTTGGAGACCCAGGGGACCTTGCGTGAAGGAGCAGCAGAGGAAGGAGGCAGTCCAGCCTCTTGGTCCCCGGGGAGTCAGGAAAGAGGCTTCAGCCACATTCTGAAGACAGCTGAGAAGTGGGAGAGCTGCCTGCTCGGGGGGGCCCCTGGGGTGCTGCCCCCTTCAGGCCCACCACCCTGCACCCCAGTCTCAGAGCACCCCAGCCCTGGAGCCGGCGGCTGAGGGTCTCCCTGCACCTCTGCCAGCCCCGACAGCCAAAAGGCAGCAGCAGGAGTGGCCTCAGTGGGGCCGGGTGCCCTGGTCTCCTGGGTCTTGCCCGCGTCTACGGGGAACACCCTTGGCATTTTTCTCTCTTGACTCTGCTAATTGGCTCTGGCCCTGAATGCCAGCGCCTCCTTCCGCAGCCCTCACCCGGACTCAGGCAGGGCCCTCCAGCAGTGTCTGGGCTGGGACCCCTCTGGGTGCAGGCTGGGGTACCCAGCTGGTATGTGCCCCAGCAGGTTCTCACCTATCAGCCCTGACATCAGTCTGGAGCCTCGGACCTGCCCCGGGGAGGGGAAGCAGAGGCCTGGCCAGGGCCGCCTCTGGGGTGTCGGAGCTGGCCTGGCCTGCGGGGGGCGGGCAGGAGAGCTGCTGGCCCAGGCGGAGCAGGGAAGTCCAGCTCCCAGGAGGTGCTCTGAGATGTTTGGGGTGACCAATACTGCCTGGTCCTCTCCCACGCGGGGAGGGGCCAGAGCCAGGACAGCAGCTGGGCCGGCCCCTCAAAGGCATCTGGGCAGCACTCAGCCCGGCGCCTCCCAGGCCAGAGCAGCGGCCACTTGGCAACAGTAGCCTGGACACCACCTCGCTCCCTGCCGCTCTGGGTAAGCTGGCCCTGCCCTCCGGCTCGGGGGAGGAAGCTTTGCTCCTCCCTCAGCGGGCGCCTGGAGGGTCCCCCTGCCCGGGCACAGAGGGGCAGGGGCAGCTGTGCAGCCCTTTGGGGTCTGGTGGGGCGCTGACAGGTGCTTTCTGGGGGCTTCTCTCGCACCCCTGTCCCTGGCCAGGCCCTTGGGAGGCTGGGCCCAGGAGGGTCTCTCACTGCGGGGCCAGGGAGGGTCTGTCCCGGGCAGCCCGAAGCATCCCGCCTGCTCGGCCAATCCTGCTCGGCCCCTACCTCCTCCACAGCGCCAGTCTCCAAACCGGCCGAGCAGGTCGATGTTCTCTCTGCCACAGGGAAAGACCAGGCCTGGGAGCCCAGCTGCGTGGGTCTTGGGGGCCCAGGGACCCCAGGCCTCTCCCTCCCGCAGGGTCACCATGTCTGTAAGCGGCGCCGATGCAGCGACACCTCTGACCCAGGAGATCCTCCGTCACCTGGGCCTGGCCACCAAGGTAGGCACTGCCTGGCTGCGGGCACTGACCCAGACCAGCTCAGGGGAGGGGCTGTGGAGGGGCCTTTGGGGGAGACCCCCATGACCCTGTGCTCCCCAGACTGCTGCATGGGGGACTCTGGGGACCCTCAGGACCTTCCTGAGCTTCAGCGTGGACAAGGATGTGCAGAGACTACTGAAAGCCATCACGGGCCAAGGTGAGCGTGAGGCGAGTGCTGGGCCGAGGCACTGGGGACAGGGTGGGTGTCGGCAGGCTCAGCTCCCTGTTCCCCTGCGCCCCGTGCCTGTGGGCTCCGTGTCCTCCTCTCTCTCCCTGAGTGAGTCTTAGTGTTTCCACTTGGAAGATGAGAACTAGATTCAGAGAGGTGAAGACATCTGTCCAGGTCACACAGCTCGCTGTGGGGAAACTGGGATTTGACTCTAAATCTGTGAGGCCCGGCTTGGAGCAAGAGCACTGTGTGAAGGCGCTGACGTCACTGTGTCCCACCGGGCCCCATTCTCGGCACCCCAGAGTCCCCCGAGCATGCCAGGAGTGAGTGATCCCTGAATGTAGAACTAGGAGGAAGCCCCGAGCACCGCTGGACATGGCCCTCCCCAGCCCCACCTGTGAGCGCCAGACCACTGCATCTTCCACTGATAACGCAGACAAGTGGGGGTAGATGGCACTCCAGGCCTCCTGAGCTGTGACCTGTGACCCCTCTCTATGACCTGTGACCTCCCATCTCTGTGTGAACTGTGACTTCCCGTCTGTGGCCGGTGACTGCCCCTTCTCTTCTTTGCGACCACACGTGGTTGTGATGGGCCATAGTCGCGCCCCTCCTGCAGGGCTGGGGGTCACACGTCAGAGTTGCTCTGCCCACAGTGCTCACACATCTAGTGGCGCTTATCCATGAGGCTCCCGCCCTTACTCAGGAGGTCCTGAGCCCCAGGCACTGGGGGCCACCCGGGCAGCCCCGCACACGGCCCGATCCCATGCGCAGGTGTGGACTGCCACGCCATCGTGGACGTGCTGACCAACAGGAGCAGAGAGCAGAGGCTGCTCATTTCCCGAGCCTTCCAGGAGCGCACCCAGCAGGTGGGGCCCAACACTCTCCCTGTGCCCCTGCGGGCAGCCACGGCCGCGTGAAGTGGGGCTGGACGCGGGACAGAGGCTGCCGGCCCGTGATGACCCGCACCTGCAGTACCCTCCTGGGACCCTCGGTTGTAGGAGCTGCTGACGGCCCTGCAGGCGGCGCTGTCGGGGCCCCTGGAGAAGCTGGTGGTGGCACTGCTGCAGCCGGAGGTCCAGCTGGATGCCCAGGAACTGAGGACAGCCCTGAAGGTACCCAGCTGGGGCCCGGGGAAAGGCCTTCAGAGACGGGCCGGAGAGAGACAGCACAGCAGGGAGGGCGTCTGTCTTGCTCACAGCCCACCTGGAGTCCATCCTCCGCCCCTCATATGGTACCCCGAGCCCAGCAGGAATGATCCCTGAGTGCAGTCAGGAGTGGCCCCCGAGTACCGCCAGGTGTGGCCCAAACTAAACCGGAACCGCTGACTCCGAGAAGCAGATGTGTCCAGTGGCCAAGCCAGGCTGCCTCTGCCTCTGTGCTGGGGGCAGGCGTTGCTCCCGGCAGTGCTCAAGGGACCCCCAAGGTGCCAAAATCAAACCCAGGGCTTTTTGTGTGCCAGGCCCGTGCAGTCCGCTGAGCTCTCTGAACCCCATCTGCATTTGTTTTTTCTTTTTGGGTCCCACCCGGCGATGCACAGGGGTTACTTCTGGCTCTGCACTCAGGAGTTACTCCTGGCGGTGCTCAGGGGACCATATGGGATGCTGGGAATCAAACCCGGGTCGGCCGTGTGCAAGGCAAACGCCCTACCCGCTGTGCGATCGCTCCAGCCTCCCCATCTGCATTTCTTAAAGGACTCAGGCTCGGTCAAGGATGTGGCTGTAGAAATTCTTGCCACCCGAAGCCCAGCGCAGCTGCAGGAGTGCCTGGCTGTCTACAGACAAGGTGAGAGCCTGAACGAGGAGCCCGCAAGCTGGAGAGCGTCTGTCCCCTCCAGTCCTGGGTCCACTGGAGGCTCATCTGGGGACCTGTCTATCCCGTCCCCAGCTGTGTTCAGTCTCCCGGGGGAGAGGCTGAGGTGAGCATCGGGGAGTCGAGCTGTGATTAACCGTCTCAGCGGGCTCCGGGGAAGATGCCAGTAATGACACGGCTGGGCACTGTGTCCCCAGGGATCTGTGCCACCTTTATGGTGTCCTCAGCCCCGGGGCAGGGCAGGGAGTACCACGGGGGCCAACCTGAGTCACAGGTGGGGTGTCCCGTCTCAGGCCCCTGCGCACCCACTAATTGGTGATGAGCTGTTTCTCTTTCTCACTCTGGGGGGTTCACACCCCACATTGCTCAGAGGCGACTTCCTGCTTGCAGCTCACTCAGGTGGGGTTTGGGGTACCAATGGGATTCCGGAGACATACCTAGGCGGGCACCTCCGGGCAGAGCTGTCTCTCTGACCCTGTCCCGGGGGGTTCCATGGCTCCAAGCACGGTGGGGGACAGCAGAGCAAGGACCCTGGCATTCCTGCACCGGGATGACTGGGATTCAGGGACTCCCGCTCACCCTCCAGATTTCCAGGCTGAGGCTGAGGAGGACATCAGATCTGAAACCAGTGGCGTCCTGCGGGACTTGCTACTCATGCTGGCCAAGGTGAGGAAGGTCACACAAGGGAAGCGGCGCTGTGGGTGCGTGGAGGTCGGCCGTGTGGGCGCGGGGGGAAGGGACGGCCGTGTGGGTGCGTGGCGGGGGAGTGCCAAGGCTGCCTGGCGAGGTCCTGGCAGCTCCCCTCACAGCCTCCTCACAGACTTCATCCCCTAGGGTGGCCGGGACAGCTGCTCGGGCATCATCGACTATAACCTGATGGCACAGGACACCCAGGTGCGGGGCCTGCAGGGCGTGGTACTGGGGTGCACTCCTCCTCTGCACCCGCTTGTCCTCAGGCCTGTCCTGGAGGTGACATGATGACGGGGACATGCAGGTCAGGCGGAGGCATCTCTCCCCCGCCTGGCTTGTGACCTCGCAGGAAATGACCCTGATGTTCTCTCAGGGACATTGGGGGCCAGAACCAGGAGGGTTGGTTGGTTTGGTTTGGTTTTTTAGCTTGGAGGACACACCTACTGGTGCTCAAGGGTCACACCCGGCTCGGTGCTCAGGGATCCCAACTGGCAAACTCAGATGCCAGGGATCAAACCCAGGTCAGCTCAGTGCAAGGCCAGCGCCCTCCCTGCTGCCCTGCAGCTCCGCCCTCTTGTTCTGACCCTGAATTGCGCTTCCATCATCAGGGTAGGCCCTGGGAGCGTGTGCCCTGGTGAATCAGTGACTCTGCCTCACCCCTCCCTTCCAGGCACTCAGGCAGGCAGAGGCAGGCGACATGGGGGCAACGTGGGTCCCCATCTTCACGCAGCGAAGCGCGGAGCACCTTGTCCGAGGTACGCTCGGGCCTTCTCCGGGCCCAGCTCCACTGGTGACTGCGTGGGGCCCCTCCCAGCTCGATGCCAGGGTGATGCTGGGGATCACAGCTGGGGCCCCCACGTGCACAGTGCTCCGCCCTCGCCTATGAGAACAGCCCTTTCTCCAACCCCTGCATCCCCCCCCCCCACAGTGTTTGACCAATACCAGCAGCACGCTGGGCACGCGGTGGAGAGAACCATCCAGGACCGTTTCCAGGGTGCTGCACAGGCGGCCCTGCTGAGCCTCGGTAGGGGCTGGCGGGTGGGGGGCCAGGGCTCCTCACGGGGAGAGTGGCCGCACCTTCACCCTCACTCTTGCTTCCAGTCTTGGCCATCAGGAACACGCCGCTCTACTTTGCTGACAAGCTTCATCAGGCTCTGCAGGTGAGGGCGACACGCCTCCCCCCCTCTGAGCACACAGGCCGCAGGTGCCCCTGGCCAGAGAGGAAGGGCCCGCTGCAGCCCAGTGCCGCAACTCGCTGTCCGTTTCCGAACATCTTCTCAAGAACTGAGAGGCAGCACAGCAGGGAGGGCACTGGCTGAGCCGGGTCCCAGCCCTGGGCCTCTGAGTCCACCAGGAATGATCCCTGAGCACTGAGTCAGGAGTAAGCCCTGAGCACTGCTGGGTGTGGACCAACAGTTCCCTTCACAGGCCTTTCCCACCCCTTTCTGAGTCCTGACCTTAGGAGTGGCCTCCCTCTGCCCAGCACTGGGCCAGGGAAGGCTCGTGGAGTGAGAAGTCCAGCCTCCAGCTGCAACGCCCCCCTACACTGGTGCTGCTTTAGCTTCCTGACCCCCCCCCTAATGTGGGGTTCTCCTTTATTTTGGTTTTGGCCCAGTGGTGCTTAGAGTTGACTCCTGATTTTGAGTCCGGGATTACTCCTGGCACTGCTCAGGGGACCATATGAGATGTCGGGAATCCAAGTTGGGTTGGCCGCACGCAAGGCAAGCACCCTCCGGTGCTGTACTATCACTCCAGCCCCTAGAGTCCTCAATTTCCTCGACTCTAACCTTACCAAATAATTCATTTCACTCTGAGAATCTTCCCCCCCCCACCCCCACTCCCCGCCTCTCCCAGGAACCCGAGCCCAGTTTCCAGGCACTCACCCGCATTCTGGTGTCCAGGAGCGAGACTGACCTTCTCAGCATCAGGGCTGAGTTCAGAAGGAGATTCGGCAAGTCTCTGTACTCTTCCATCCAGGTGAGGACTCACTCCGAGTGGGTCTCCCGCCCCCCGCACTGCCTGGGCTGGAGAAAGGCCTGGCCCTGGGGAAGCCCAAAGTTCCTGGAGTGAGGGGGCTTCGGCCATAGAAAGTTCTGGGTAAGCACGAGGCAGGCAGGAGCATCTGAGCTGTGGTATTCAGGGGCTTCCCAATTCACTCTTTTTGGTTTTTTCTTTCATAAACAAGGTACTGTTTATTTTAATTTTGTTTTTTTGAGTCACACGTAGCAATGCTCAGGGCTTACTCCTGTCAGGCTCAGGTACGGAGGACCATATGGGATGCCAGGGATCAAACTGCATCAAAGTTTGATCAAGGCAAGGGAAGCACCCTCCCCGTTGTACTATCACTCCAGCCCTGAGGTATTTTGTACTGAATGAAGCCGTGCTTAGAAAGATGTGGAGGAGAGAGAAAGCAGGGAAATATTCAAGAAAGAACATGGGGGGGGGGGGCTGGAGCAATAGCACAGTGGGGAGGGCATTTGCCTTGCACGCGGCTGACCCGGGTTCGATTCCCAGCATCCCATATGATCCCCTGAGCACCGCCAGGAGTGATTCCTGAGTGCAGAGCCAGGAGTAACCCCTGTGCATCGCCAGGTGTGACCCAAAAAGCAAAAAAAAAAAAAAAAAAAAAAAAGGACATGGGCTTCTACAGAGTAGAAATAACTGAGCAAAGAAACAGACCACAATCAAGACACACTCCGGGGCGGACACAGGCTCGAGGGGCCAGTCCCTGACTCACTCTTGACTCTGTTGGCAGGACGCTGTGACAGGGGACTGCCGGTCAGCGCTGCTCGGCCTGTGCAGGGCAGAAGACATGTGAGGCACCTGCCTGCTTCTCCGAGCTGCAGGAGCCAGGCTGGGGTCCCACTGGACAGCCCCTGAGGACCACATTGTACCTCTGTCCCCCACTGGCTCTCTTGGGCCTCTTGTGGCTTCTGCCCTGTCCTTCCTCCTGCTCTCTGACCGCAATATCTCACTGATTCCTGAATGATTCTGGCCGGTGTCTCTGCTGACCTTGGGGTGGGGCAGGAAACTGCAGAGACCTTTGATGTGTGCCTGGCCAGCCTGCCCACAGGAAGCCCTGGCCCAGCTCCAGCGAGCAGCGCTTTCCCCTACAGCCCCTCTCTCTCTCTGTGTCCCTCGTTATTTTCTCTTCCCCAGGAAGTAGTGAGAAACAGGTCGCAAAGCACTACCAGTGGGGGTGGCACGGGGAGTGGGCAGACGACCAACTGTGCAGAACCCTCCAGATGCATCATTCCTAAGAGGTTTGTTTTCTGTTTGGTTTTGAGCCACACCTGGCAGTGCCCAGGGCTTACTCCTGGCCGGCTCAAGGGATCATCTGGGTGCTGGGAACAAACCCAGGTCAGCCATGAACGGCAAACGCCTGTCCCACCGTACTAACTCCCTAGCCCCAGAGAAAGGGTTTGGAAAACCATTTGTCTGGTTAGTCTGTGTTTTCTGGGAAAAGCCTAGAAAAAGCAGATCAGCGCAAACAACGGGGAGATGCAGACGTGGTCCTGTCCCCCTGCCGGCTCCATCAGAAATGACAGGCCCCCCTCCGAGTTTCCTCAAGGTCAAATACTTCACCTTGTGGCCGCAGGGCAGGCAGATCGCAGAGCTCAGGAAAAAAGATTTTATTTCCAAACCCAGGGCAGACTTTACAAACAAGGGAGCTAGAAACCCAACGCCGACCTGGAAATCAACAGCTGGCGGGGAAACGGCGAGACCTCGCCCAAGCCTGAGATCAGTGTGAGGATTCAGGGCAAGGGGCCTCACCCCACCCCCAGGGTCTCCCTGGGTGGCCGGGAGGAAAGGCAGCAGCATGAGAGGGCAAAGACACCCACGAGCCTGACCTTGGCTCTTACGGCTCCGACCCCAACGGGCCGTAAATAAGTGACCGGGCCAGAGTCGGGGAGTCTCTGGCAGTGGCCTGGCCCAGGGGGGTTATAAGAGAACACAGTCCAGCTCCTGCTTCGGCCTCTGCCGACGCTCCCCAGTGGCTGGGCGTCCCGACGCGGCTCCACGGCCCTGCAGGCCACAGAATCATTGGTCACCCACAGGGAAGAGCAGGGACAGGATTGGAGACCCAGGCCCAACCGCTTCCGGGCATATGGGGAGAGACGGAAAGAAAGGGCTGGGACAGAGAGACAGCGCAGTGGGTGACCCACGTTTGATCCCCAGCACCCATATGGACCTAAGCCCTGCTGGGAGTGATCTCTGAGCACCACTGGGTGTCGCCCAAAGCGGAAAAAAAAAAGGAGGGAGGGAGGGTGGAAGAAAGGAAGGAAGGAAGGGGTCAGAGAGACAGTAAGTGGGTAGGGCGCTCACTTTGCATGTGGCTGACTGGGACTGAATCCCAGCACCGCCAGGAAGTGACTCCTGAGTGCAGAACCAGGATACCCTGAGTATCTCCAGCTGTGGCCCCAAAACAAAAAAAGAAAGAAAGAAAGAGGGAGGGAGAGAGAGGGAGGGATGGAGGAAGGAAGGAAGGAAGGAAGGAAGGAAGGAAGGAAGGAAGGAAGAAGGAAGGAGGGAGGGAGGGAGGGCGGAAAAAAGGAAGGAAGGAAGGAATAAGGAAGGAAGGAAGGAAGGAAGGAAGGAAGGAAGGAAGGAGGGAGAGAGGGAGGAAAGAAGGAAGGAAGGAAGGAAGGAAGGAAGGAATAAGGGAGGAAGGAAGGAAGGAAGGAAGGAAGGAAGGAAAGAAGGAAGGAGGGAGAGAGGGAGGAAAGAAGGAAGGAAGGAAGGAAGGAAGGAAGGAAGGAAGGAAGGAAGGAAGAAGGAAGGAGGAAGGAGGGAGGGAGGGAGGGTGGAAAAAAGTAAGGAAGGAAGGAAGGAAGGAGGGAGAGAGGGAGGAAAGAAGGAAGGAAGGAAGGAGGGAGAGAGGGAGGAAAGAAGGAAGGAAGGAAGGAGGGAGAGAGGGAGGAAAGAAGGAAGGAAGGAAGGAAGGAATAAGGGAGGAAGGAAGGAAGGAAGGAAGGAGGGAGGCAGGGAGGGTGGAAAAAAGGAAGGAAGGAAGGAAGGAAGGAATAAGGGAGGAAGGAAGGAAGGAAGGAAGGAAGGAAGGAGGGAGGCAGGGAGGGAGGGAAGGAAGGAGGGAGGCAGGGAGGGCGGAAAAAAGGAAGGAAGGAAGGAAGGAAGGAATAAGGGAGGAAGGAAGGAAGGAAGGAAGGAAGGAAGGAAGAGGGAGGAAGGAAGGAAGGAAGGAAGGAAGGAAGGAGAGCAGGCAGAGGGAAAAAAAGAGGAAGGGAAGGAGGGAGGGAAGGAGGGAAGAGAGAAGGAAGGAAGAAGGGAGAGCAGGCAGGCTCCAGGGCAGGACACGCCCCGGCAACCCTTAAGGTGGCGCTGCAGGTGCCAGCGGTGCGCCCTGGCCCGACACAGGGCGCATCACCCACCTGCGGCCGCTCGTACTCCCGTTGCTGCAGCTGCTGCGCCAGCTCCAGGTCGCTAAGTCCCCGCACGCCCGGCTGCAGGGACAGGGCCATCAGGTAGTCCTGGGGGCGGGAGGGGCCACGAGGTGTTGGGGGGCGCCGACCCTGAAACCGACCCCAGATCCGGAGAGAGTCGGTGCTGGGAGGGGCCAGGCCGGGTGCCCGAACCTTCCAAGCCGGTTTCTCCTACAAATCCGCCAGCCTGATTAATCGAGGTCACACACGGGGCAGGGGTGGCCAGAGGGATGGTGCTCAGGGCTGAGCCCATCCTCCGTGCCCAGGTCACGGAACCGTCACTGAGCACCATCTCTGCAGCCTTGGAAACAAGCCTCGGGACAGAGGAAGGGGCGTGGGGGCAGCACGACGGGGTCCCCGCATCACAAAATACTCACGTGCCTCGGACACAGTGCTCTTTTGGCCAGAGTGATTGTACAGTGGGTTTTGATCCCCCGCCACACACAGGGTCCCTAACCCCTCCAGGAGCACAGGGCCAAGAGTGACCCCTGAGCACTGTTGGGAGTGGCCCAAACCCAAAACCCAAAGTGCTCTCTGCACCCACTGAAGCCCCACGCACCTGCCCACTCACACCTGCCCACTTATACCTCCCTCCCTGTGCACCTGCCCCACACACGTCTCCACGCACCGCCTACTCACACCTGCCGCCACGTACCTGTCCCCTACACCTGCCCACTCATACCGGCCCCTCACACCTGCTCCACACCCTCCCCCACAATATAAGTACACCTGCCCCACGCACCTGTCCCCACTTCTTTTTTTTTGTTTGTTTTTGGGTTTTTTTTTTTGCTTTTTGGGTCACACCTGGCGATGCACAGGGATTACTCCTGGCTCTGCACTCAGGAGTTACTCCTGGCGGTGCTCAGGGGACCACATGGGATGCTGGGAATCGAACCTGGGTCGGACGCGTGCAAGGCAAACACCCTACCCACTGTGCTGTCGCTCCAGCCCCTGTCCCCACTTCTTATCTGCCTTTTTTTTTTTTTGCTTTTTGGGTCACACCCAGCAACGCTCAGGGGTTACTCCTGGCTCATGCACTCAGGAATCACCCCTGGCGGTGCTCGGGGGACCATATGGGATGCTGGGGGTCGGACCCGGGTCGGCCGCGTGCAAGGCAGATGCCCTACCCGCTGTGCTGTCGCTCCAGCCCACATCTGCCTCATTTACCTGGTCCACCTGCCGCTGCTTTGCAGGGGAGCCGCGCCCTCTGTGGACCCCAGGCTCCTGGCAGAGGGAGGGGCTGAGGTGGAACTCGGCGTCACAGAAGCAGCTGTCCCCGTCCACGTTGTGCAGACTCTCCCACACTACTTGCTCCTCCTGCAGGAAGCCCTGATCAGTGACCAGCAGGTACAGGTGACTCTGGGCGGAGAACAGAGCCAGGGTCAGGTCTGCAGCCGGGCAGGAGAGCGGTCGGGGAGGCGGGGAGGCGCGGGCAGAGGGGGAAGCGGGCAGGCGCTCAGCTGGCTGTGCGCGGCTGCTGTGGGGTCTGCGTGGCAGGGTCTCAGGACGTGGGCTCAGCGGCTAGAATGCTCGAGCCTTCGCCATGGCCTTCTTTCTTTCTTTGGATTTTTGGACCACGCACAGCAGTGCTCAGTGCTCAGTGCTCCACTCCTAGCAGTGCTCAGGAACCCACATGAGGTGCGAGGGATCAAACCCGAGTGGGCCGTGTGTCCTGCTGTCCTATCGCTCCAGCCCCACCCGGCAGTTTCTGACTCAGAAGGTCACAGTGCTGTTCAATAGCGATACCGCCCTTTCCTGTGTGAGGACTTTCTGTTCTTGGGTAACACCTCAGTGGCTCATTCCCCCCAGCACCTCTGGCCAAGGAGCCCCCTGTCCTTCGGGCCCGGTCCACATGGGGCGGGGCTGCTGGGTCAGCGGGTTGGTGCCCGCTGGGGCTCAGTTCCACTGCTTCATCCTGGGACCGAATGCTGACCCAGAAGCAAAGTCCCAGAGGTGCTAGCCCCGTTCACCTTGTGCTTGGTCATGGTGCTGAAGTGGTTGTTCCGGAAGAAGACGCTGAGCTCGCCCTCCTTGGCGGCTGCGGTCAGCTCACACAGGCCATGGTAGGTCAGCTGGGCTGCCGTGGCCTCCAGGAACTGCTCCGCGATCAGGCCTCATGGGGAAACACAGTGAGAGGTCTTGGTTTCTCAAAGTCTGCAGCAGGGAAGTCAGACCCTGTCCAGAGCCGTGGGGAGGGTCCATGCACCTGCCTGGGTTCGGACCCTCCTAGCAGACGGCCCCAGGTGCTGCCTGCGGCTCCCTGCCACATCCTGAACCCACACACTAAACTGCCGCCCAACGGGCCGAGAACCACCCCGAGTGGCCCTGACCATGTGGAAGGCCCCCAAATGAAACGAAAATGGGTTGGACCGATAGTCCAAGAGAAGAGGGATTCTGCCTCGACAGGCCCACCCCGGCTTGTCATCTGGCACCCCAAAAGGTCCCCTGCGCCCCACCAGGAGGAATCCCTGGGCATCAGCAGGTGTGGCCCAAACACCAAACAGAAGGACATACAAAAGCCCTAGAGGGTCAATCCCGCTCTGAAGCCTTCATGGTCACTCACGGACCTTCATGCCAGCTGGGAGCTAAGCCTGGGGGGACGGGAGCGTCCAGAGACCCAAAGGTCTCACAAATGTCCTTTCCAGTGGGCAAGGGGAGCAGAGCCAGTGGCCAGCTGCCACTGTCCCTTCACAGAGGCCTCAGGAGAGTAGGGCAGGGAGTCATCACCTTCCATCACCTCATTGCTGTCACTAGAGTGCTTGTAGGTGATGATCTTCTCCACCAGCTGATTGTAACTCAGTTTCCCCACCATGCTCGTGGCCTCAGGACTCTGCATGGGCAGGGGTGGGGCCTTTTAGGAAGGGAATGAATCAAACTCCCAGCACTCATCAGATCCTTCCGGAAGTCCTGGGGTCTGTTTGTGAAAGACTCTCCCCACCCCACCCCCAAGGTGACCGGAAGAACTCTGCTCGCCTGGACCTTAATCTCCCCGACACGTGCTGTATCCTCCTTCCCTCCCTCTGTGCACCCTGCCCGCTGCTGACTCGGGGCTGGTCCCTCACCTGCGGGTCCACCAGCCAGCCATGGTACAGGGGCACGCCCAGCAGGTCGAAGATGCTGCACTCGGGCGTGTACTCAAAATCAGACACGCCCGTGAACCGCACGTTGACATCCAGCCCCGTGGCGAGTTTAGGCAACACCGACACAGCGTCATCCATGTTCTGGGTGGAAGGAAGAAGACGGCTGTGGGTTAGGATGCGGCTAGGGCAGCTTGCAGGCTCGCCTGCGGGAGACCTTGGGGGTAAACCCTGGCACACGGAAAGCAGTTTCTTGAAAACAAAAGGAAAAGGAGGTGGGGGCCAGAGTGATACTCCAGTGTGGAAGGCACTTGCCTTGCGTGTGGCCCACCCTGCCTTTGTTCCCTAGGCTCAATCCCCGGTACCCCACAGGTACCGTGAGCTCACCAGGAGCAATTCCCTTCATTTGTTTTCCGGTCACACAGAAAAGCTACCTAGGACTTACTCCTGGCTCTGCACTCAGGGGTCACTCGTGGTAACGCTCAAGGGAGTGCTGGGGTTCGAACCCGGGTCGGCCGCGTGGACGGCAAGCGCCCTCACTGCTTCTAGGAGCGGTCCCTGATCCAGGAGAAAGCTTGAGCGCCACTGGGTGTGGCCCAAAAGTTGGGGGGAGGGGGGAAACCCCAGAAAGAAAAGGGTGCCAGTATCAAATCAATACACACTCTATTTGGCTGTGCTTGGGGGTGGGTCCCCGGATACCAGAGAGTGAATGGGCTTCTGATGTACACAGCCCGTGCTTATCCAGGTGGATTCTTTCTGGTCGATGAAGCTCACGGTGCTGCCTATCAATTGTACCACAGTCAAGTCAGGAGTCGGGGGAGGAGAGAATTGGCTACCGTGGCCTTCTCTCCCCTGCTCCACTGGAGTTCCAGAAATATGGAAACTGGAGCAGCAGCACAGCAGTGAGGACTTATCTTGCATGTGGCTGACCCAGGTTTAATCCCCGGCACCCCATAAGCTTCCCTCAGCCCACCGGGACTGATCCCTGAGAACCACCAGGTGTGACCCAAAGCCAAAAATAAAACATATTTCAAAAATCTTATTGCTGGTTCTCTTAAAAGCCACGGGGAGAGATGAAATAGTGGGTGGGTGGGGCTGGAAGCAGCTCAAAGAAAAATAAAGTTCACGCTTTGTATAAAGGGGCCCCAGTTCTGATTCCCAGCACCGCTCACCAGTACTGCTGGTTCTTTTCCCCGTCACTGCTATTCCCCTTCAAAAAGAAAATCCTGAGTCTGTTCCAGGCACTAGGCAGGAGAATGTGTTGGTTTGCATGTTTGATGGTTGCCTCACCTCCTGACACACACACACACACACACACACACACACACACACACACACACAGAGCAGTTCCATTTAGGCCTTGCCATCCTTGTGAGGGAAGAAATCACCAAAAACGTCGTGTAAGCTGCCTTGCATGTGTCTAACCTGTGTTCAATCTCCAGCACCACTGGGAGAGACCCCTGAATACACAGTAACCCCCCAGCACTGTCAGGTGTAGGCCCCCACCAGAAAGAGAGCAAGGAAGAAAGAAAGAAAAGAAAAGAAAAGAAAAAGAAAGAAAGAAAGAAAGAAAGAAAGAAAACGGAAGAGAGAACTTGCAGTTTAGACTTTAGACACCCGTTAGGACTGGAGAGAGGATGGGGGTTAAGGTTTTGCTTTTCATACAGAGCTGAGTCTGGTACGATCCTCAGCCCACCTGGTTCCTTGAGCACTGACCCCAAGCATCACAGGAGATGGCCCAACACCTCCCCATGTCCCCAAGTCCTTTTTAAGAGGCAGCAGAAAGACGTAACAAGAGTCTGGGTCTCCCACTTCCAACCCTGTGCGCGCCCGTGTCTGCAGACCTTTGCCTTACCTGCTGAAAATTAAGCTGAAGTCCCTCCAACTTCTCCTGGGACTTGACTGACAGGAGGCAGTCTCCTGGGAAACACAGTTTGCATATGCTTACCCCTCTCTTCTCCCCAGGCCTCCGCTGCTTCCCCTGGGTAACGGGGAGTCGTGGCCTAGCTTTCAGAGCTAGAAGGGGCTCTGGGAACTGAGCCAAACCTTCATTTCTCAGTGGCTTGGGAAGGCCTCAGGCAGAGCCGGGTTATAATCAGGACCCCTCATGCCTTGGCTCTGCATGTGTGTTTTGGGTCATACCAAGTGATGCTCAGGGCTTACCCCTGGCCTTCTGCTCAGGGATCACTCCTGAGAGGGCTTGGGAGACCGCTGGGGTTCTGGGAACTGAGCTCAGGAAGGCTGCATGTGAGGTAAGCTCCCACTCCAGGCGCTCAAAGCCCTCGCTCAGTCCTCATTCCCCGACACTTGACCCTCCGACCACTGAGAGCCCAAGGTGGCCTCCCGTCCCTCCTGGCTTTCCGGCTAAGGAGCGACTCCTGTGCCTTCCCGTTGCCCCTCCAGGCCCCGGCCCTCACCCAGGTGAGCCAGGAGCTCCTCAGACGTGATCACTTCCTTCTGCGGGGGCAGCTTCACCTGCAGGCAGGGACAGCGAGCAAGGGGTTAGCCATGTGGGGGCACGGGGGCGCAGTCCTCCCTCCTGGAGCACGGGGAGCCCCAGGACAACGGGCAGAGTGTTGTGCAAAAAAGGAGGGCAGAAGCAGAGCAGAGCTGCTAATGTGAAATGCTGTGAGGTTCTCTCACGACGGGCCCGAGTGAGAGAACAGAGGGGAGGGCACCTGCCGTACAAAAGGGAGGCCTAGGCTGGATCCCTGACACCCTGGTCCCTGGTCCTCCACGCTCCACCAGGAGTGATCCCTGAGCGAAGAGCCCAGAGTGGGGCTGGAGTGATAGCACAGCGGGTAGGGCGTTTGCCTTGCACGCGGCCGACCCGGGTTCGACTCCCAGCATCCCACATGGTCCCCTGAGCACCGCCAGGAGTAACTCCTGAGTGCAGAGCCAGGAGTAACCCCTGTGCATCACCGGGTGTGACCCAAAAATAAAAAAAAAATTAAAAAAAAAGAGAGTCGAATGTTGGGCTGGAGTGATTGCACAGCAGGTAGGGCATTTGCCTTGCACGCGGCCGACCCGGGTTCGATTCCCAGCATCCCATATGGTCCCCTGAGCACCGCCGGGGGTAATTCCTGAGCGCAGAGCCAGGAGTAACCCCTGTGCATCGCCGGGTGTGACCCAAAAAGGAAAAAAAAAAAAGCCCAGAATAATCCCAGAGCACTGTCAGGTATTGCCCCAAAGCAAAAAGGCTCTCACTGGCCAGGGGCTGGGGGCAGGGGAGGATAGGCCATTGCTTTTGGGGGGGTTTGGTTGTGGATTTTGAGACACAACCAAATTCTATCAGTGCTCAGGAGCTGCCCCCATCAATGTCAGGAACCATGAGGCGCTGAGGATGGAACCTGGAGGTCCACACTCAGTGCATGAATCCAGCTTTGTTTTGCATTATTTTTTAACTTTTTTGGGTCACACCCGGCGAGGCACAGGGGTTCCTCCTGGCTCTGTACTCAGGAGTTACTCCTGGCGGTGCTCGGGGGACCATATGGGATGCTGGGAATCGAACCCGGGTTGGCCGTGTGCAAGGCAAACGCCCTACCCGCTGTGCTATGGCTCCAGCCCATTTTGCAATTTTTTTTTTGGGGGGGGACCATGCTCAGGGTCACTCTGGCTCTGCGCTCAGGAATCACTCCTGGCAGAACCCAGGGGGCCATGTGGGATGCCCCGTTGTTTTGTTTTTTTCATGGTGCCAGGGAGTGAATTCTGGACCTCACCAGACTGGAGCTCTACTGCCCCACTGTTCTGTCTTTAGGGACGTCTCTCCTCCCCCACGAAAGCTGAGGAGACAGGGAGAATGACTTGGAGAGTCTGCTGGTCTGTGAGAATCGGGACAGCCACAGGGACTGGTGCTCCCCAGTGTTCTCAGCCCCCACCTGGACCCTCTCACCTTCCACTGGAGGAAGAGAATGTTCATGATGGCCAGGAGGGGGCAAGGACCGTTAGCATTCTGGGTGATGATGGGCGTCCACTCTCCCTTCCAGGGGATCCACTTCACACAGTAGAAATCCAGCTTGGGTCGTACCCTGGGCCGCGGAGGCAGCTCCTGGGGCCTGGTGCGCGCCCCCTCCATCTCTACGTCCAGCTTCAGCTCCTGGGCCAGCCCCTGGGCCAGCCTCTCTGGGCTGACGCTAGCATCGGACAGAGGGGACTCGAGGTTCTCTGGGCTGGGGGCTGGCAGCGAAGCCAGGTCTGCTGGCTCCTGTCGGTCTGCCCTGGCCGGCGCCCCATCAGCCTTGGCACTATCCTTGTTCTGAGGAAGCTCGGCAGGTAATGATAGACCTTCGTGGCTGGCAGCTTTTGATCCCTCTGAAGGCCTGGCCTTTCCAGTGGCTGGACACTCGTCCTGGTGGCGCTCCATGGCCTGAGGGGCTCCAAAGGACTTTTCTGGCCCCAGGACTTAGCCACTCTACTGCCTGGCACAGCCAAAGAGGAAGCAATCGAATAAGAGGGAAATCAGTGGACTGGAAAACACACAAAAAAGGGACTTGGGACAGGCCGTATGTGGAGACCGAGCCACGGGGATTCAGTCCATGTGTCTCCCTGGATGGGCCTCCTTTCATCTGACTTGCTGAGGACAGATGGAACCCGCAGGTACAGTACTGTAGTCAGCGTTTCTGAAACAGAAAAAATAGGAAGTGGAGAGAAGACAGAAAGGGGGAGGAGAGGAGAAAGGCAGAGGGGGAAGGAAATGAAGAAAGAAGTGTTAAAATGGTGCTAACGGAGGCCCAGAGTGATGGGGGGGGGGCATTTGTCTTGCATGTGGCCCAACCAGGTTCGATCCCAGGAATCCCGTGTGTCCACCGAACCCACTAGGTGTGATTCCTGAATGCAGAGCCAGAAGAAAGCCCTGAGCACCAGTGGGTGTCTCTCAAAAACAACCCAAAAACCTGATGCTAATGGCCTTAAATGCAGGACCTTTGGCTCACAGGCTAGTAACAGGCCTCCGGAGCCCCCATCATAGATGGGAACGGGTAAGCCTTCTGCCCGCTCTGGGGCTGCTCTGTGATTCTGGGCACTCGCGGGTGGCTGGTGCCCGTCGCTACCTCCTGCCACCCCGAGAGTGAGAAAATGAACATCACTCAATGCTTGGGGTAAGCGTGGGAAGGCAGCCCGTGTCAGCCCCTGAAGACCAAACCCTGTGGGAAGGGAAGTCTTTCTCCTCAAAGACTCACTCGGGGGCTGGAGCAATAGCACAGCGGGTAGGGCGTTTGCCTTGCATGCGGCCGACCCGGGTTCAATTCCCAGCATCCCATAGGGTCCCCTGAGCACCGCCAGGGGTAATTCCTGAGCGCAGTGCCTGGAGGAACCCCTGTGCATCGCCAGGTGTGACTCAAAAACAAACAAAAACAAAAAGGCTGGTTCTTTAAATGATCGTGCTCATTTTCAGGATATAAAGAAACAAAATAGGGGAAAAAAAGTAAGCGTATAAGTAATGTCCAAAGGCAGGAGAACTGGTCCTTGGTGAGAAGCCTGACAGTGGGTGGGGGATGGACAGGTCAGGGAAGGGGTCACTATGACAATAATAGAGGAAGTGGTCACTCTGGACCAGGTCTGGGTGCTGAAAGAAGGGAAGGTGACATGTGTGATATTCTATCTGTAACAGCAGGGGAAAACACAGTGCCTTAAAGGGGAGGAATAAAGAACAAATATGACTGCCATAGAGGCAGGCGGGGGCAGGAGACACCGGTGATGAGATGGGCGCTAGAACACTCCTGAAACTTAGTCATAAACAACTTTGTAATTCACAGTGATTCAATTAAAAAAAAAAAAAGGCTGGTTCCATAGGTAACTCAAATTAGAGTCATAAAACCACTCTTCCCAACCCCCAAATCCCTCGAGAGCTGAAATTGAGATTCTAGCTTCTCACTTCATCTGCTCCCAAATTTGACTAAACCAGCAACGTTCTCTTGCCCACTATTTAAACACAACGAGAGAAAATGCTGATTATCGATTCCCATGAAACAAAACAAAACAAAACTCCCTCGTACACTCACCTTTTGCTCTCTTTGCTTTTGGGTCCTTTTAGATGAGAACACTTGGACCTGTTTAACCTGTTTTCTCTGAGAGCTAGCATGGAGCCCCAGAGAGAGATTTCATCAACACTGGGTTAGTCAGTGAGGAAAAGCCCAAACCCAGCCCTCTGGCAGCTTCTCTCTGACCTCTTGCACTCTCCAAGAGTGGTGGGCCCCTCTGATCTCCCCTTTACTCCGGGGCCAAACTAAACGTGTCTGAACACAAGTCTTTTCTCCAAGTGCCCCCTAAGCCCAGACCGTGTTCCTTTCTTGAGAACTGTTTGGCATTAAGAGCTGGGGAAAGGTGAGAGAGTTTGGGGAATCCTGTCTGCCATGGAGGCAGGGGAGGGTGGGAAAGGGGGAGGGTACACCGGGGATACTGGTGGTGGGGGACGTGCACTGGTGGAGGGATGGGTGTTTGATCATTGTGTGACTGTAACCCAGACATGAAAGTCTGTAACTATATATCACAGTGAATCAATAAAATTAAAAAAAAAAAAAAACTACTTTTGGGCTGGAGCAATAGCACAGCGGGTCGGGCGTTTGCCTTGAACGGCGGCCGACCTGGGTTCGATTCCCAGCATCCCATAGGGTCCCCTGAGCACCACCAGGAGTAACTCCTGAGTGCAGAGCCAGGAGTAACCCCTGTGCATTGCCGGGTGTGCCCCCCCCCCAAAAAAAAGCAAAAATAAATAAATAAATAAAGCTTCGGATTTGTTTAAAAAAACAAAAACTACTTTCATCATTAAAACAAATTGAAAACAGGGGCTGGAGCGATAGCACAGCGGGTAGGGCGTTTGCCTTGCACGCGACCCACCCGGGTTCGATTCCCAGCATCCCATATGATCCCCTGAGCACCGCCAGGAGTAACTCCTGAGGGCATGAGCCAGGAGTAACCCCTGTGCATGGCCAGGTGTGACTCAAAAAGCAAAAACAAAACAAAACAACAACAACAAAAAAACAAATTGAAAACTTAAAAAAAAAAAAAGAGCTGGGGAAAGGTCTGGGAGATGAAGCTGAAGAACATGAAAGTGACAAAAATAGGTCTAGTCTCCCAAATGGATCATCATCATCCTGATTCGCATAGTTTTAATGTTATTGATTTATTTTTGTGGGGGTCACGCACAGGGGTGCTCAGGGCTGACTTCTGACTTGGCTCTCAGGGATCACTCCTTGTGCACACCTTGTGGCCATGCCGCAAGCCCAGAACAGAACCAGCTGAGCTGGGTGCAAGGCAAGTGCCCTCCCCACTGTACTGTGGCTCCGGCCCCAGATTCACATATGATTTATGCTTACACTGTTTTATTCCTATTTAATTTTTTTTTTCTTTTTGGGTCACACCTGGCGGTGCACAGGGATTACTCCTGGCTCTGCACTCAGGAGTTACTCCTGGCGGTGCTCAGGGGACTATATGGGATGCTGGGGATCGAACCCCGGTCGGCCGCTTGCAAGGCAAACGCCCTACCCCTGTACTATAGTTCCAGTCCTCTGTCATTAAATTTTATTTTATTTTATTTTTTTGCTTTTTGGGTCACACCCGGCGATGCACAGGGGTTACTCCTGGCTCTGCACTCAGGAATCACTCCCGGCGGTGCTCAGGGGACCATATGGGATGCTGGGAATCGAACCCGGGTCGGCCACGTGCAAGGCAAACGCCCTACCCGCTGTGCTATCTCTCCAGCCCCTATATATTGTTAATTAGAATCAGAGTAGCAAAATTTTGCAGCAGGCCTCCCTTTTTCTTCCCAAAGGGAAGGGAGGACATACATTTAGTAGAGGGTGCCCTGGGTATTTTGGGGGGTGGCTTTGCGGGGTCACACTCGGCAGATGCCCAGGGGTTCCTCCGGCGGCGCTCAGCGGACCATAGGGGATGCGGGGATCGAACCCAGGTGGGCCACATGGAAGGCAAAGTCCCTACCTGTTGTGCCATCGCTCCGGACTCTGGGCACGCCTAACGGGGAGCGCACGGGAGTCCCTGGACATGGGGCACTTCCCAGCCGGGGAGAGGGTCCTCCCTCCCGGTGGACGCGCGTAACGCTCGGGCACCCTCCGGGAGGGCAGCCCCCTCCGGCCCTCGCGCCCTCCCTGCCGCCTCCTCGCCGTCGGGGCCGAGAACCGCCCCGGGAGCCGCCCAGCGTGCCCGGGGAGCCCGGCCGCTGGCCAGGGGCGAGGCGCGGGGACCGGGGAGGGACCCTTGGCGCCTGGCAAGAGAAGCGGGGGGCGCGCGGCGAGGCCCGTTTTTACCTTCGGGGGCTGCTCCTGGCACCGGCGCGGCCCGGGCTGCGGCGGGGTCCGGCGGGCCGCCCCGGTCGCCGGCGTGGCCGAGCCCTGGACGTCCCTGCGGCTCGCTCGGACCCGGCGCGCGCTCCGGCCCGCGCCCGCGAGCGGGTCTTCAAGGCAGCCGCAGCGTCTCCGCTCGCCCCCCGCGCCCTCGGGCCCCGCGGCCGGACCGAGCGGGTGGGCCCGGTCGGAGCTCCCGGGGGAGGCCCGCCAGCGGCTCTCCGGAGTGTCCAGCGGGGCAGGCGGGGCGGCCGTCCCTGCCGTCGGGCGGACGCGGGGTGGGGCCGGCGGGGCGCGCTGGCCGCCTGGGGTCCGGCCGCTGCTGCGGGTCCGCGGGCGCGGGCCGGACTCGCCTGCGGGCGTAGCGACTCATTGGACTTAGGAGAGCGATGACCGCTCCTCTCGCGGCCCCGTGTCCCCTTTTCCGGGAGGCCAGGCCGGGTGGCCGCCCGGTGGCGCAGGAGCCTGGGGGAGACGCGCAGCTGCGCCCGCAGGAGCCGCGGCGGCCCGGGCTGGCCCGCCCTGGCCACCGGCGTCCCCTCGCGGGCTCGGCTCGGAGCTGGACAGGCCGGGCGAGGCCGGCGGCAGGAGCCGGGGCTGGGCCCCACGCGCGGGGCGGGCGGCGGAGCCGTTCGTGTGCGGGGCGCGGGGTCGCCGGCGCACGGGGGCGGTTAGGGGAGGCTGAAGCCCACCCGCGATCGGACGGGGCTCCGGACCCTCCCGGGCTGGCCGGGCAGCTCCGAGGGCCGCAGGAGCCGTGGAAGCGGCCGGAGGCCAGCGGCGAGGCCCCCGGTGACCGCGGCCCGGCGGAGAACGGGACGTCCGCTGCACTGAAACGGGCCACGGCTAGGGGGGACGGCAAAGACGGCAAAGACGGATCAGCGATCGTTCTAATGTTTTGGGGCCTTTTTGTACCAGGAACAGCCAAAAAAAAAAAAAATAACCAAACAAAACGGGTGGCACTGAGCGGATCTGGGAACGGCGAGAATTGGAGAAGGGGACGGGGAGCGCCCACGTGTCATTTGGGCGGTCAGCCAGATCCTCGGTGCACCGTGAAGGATGCAATTCCTGGCTCGCCCGGAGAGGGAAGAGTCTGATATCACAAAGAAAAGCCACCGTGACACACACACACGCATGCATGCAGCAGCCAAGACTGGGACGGCGATCTCGGAAAACGCGGCTCCCCGCGGCGGCGGCGGGCGGCAGCATCGCGGGGCGGTTGGACTACGTTTCCCAGAATTCTCCGCGCGGAGCCCCGCCCCCGTCCCGTGAGCCTCCGCGCGCGCGGAGCCCCGCCCCCGGCCCCGCCCCCGGCCCCGCCCCGCCGCCGTCCCGTGAGCCTCCGCGCGCGCGGAGCCCCGCCTCCCGCCGCGACCTGGGCGCGCCGCGAACGCGCCGCTCGGGAGAGTGAGTGACCCCGAGTCGCCGGGCCGCGGGTTCGAGCCTCGCCTCCTCCCTCGCGCCGCCACCCACCCCCCACCCACCCCGAGCCCGGGGCGGGGCGGGGCGGGGCGGGGCGGGGCGTAGCCGCGGGTCGCCACTACACCCCGAGGGGCGGCGGCGCAGCTCAGACCTCAGCATGGAGCACTACCTGCGGGGATGCCGGGCGGCGCTGCAGGTAGCGGGTCGGGGCTGGGCGTCGGCGGGGGGCAGCGCGGGTTGCATGCAGGAGGGGGGCCGGCTCGGGGCGCCCCCCACGGCCGCAGGGGACGGGGCTGCCGCCGGGCCCGAGGTCTGGAGCAGCCGTGGTCCAGCGTGCCTGCTCCTGGGACCCCCCCCGACCCTCCACCCTCCACCTTCGGGGTCTTTCCAGGAGCCGGGAGAGGAGCCGCGGGTCCGGGTCTTGCATTGGGGCCGCCACCCGGTTCGGGGCTCGCCAAGGGGTCCAGCGCGGGGCCCCTGCCCGCCGCGCCCCCCAGGCCTGCGGGCGCCCGGGCGGAGGTCGGAGCTGCACGACTTGCAGCCGCGCCCGGGAACGCGCGCGCACAGCGGCAGACCCCCTTGCACGGCAGACCCCCTTGCAGGCAGACCCCCTTGCAGGCAGACCCCGTTGCACGGCGGACCCCCTTGCACGGCAGACCCCCTTGCACGGCAGACCCCCTTGCAGGCAGACCCCCTTGCACGGCAGACCCCCTTGCACGGCAGACCCCCTTGCACGGCAGACCCCCTTGCAGGCAGACCCCCTTGCAGGCAGACCCCCTTGCACGGCGGACCCCCTTGCACGGCGGACCCCCTTGCAGGCAGACCCCCTTGCACGGCGGACCCCCTTGCAGGCAGACCCCCTTGCAGGCAGATCCCCTTGCAGGCAGACCCCCTTGCACGGCGGACCCCCTTGCACGGCAGACCCCCTTGCAGGCAGACCCCCTTGCACTGCAGACCCCCTTGCAGGCAGACCCCCTTGCACGGCAGACCCCCTTGCACTGCAGACCCCCTTGCAGGCGGACCCCCTTGCAGGCAGACCCCCTTGCACGGCAGACCCCCTTGCAGGCAGACCCCCTTGCACGGCAGACCCCCGCCCGGCTCGGCCCGCATTCCTTTGCACAGCCCCGTCCGCTTTCTGGGCCTGGAATTACATAAACCCCCACCCCCGCCGGAAGGGATGAGCACTGGTCCCCCCAAGCCCAACTCCGACGGGGGCTCCGGGATGCGCGGGGGGCTTCTTTGGGGGGTCCCCGCGGGCGAGCGACTGTCCCAGCTCTCTCCGGAGCTGGCCCCGGGTTGGCGGCGGCGGCGCCCTCCTTTGTGAATTTTCCTGCCGCCCCAAATATCCTGGGGTTTCTTGGATGCCTCTAGAATCCGCTCACAGCGCAGCCTTCCTCCTGCAGATTCAGCAGGCTGGCATGAAAAAAGGTTGGATTTCTTCTTAACGCCGATGACCCCAGTGTTTCCCCTTGTGAAGGACCGACTTGGGGCAAGTTTTAATGCAGTTCAGAAAGCAAGTTGGAAGGATTGTTTTGTTTTCCACTGCAAGAAAGTCGTTGGTGGTCTAATGTAGAAGCTTTGGGATTTTTTTTTTTCTTTTTTCTCCCATAACCCAAATGGTCTCTTTTGGCCTGTTTGGTAAAGAGCCCTGGGTCTCGGGGTGCACACAGAGCCTAGAGCGTACCCCCCTCCCTCCCCAGCATATCTGCCATAGTTGTAGGAACCAGAAAAACCCTGAACTTTTCTAGTTTTGCTAGTGTCCCTGCCTGTCTCTGCCTGTATCAAGATCTGTTCTCCTTTTTTTCCCCAACGAAGGTTCTATCTTAGGGCTTTCAGCATCGTAGTCAGGCCAGGGAAAATGAGAACATTAAACCCTAGGACCCTAGGAATATCGGGGACTGAAATTGGCCTTCGGACCTATGCTGGACAGCCGTTTATATTGCCTTTTTTTTTTTTTATGGCGGAGGTCAAAAATAGGGCCTCACACATGTGAGATGCATATTTCTCCTGCTTGCCATGACCCTAATATTGCTTTGTGTTATTGAGGTAGTAAATGTACTTAGGGCCTTTAAAAATACAGAAAGGCCTGAAACAGAAAAGAAGAAGATCTTTTTCTGTCTCTCCATCCAATTCTCAACTGTCCTTTCTTGGGAAGACAGGAGTTAAAATTGAAAATGAATTACAATTCATTTGGAAAATAGCAACACGCAAACAAACCTTGATTTTGTTAGTGTTGTTGCTGTGTGTTTTGGGGGCCATACCCAACAGTGCCCAGACCGCTCCTGGTTTTGTTCTTCTGGGTCACTTCCAAAGGTGCTCAGGGCACCAGGCTGTGTCAAGGATCGAACCCGGGCATCTTGCATGCAAGCACTAGTCAAGCTTTTGAGTTATTGCCCCAGCCCACAAATGCGTGTTATTTTTGGTTTGGGGCCATACTAGCAGTCCTTACTCCTGCTCTGCACCCAGGAATCACTTCTGGTGAGTTCCGGAGACCATCTCTGGTGCCGGGGGTTGAACTTGTGTGAGCCGCATGTAAGCCAGTGCCTTCCCCGCTGTACTTTAAGGAAAAAAGACATGGTTACAGAGACACTGTCAGATTTGAGTGTCATGGCTAAACTCTGGTATAACTTTCAGGGAATTATAGAACGCTTGACTTTGACACAGGATAGGAACAGCTGATAACCCAGCCACATTTCCTGTTGATAACCTTTTTAGTATTTGATATCAGTAAAACAGCCTCTGTCACAAAGATAATAGGATGTTCTTGTTTAATTAGTCCTGTTCATGGTGATGACTCATCCTTCGCTTCCAGGGAAGAAAAAAATCTTTGCTCAGGATGGGGCTGCATTCAAGCTGGCTACTCACCCCAAGTTCATGGCGTGAGGCCGGACCCAGTGTTCCTTGCTGGCCTCTGACTCGCACAGTCCTGCTTTCAGAATCCCGCAGCCCCTTATCCGGGGCCTTCTCCAGCTCTAGGCCCTCGTCTCGTTTTTCTTTTATCATTTGAAAAACTGTTGTTTTTAAAAGTTGACATCAGACCATCTTCAGCTTCAGAAGGAAAGTGGGTTACTTGGCTGGCTCTGGGTTGCCCCCACACCTGCCCTGCCTCAGACCCACAAGATCAGAAAGCGGCAGGATACAGTCATTTCACTGTGGGGTTTTCATTTTGGCCACACTCGGCAGTGCTCAGGACTTGCTCCTGGCTCTGCGCTCTGGGATTACTCCTTGCAGGTCTTGGGGGATCACATGGGGTGTCAGAGATTAAACCCGGGTCGACTGCATGCAAAACAAGCGTCCTCCCCGCTGTATTCCTGCTCTAGGTGCTGGAATTTTCTTTCAAAGGGGGTCGGGGGAGAAGTCACTCTTCACTTGTGGCTCGCAGATTGTATCTGTCCTGTGGTCAGCTGGGGCGTCCTCATTCTCCTCAGTGTGTTAGCCCCGCTCTCTGGACACATTAGAAAATGGGCTGGGGTGGGCCCTGAGCTTGGGGTCCTGAGAGTGGACCTGCCGACCGGACAGGACGTTTCGTTCTTCCCTTGGTTCTGCATGACTGTTAATGGCACCCCTTTTCCTTCTCAGAAGTGTCTGGGTTTAAAAAAAGACCAAGTACATAGTCATGAGCTATTTTAAGGGCTGGGAATGCTTGAAAGCACCCAGGAGGGGAACGCGCTCCTGCGGGCAGGACTTACACTGCATGTGAGAACTCTTGAGTGCTGGGACTAGGCTTCAGAGTTCCCGCCTGGGTGCTCGGCAGGATTCAGGGACACGAGGGGACTTTGAGGAGTGTGGGGCCGGAAGGAGACAGCAGGAGGTGCCCCCCACACGCACCCCATAGGCACCCCAAGGTCCGGCTGCTGAGAGAGGCTTGTGTACCGTCTGATTCTATCCTGGTAGACTCTGCTTCAGGTGCCATAGCCAGTGGCGCTCAGGGCTCTTGATCAGGGATCACTCAGGGTAGGACTCGGGGTACCAGGAAGAGGACCTGGCTTAGCTGCGTGCAAGGCAGATGCCCTACTGGCTGAACTCTCCCTTTCAGGCCTTTCTTGAGCTCAGAGCAGTAGTCGTTCTGCTTGTCTGCCTCTCTGCCTTCAGCATGGGCTTTGAACCTCAGAACTCAGGCGCTCTGCCACCGGGCAGCCTCTTCTCGTTCTCGGGGGCGCTTGGGCAGCGTTTGGGGGATGCAGGACTAGAGCCGGATCTCAGGGTCCTGCACGCAGATCCAGCAGTCCCGCCCTCCGTGCTCGCCCCACTGCCCGGCCCCTGCACGTTCCTGGGAGGAAAATGAGGCTGGGTGCAAGCAGAGCCGTGGTCAGCTCCGCCCCAGCTGTGCTCCCTGACCGGAGCAGAGTGCAGAGTTCAGCCTGGGAATGTCCGCATCACGTGTCGTGGGCCATGCCGGGTGCTGCCAGGGGACAGGAATGCACAGCTGCCCTCAGCCACTTCTGGCCCAAGGTTTGCTGGAAGTCCAGGAGCGGCCCTTTTGCCTGAGGCTGCCGGACGGGGCCTTGTGCCCTGAGCCCAGGCTGGGAGGCGCTTCGGGTTTGGGTCCTCCTCCCCCTCCCCCTGCGGGTGCTGCAGCCCACCATGAAGCCACGCACTTCAGCAGGGTTGGTTCGTTCATCCCTGAAAGAACTTGGTTTTGTTTGGGGGCCACACTCGGTGGTGCTCGGGGTAACTCCTGCCTTTGCGCTCAGGATCACTCCTTTTTTTTTTTTTTTTTTTTTTGCTTTTTGGGTCACACCTGGCAATGCTCAGGGGTGACTCCTGGTTCTGCACTCAGGAATCACCCCGGCGGTGCTCAGGGGACCCGGGTCGGCCACGTGCAAGGCAAACGCCCTACCCGCTGTGCTATCGCTCTGGCCCCGACCATTGTCCCGAATTTTGAGTGTGGACTCTGCTTTTTATACTTCTCTCTGAGGTTAGTCAGAGAAGGGGAAGAAAGTGCTTTCCAAAAGCCTGGAACTACATGGATAGTACAGCAGGCGGGGCTTTTGCTTTGCACACAGCTGACCCCCAAGTTAGATCCCGGTACCCCATATGGTCCCTGGAAGCCCCGCCAGGAGTGATTCCTGAGTACAGAGCCAGGAGTGATTTTGAGCATAGCTGGTTGTGGCCCAGAAAAGAAAAGAAGGAACCAAGGGGCCGGAGAGATGGCACAGTGGATAGGGCACTTGTCTTGCACATAGCCAACATGGGTTCAATCCCTATCACCCGTATCGTCCCCAAGACCACCAGGAATGATCCCCGAGCACAGAGGCAGGAGTAAGTCCTCAGCAATGCCAGGTGTGGCTTAAAAACAAGCACACAAAAATGAAAATAAAATAAAAACAAAAACCTGCCTAGTAATTGGTGAGGACAGTTTCTACACCAGGAACCTTCTAAGATTGTCTTTCCTGGGGGCTAGAGCGATAGCACATTGGGTAGAGTGTTTGTTTGCCTTGCACGTGGCCAACCTGGGTTCGATTCCCAGCATCCCATATGATCCCCTGAGCGCCACCAGGAGTAATTCCTGAGTGCAAAGCCAGGAGTAACCCCTGTGCATCACCGGGTGTGACCCAAAAAGAAAAAAAAAAAGGAGGATTGCCTTTTCTGGCACTGCTTTCAGAGTGCGTTCTGGGGGAAACGTTCTGGGTCTCCCAGACCCTCGCTTTCCCCTTGATAAGCCCCAGCTCCGGGCCCTGCCCCTTCCTTCCACCCAGTAGATTGTACCTGGTGGCCTTGGGTCCGAATTGTCACCTTCCCCTCACCGGGTGCCTCTGAGCCAGTTTGGGCCTTGGGGGGATCTGGAGATGGTGCTTTGGATTGCCAGCACTGGGGGTATTACTGACATCAAGTACGCCGTGGGTGTGGCCGGCAAGTGCCCACCAGTAGCTATGGACCCACCACCACCCCACATGGCCAGCAGGGCTGAGAGGAAGCAGCCCATCTCACTTTCTCTGCCCCTCCTTCCTCTCTGAGAAGCAGAATGAAAGAAGGTTCCAGAGTGGACAGGGTGCTGGAAAGAGAACCCAAGTCTGACCTTGTGCTGCACAGCCCTGCGTGCCCACCCCCAAGCTAAGCAGTGGTGAGGGCTGGGTCGATGGACAAGAAGTTTCAGCCCTGACCCCTGCAGAGGGCCCTGCTGTCCCCAAGCACAGACAGGGAGGAGTCCTGAACAATCTGGGTGAGACCCCCCCCACTCATACACACACACACACACACACACACACACACACACTGAAAAGTGAACCCCTGATGAAGAGGGCTTAGTGGATTACTGTGTCTCCAACACGTGTGAGCCAGGACCCAGCCAGCAGGGCTGGACGTGTCGTACCTGGCAAGCATGCCGGCCCCGGGTGTTCCCGCGCTGCACCCCGCAATGCTGGAGAAAGGCTTGGAGCCCTGGAGCCCACGGCCCACAGGCAGGGCGTGTGCCCCAGCCTTGAGCGCCCTCCAACCCCCCACACCGCAGATGCTGTCTTCTAGTTACTTTAGTTTCCCCGTTTTGGGGGCCAGAGCTGGCGGTGCTCAGGGGCTGGAGAGATCGTACAGAGGTTAGGACACTTACTTTCCACGTGGTCGGCCCCAGTTCAGTCCTTGGTACCACCTGGTCCCCTGAACACAGCACCTGGTATAGTCCCAGGGCACCGCGAGCTGTGGACCAAAAACCAAGTAAGTAAATCACATCAGTTCTTCGTCTATGAAAGGCCGGAGTGATAGCACCACCGTAGGGCGTTTGCCTTGCACATGGCCGATCCGGGTTCCACTCTGGCGTCCCATATGGCCCCCAAAGTAAGTACCGCCAGCAGTCATTTCTTTTTTTTTTTTGATTTTTTAAATTTTTTCTAGGAAAGGTGTGTGTGAAGGGGAACCTCTAATTTTTTTTTTTTTTTTGCCTTTTGGGTCACACCCGGCGATGCTCAGGGGTTACTCCTGGCTCATGCACTCAGGAATCGCTCCTGGCGGTGCTCGGGGGACCATATGGGATGCTGGGAATCGAACCTGTGTTGGCCATGTTGGCTGTGTGCAAGGCAAACACCTTACTCGCTGTGCTATCGCTCCAGCCCCAGAAGTCATTTCTTTTCTTTCCTTTCTCTCTTTTTTTAATTGTGTGTGTTTGGACTATGCCCTGTGCTGCTCAGAGGTTACTCCTGGCTGTGCACTCAGGGATCACTGGTGGAGGGGCTCTGGGGGCTTCACAACAGCCTTGTTGAGCTGGGATCGAACCTGGTCCGCCGTGTGCAAGGCAGACCTGCTGTACTGGCTGACCTGCCAGAAGTGATTCCTGAGCGCAGAGCCAGGTGTAACCACGAAACACCACCAGTTGCGGTGCAGAAGCCAAAAAAAGACAAAAATGAAACTTCACTCGTGGCATAAGCCCCATCAGCTCATCTCGGAGGGCTGCCGGGAGGGGGTGCGGGTAGTGTGTGCTCAGTGGAGTCCCTTCCTTCCCTTCCTTCCTCCCCAGGAGTCCCGGCCGCTGCACGTCGTGATGGGAAACGAAGCCTGCGACCTGGACTCGACAGTGTCAGCCCTGGCCCTGGCTTTTTACCTGGCAAAGGTGAGTACTTGAGAACAAAACCCCTCGGGAAGAAGAGGCGCTCCTCTTCCAGACCCAGCTGTGCTCAGCGTTTTGCCTCAGCTGGGTCTCACACAGCCATCCCTGAAATCTGAAACGATGAAATTTTCCCGTTTGTGGTGCGACCCAGGTGAGTAAATGCAGTTTGCAGAATTTGTGATCCTTAAAGCAGTGCTCGGTGTGTCACTGAGTTTTGTCTGGGCACCATCTAGATCTTTCCCAGGACAGCCCCCAAGGCCTTAGAATCCCTGCTCGATAGTACCTACAGCGAGGGTCAGGAAGACCCTTGCGTGACCGCTAAGGAGAGGGGGCAAGAATTGTCCTTTTAGTCTGTCACTGGGTAAGTGTGACTTTGAGGAGGGGAGTAGTTTCCCTAAGGTCACGTCTTGGAGCCAGAGGGACAGTGCAGTTGGAAGGGGGGGACAGAGGAGGGGGGTGCACTTGCCTTGCATGCTCCGAGCTGGATTCAATCCCCAGGACCCAATCTGGTCTCCGGAGCCCCGCCAGGAGTGATCCCTGAGTGCAGAGCCAGGAGTAAGCCCTGAGCACTGCTGGATATGGCCAAATGAGCAAACAAAAATCTCATTTCCCTAGAGTGTAGGGTAGGGAATTTGCCTTGTACACGGCCGACCTGGGTTCGAATCCCAGCATCCCACATGGTCTCCTGAGCACCGCCAGGAGTGATTTCTGAGTGCAAAGAAAGCCAGGAGTAACCCCTGTGCATCACCGGGTGTGACCCAAAAAGAAAAAGAAAAAAATCTCATTTCCCTCCGACGAGTCATTTTCTTTCTTTTTCTGTCTGTTCTCCAACACGGCCTTGTTCTCTCTTCACTTTTCTATCCAGACAACGGAGACTGAGGAAATCTTTGTGCCTGTTTTAAATATACAACGTTCCGAGCTGCCGCTGCGGGCCGACATCGTGTTCTTCCTTCAGAAGGTGAACATTCCAGAATCCCTCTTGATTTTCCGGGACGAGGCTGACTTGCATGCTTTGCACCAGGCCGGCCAGCTCACCCTCACCCTTGTCGACCATCACGTTTTACCCAAGTAAGTAGAAGTGAAACTGACACTTGATCACGTGACGAAGAAGATGGGAAGAAAGATTATTTTGCTTTCGGGGATCTCACTGGGTCACCGCAGGCGACGCTGACGGGACTTCTGGGTTGCAGAAAAGCAGTAGAAAAAATCTCATTAGGAATCCAGTGACACGAATGTTCAAGAAATGGAAACAAGTTGAAAATGTAGACAGGCTGGGGAGATGGAGGCCGGGGACACACGCTCTGCCTTCAGAGGTCCGACTTTGATTCCCAGCACCCCGCAGTCCTCAGAGTGACACCTGAGCAGTGCACGTTGCTGGGGAGGCTCCTGAGTACTGTAGGGTGTGCCCCCAGCAGAAGAGTTCACACTAAAGGATAATCAGAAATCTTCCCTCTCCTCCCCTCTCTCTCTCTCTCCTTTTTTTTTTTCTTTTTGGGTCACGCCCGGCGATGCTCAGGGGTTACTCCTGGCTCATGCACTCAGGAATTACTCCTGGCGGTGCTCAGGGGACCATACGGGAAGCTGGGAATCGAACCCGGGTCGGCCATGTTGGCTGCGTGCAAGGCAAATGCCTACCCGCTGTGCTATCGCTCCAGCCCCCCTCCTTCTCTTTCTTTTTAATTTCTTCCTTTGTCTCTTTCTTCCCTTTTAGTGTTTTGGGCCATACCCGACCCTGCTCAGGGCTTACTTGTGGCTCTGCAATCAGGATTCACTTTTGGTGGGCTTGGGGCACCATGTGGGATGCCGGGGATAGATCCTGGGTCAGCCGCGTGCAAGGTGCTGAACTATCATATCACTCCTGCCTTACAACAAACAAAAACTTCATCCCTAATTTAGGGCTGGAAACAGCTGCCAACAAAATAACAGGCATCTGAAACCTTCCTCCATCTGGCTTCTGCTAACATGGAAACGTGTGTATTTTTCTGGGAGCACACCTGGGAAAACATTAATCTATTCATTCTCAAGAGAATGGATTTTTTTTCCTTTTTTGTTCTTTTGGATTTTCATTATTCTTAAAATAGGGACTCAGAGCTCAGATTTAGAACCACTGCTTTAGAGAAACTGAGACGTTAAAGCCAACCAAGACACTAATTTGGGCAACATCAACTCCTCAGAAGATGAAGGTGAGGGGCCGGAGAGTGTCCAGCGGGGAGGGTGCTTTCCTTGCATGTGGCCAGCCCCGATGGCACTCCGTCTGGACCCCGAGCCCGCCAGCAGGGATCCCTGAGTGCAGAGCCAGGAATAAGCCCTGAGCACCTCTGGGGTAAGCAACAAAACAAAACAAAAAAGATGAAGTTGAGACTGGGTCCCTCTTCTCCTCGGCTCTGGGAAGGAGGGTCGTGGGCCGGCAGGGGGCCATGGAGAATGAGCAGGGATAGGAGTGTCAAGAGATACCCTTAACACCCGACCCTTGATCTCGGCCTGAGCGAGGACTGTTTGCTCAGTGAGTGGGGAGGCAGGCAGTCGCGGGTCGTAGCCAGGCAGAGAGCGAGATTGGTACCAGCAGAGGCAGGAGGCAGGGGCCCGGCAGCTGGGGATTGCTGTGTTTGTTTTGCATGGCTGGAGCGTGGAATATGAAGAGAAGTTGGCCATGAAAAAGATAAGCTGAAGAGAGGTCTGCGGGGCCAGATTGGAGATAATCGGTCTTTCCAAGAAGGCTGGTCTCTGAGGGTAGTATAGGACTTGTGTTCTATTTCCACATCCTAATTAGAATCAAATTTGTACTTTGTGTGTGTGTGTGTGTGTGTGTGTGTGTGTGTGTGTGTGTGTGGGTGGGGGACACACCTGGAGATACTCAGAGGTTACTCCTGTCTCTGCACTCAGGAATTACTCCTAGCAGTGTTCGTGGGACCCAGAACCAAAAATAAAACAAAAAATAAGCCAACAAAATAGAGACAAAGGGCTCGGAGAGATAATACAGGAGTCAAGGCACTGGCCTTGCATGTATCTGACCTCAGTGTGATCCCTGGCGCCCCATGCAGTTCCCCCAAACACTTCTAGGAGTGATCCGAGTGCAGAGCCAGGAGTAAACCCTGATCAGAGCTGGTTTCACGACCCTCCACTCCTACCACCATAAAAGAAACTGTTGAAGGCCCAGTGGAAACCCAACGTGCAACTCTGGTGAGCACCACAGGGAAAATAATGTGAGGAGAGCTGGAGCGACAGTTGAGTGGAGAAGGCGTCTGCCTTGCACGCAGCCGAACCGGGTTCAATCCCCAGCATCCCTGTGGGGCCCCCAGGCAGAGCCAGGAGTAAGCACTGAGCACTGCTGGGTGTAGCCCCAAAATGAAAAAGAATGTGAGGGGCCTCAGAGATAGCGCAGCAGTTAGGACACTTAATTTACCTGCATCTGATCTGGGTTCAGTTTTCTGCACCGCTAGCGATAGCACAGCAGGTAAGGCATTTGCCTTGCACGCAGCCAACGTGGCCGACCCGAGTTCGATTCCTCCGCCCCTCTCGGAGAGCCCGGCAAGCTACCGAGAGTATCTCGCCCGCACGGCAGAGCCTGGCAAGCTCCCCGTGGCGTATTCGATATGCCAGACACAGTAACAACAAGTCTCACAATGGAGACGTTACTGGGCCAACTTGAGAAAAATGGATGAACAACGGGACGACAGTGACAGTGATTAAGGGTCAGTTCTGAGCACAGAACCCGGAGTATTGAGCATTGCAGAGTATGGTCCATTCCCCCATTTCTCCAAGATTTTGAAGAATGTGGGAGAACATTCGTTAGACCTTACACACTAGCAAAATCAAAGCGTCATCAGTAGCGAGAATCAAAGCGTCATCAATAGGGACGTGGGAGTGGGGACAGAATTAAAATAACAACTCAGGGCCAGAAAGATAGTACAGGGGCTGGAGCGATAGCACAGCGGGTTGTGTGTTTGCCTTGACCCGGGTTCGATTCCCAGCATCCCATATGGTCCCCTGAGCACCGCCAGGGGTAATTCCTGAGTGCATGAAACAGGAGTGACCCCTGTGCATCGCCGGGTGTGACCCAAAAAGCCAAAGTAAATAGCCAGGCTGGAGTACATGCAGGGCATGCAGGAGGCCCCGGATCGGCCCCCGAGCACTGTCAGGAGTAGCCCCTGTGCACTGCCGAGTGTGGCCTGAAAACCAAATACGGGGGCGCCGGACGGATAGTGCAGAGATTAAGCTGATTACATTAGGTGCTGCCCTGCAGACAGCTAACCCAGGCTTCAATTCCTGGCTCCCCAGAGGGACCCCACCCCCTGCCTGGAGTGATCCTGAGCACAGAGCCAGGAGTAAGCCCTGAGCTCTGCCAGGTGCGGTCCCCCCTCTCTGCCAAAACATTGTTTCTGTGAGTGGGGGAACGTTTCGAGGTGTTCGGTAGACCCAGGAGCCCATCCTAAGAGTTCTCAGCCAGCCGTGGGTCTGCGCGGGCCCTGCTGTGCCGTTGATTCCCTGGGGCCCTGGGTACTTGGGACTTCAGGCACCTGGGCTCAGATCAGGCTGAGGGGCCTGCTGCAGGCCTCAAGCTCAGCCGGGGGTGCCAGGACTGTGCCCTGCGAGCATTTGTGACTGGCTTTCAAGGTACGCACTTGCTACCATGCACCATTACTCATTACTGATTTGACTTGCTTATTTGTGGGGCAGGGGTCAGGGCACACCCAGTGGTGCTCAGGGGCTTTTCCTGCCCTGCTCAAGGGTCACTCCTGATGGCGCTCAAGAGGGACCATATGGGGTGCCAAGGATCACACGTGGGTCAGCCCTTGGCATATCAAGTGTCCTACCACTATACTATCACTCCAGTCCCTTCTTTTCATATCTGTTACCGGAAGAGTACAGCTCTTTATTCAGCCATTGATTAATCCAGCCCGTTTTTTTTTCTTTTTTTCTTTTATTTATTTATTTATTTATTTATTTTTTACAAATATGTTATTTTATGAAGGAATTTTTTTTTTTTTGCCTTTTTGGGTCACACCCAGCAATGCTCAGGGGTCACTCCTGGCTCTGCACTCAGGAATTACTCCTGGCGGTGCTTGGGAGACCATATGGGATGCTGGGGATCGAACCCGGGTCGGCCGCGTGCAAGGCAAACGCCCGACCCGCTGTGCTATTGCTCCAGCCCCAATGAAGGAATTTTTTTTTTACAGTTGTAGATTTACAATTTTTTGTGCTTGGGTTTCAATTATACAATGATCAGATACCCATCCCTCCACCAGTGCCCATTTTCCACCACCATGGATAATATCCCTCCCACCCCCATCCCTCCCATCCCACCCTGCCTCTGTGGCAGGGCGATCCCCTGTGTTCTCTCTCTCCTTTTGGGTGTTGTGGTCTGCACAAGAGGCATTGAGTGGCAAACATGTTCAGTCCATAGTCTACTTTCGACATGCATCTCCCCTCCTGGGAGGATCCTCCAAACATCCTTTATTTGGTGCTCCCTTCTCTATCTGAACTGCCCTTTCCTCTAGGATACCCCCAGCCCGGTTTTTAAACCATATTTCTCCCCTCGTACGTTTAATAAATCATGAGAAGATGATTTAATAGTAACATTCACAAATTAGGGCTGGGAAGGAGGCGTGACCAAGTACCCGGAGTTCGGGCCTTTGGTCCGGGTGAGGTTGGGTGCGGGGTGCGGCAGAGGGCCCCCAGCCTGTCCTTTTTTCCCCACTTGCATCCCCACAGAGCTGACGCAGCCCTGGAGGAGGCGGTGGCAGAGGTGCTGGACCACCGGCCTGTGGAGCAGAAGCAGCGCGCGCCCTACCGAGTGTGTGTAGAGCTGGTGGGCTCCTGTGCGACCCTGGTGACCGAGCGGATCCTGCAGGGGGCGCCAGAGATCCTGGACTGGCCGACTGCAGCTCTTCTGCACGGTGGGCCTGGCTGGAGACCGCGCACCCTGGCCTGGGACACAGGGGTGGGACTTTCAGCCCTCTGCACCCTGCGGAGCCGTCTGACCCGTACACGGCATTAATAAGCTGCAGGGAGGATGGCAGTGCCCGGAAGACTGGAGTGCATATGTAAGGCCCAGTTCCAGCCTGGCACCAGAGAGGCTGGGGGGAGCTTTTCAGGGGAAGCAGGAAGGAGACGCGGGGCTGCCACGCTCCTGCTGGGAGCACTGTGGCCTCGGAAGGCAGGAGCCGGGGTTTGTTTTTTCCCCTTTAATCTGGCAGCGGAGGGACCTGAACTGAAGGCCCAGGCGTGCGAGACATGTGCCGTGGGGCCTGAGCCATAAGACAGCAGGAAGGGCATTTGCCTGGCACAGGGCCTACCCAGGTTCTATCCCCTGCACCCCATATGGTCCCCGAGCCCCTCCAGGAGTGATCCCTGAGTGCACCGCTGGAAGTAAGCCCTGAACACCATTGGGTGTGGTCCAAAAACCGAAAGAAAAAGACCGGTGCTGTATCTCTGAGACAGCTCCCAGCAGACTGAGCCAATGATCCAGAAAGTATTCGAGAGCCGAGGAGGTAGACCAGTGGCTAGAGCCCTTGCTTTGCCCGTTCTATGCCTAGAACTGGGAAACAAAACCAGATCATCATATTTGTTCTGGATGGCCTGAAGCAGATTTCTTTCTTGAGGGGGAGGAGTCAAGGGAGGGAGGGAGGGAGGGAGGGAGGGCGGGGATTGCCCTACCCATGGTGCCCAGGGTTTTTGCTGGCTCTGCACTCAGGAACCACTCCAGGCATTATCTGGGGACCATATGGGATGCCGGGGTTTGAACCCTGGTTGGCTGAGTGCAAGGTAAGTGCCCTCTCACGTCCTATTGCTCCAGCCCCTCTGGAGCAAACCTCTTAACCATTCTTGTTGCAGTCGTCTTCATTGATGAAAAGGAGCTTGATCATCGGTGATCAAATGTAGCCCCCTCTTGTGGTTTCTAAGACACTTTGCTAGAATCTGGCCTTCGGGAAAGAGATTGTCTCTCCTGGGCTTGGTCCTCGTCTCTGTGGGTGGAAGGTCAAGGCCGCAGGACTTTCTCCTCATGTGTTTTTGGGTCTGGGAGTCTTACTTGGGACCAGGTGCCCATTTTCTCTTTTGTTTTCGTGGGAACTTGCCACGTAGACTCACTCCAGGTTGTACCCACTGGTCTGAGGTTATCTGCAGGTGCTTTTCTGTTCCATTTTGTTTTTAATAACTACCCTGATGGGTGGGGCTCCCTAGCAATGTTCAGGGGCCCAGTGCCCCTCCTGGGATGAACAGTTCAGTGCTCAGGTCTGGCAGTTGCCGGTCAGGCTCTGAGGTGCTTGGGGACCAAGGGGGCCAGCTGTGTGGTACTCAGGGGACGTCTGGTGCTGGGATTCACACATGCGCATCGCGTGCTCCAGTCCTTCCTGCCATCTCCTTGGGCCTTGTGGTGTTTCCTTTGGTTGTTTTTTGGGGGGGGGCAGGAGGCACACCTGGTGATACTCAGTGCTTACTCTTGTCTCTGCATTCGGGACTCGTTCTTGGCGGTGCTTAGGGGACTATATGGGGTGCCAGGGAGCAAACTTGGGTCACTGCCTGCAAGGCAAGCGCCCTCACCACTGTGCCATCTGCCATCTCTCGCCCCTGTTGTGTTTTCTTTTTTTTTTTTTTTTTGGCTTTTTGTGTCGCACCCGGCTATGCCCAGTGGTTACTCCTGGGGTGCTCAGGAGACCATGTGGGATGGGATGTCAGGGATTTGAACGAACCAGGTCAGCTGGTTGCAAGGCAAATGCCCAATTCATGTTGTTTTTTTCTTTTCTTTTCTGTTTTTTTTTTTTTTTTGCTCTTTGGATCACACCTGGCGATGCACAGGGGTCACTCCTGGCTCTGCACTCAGGAATTACCCCTGGCAGTGCTCAGGGGACCATTTGGGATGCTGGGAATTGAACCAGGGTCGGCCGCGTGCAAGGCAAACGCCCTACCCGCTGTGCTATGGCTCCAGCCCGTGTTGTTTTTTCTTTAGCTGACTCAGAGCAGTAGAAAGGGACATGTCAGAGCATTTGCCCGTGGGGATGCGGTCAGTGTGTGCCCACAACGGCCTTTCCAGGAGAGAACAGGTGTGAGCAGTGTGTGTGACCTGATCGGAACGTGACCTCACTTCCACCTCCCTTCCCCACAGGAACAATCATCCTGGACTGTGTCAACATGGACCCCAAAATGGGAAAGGCAACCCCGAAAGACAGCACATACGTGGAGAAGCTGGAGCGCCTCTTCCCAGATCTGCCCAAGAGGAAAGACATCTTTGATTTTCTACAAAAGGCAAAATTTGATGTGTCAGGTAGGAAGCTTTGGACTGACATCTTAGGACTAGAAGTAGGACAGCCAGCAGCCGTTTGCTTGTATGCAGCTGACTCGGGTGCGATTCCTGGCACCCATGAGGGTCCCCTGGGCACCACCAGATGTGACCCAAGAAGCAAAAGCAAAGGAGTATCAGCGGGCAGGAGAGAGAATTCAGTGGCGACACAGAACTCAAGCTGGAACATGGTCCTCTGAATTAGGAGCTCTGTTCCCCACCCCGATGAATTTGGTCCCCTTAATGCCCCGAGGCGTGACCTTTGAGTCGCCGGGTTGACCAGTCTAATCAAAGAAGTATCCTCAGAGAACACTAGATTACCAGGTGAGGTTTCGAGGATTGGCTAGGGACAGAAGTTCTTAGGTTGACACCAGGATAAAGGAACCGAGAGTCCGCTATGGCTCTGCGGCTGCTCCCTTCGGACATTGATTTTTTTTCATGGACCTTTGGGTTTTGGGGCCATGCTGGGCAGTGCAGTGTCAGAGATCAAGCCAGGGTTGAACCCTGCCATGTACCTTAACCCTGGTACTGACTATCCAGCCCTCCCGGTGGCAGTCAAAAAATAAGGAGAAAAGTACCACGTGTACTTCCAACACAAAAGTTAATATATAAAGGGGGAAAAATACCAAAGTCAAAGTTTCTTTTCTTCCTTTTGTTCTTTCCAGAGGCCCAAGCTCTAAAGATAACTACCGTGACCCAGTTATTTATTTCGTTTTTTAGCTACACCCAACTTTGCTCAGAAGCTACTCCTGGCTCTGGGGTCACTCCCAGTGGTGCTCAGGGGACCAAGTAGGGCCGGGCATGAAGCCTGACCTCCCCCATTCAGAGCATGCGCTCTCCAGCTTTGTGCTGGTCTCTGGCTCTCCGACCCAGTTGTTTAAGTTTTTGTTTGTTTTGTTTTTGTGTGGGGGCCACACCTGGCAGTGCGCAGGCGTGACTCCTGGCTCTGTGCTCAGAGATCACTCCTGGCGGTGCTTAGAATCTTGCGGGTTGCAGTGACAGAGTTGGTCACGTGCAGGGCAAGTGCTCCCGCCGCCGGGACGGAAGGCGTGCTCTCGCCCGGCTGTGACCTTTATTATGTTCTGATCTACATTCTGATCTTTCTTTGATTCGGGGAAGGGAGGCTCTGGAGCCATGCCCTCAGGTGGTCGGGCTCCTTCTGGCGTGATCCTGGCAGTGCTTGGGCAACGTTGTGTGGAGCCGGGGAGTCAATCAGGGTCTCGGGCGCGCTGCCTCTGCAAGGCAAGGGTCCTCCCTCGTGGTCTCTCTCCACCCCTCATTATCTGTTCTTCCTTGTTCTCAACACACCTTGGTCTCCTTACCCCACTGGGCTTCTGACCCTGGTCTCATGCCTCTTTCTAGGACTGACCACTGAGCAGATGCTGAGGAAGGACCAGAAGACCATCTTCAGGCAGGGCATCAAGGTGGCCATCAGTGTCATCTACATGGATCTGAAGGTGAGCTCTTGGCTCTGCACAGCCCCGTTGCTCTCCTGCCGGTGCTCACCTCCTTCCCTCCACCTCTCTGCATGCTCCGGGCAGTGCTGGGCCTGGATCGGGTACTGCATGCCCAGCGTGTGCTTAGGGCAAGGCGGGCTCCGCAGGGCCTGTGTCTCGCCCAGACGTCATGTCCCTTCTCCCCGTTATTGCCGCCGTGTCTGGGGTTCCCAAGTTTGGTTGTAGCTTGTTGGGAGTCACACACTGGGTGCAAGGGATCGGGTGACAGTCCTGGTGGTTGCACGCAGTGTTGTGACTGGTGCCCAAGGGATGGTGTGCCCTTGAGTGTGTGTGCTGGGGCCCAGGGTAACCGTTTCTCTGGTGCCCAGGCCCAGGCAGAGGTGCAGAGAAATCCTTCCAGAGCGTGTCCTGCTCTCAGCCCTGTCTGTCGTTTCTCTTACAGGCCTTCCTGCAGAGGTCTGGCCTCATGGCCGAGCTCCACGCTTTCTGCCAGGCCCATGGCTATGACGCCCTGATCGCCATGACCATCTGTTACACACCGCACAGCGAGCCAGAGCGCCAGCTGGCCGTTTTCTGTCCTCCTGCGGCTCTGCAAGCAACAGTGAGTCTCTGTCCTTCTCCATCCTCGGGACCACAGTGCCCCTGTCTGTGCCACCTCGACTGGAAAGACCCTTTCAAGGACCCACCTTAGGGTCAGAGCAATAGAATAGTGAGTGAGGTGGAGCCTTGCACGCGGCTGGCCTGGGTTCAACCCCTGGCATCCCACACGGTCTCTGAGCACAGCTAGATGTGAAACTAAACTAAAAAAAAGAGACCAGAACAATAGTATAGCGGAGAGGGCGTTTGCTTTACACGTGACCAACCAGGTTTGATCCTCGACATCCCGTATGGTCCCTGAGCACCACCAGGAGTAATTCCTAAATGTCGAACCAGGAGTAAGCCCTGAGCATCACCAGTGTGACCCCAAAACAAAACAAAACAAAAAATAAATTAAAAATTGAAGGGCCCTCTTGCACCGGGCAGGTATGGAGAGGGAGGTGAGGGCAGGTGCACACAGCCGCGGCTCGGAGTGCTCTGATGCCTGTGCTCCAACCCAGGGCCTCGAGGGCCAAAGAACCAAAGACGTAGTACAGGTTAAAGGGTTTGTTTGGCACGCGGTGGGCACTGATTTGATCTCCCAAGCCCTGATAAGAGTGACCCCTGAGCACAGAGCCAGAAATAGCCCCAGAGTGCCCAGTGTATGACCCATCCTCTCCTCACCAAAAAAAAAACAATACGCCACAGCCTCACACACAAGGAGGCAAGTGCTTCGTCCTAGCCTCTTCCCCCACCCCTCTCAGCCTGCATAATAGGTCCTTGGACCTAGTTCTAAAACATTCCCTCCCCACTTTTTTCTTTTTTTCTTTTTGGGTCACACCCGGCGATACACAGTGTTTACTCCTGGCTCGTGCACTCAGGAATTACTCCTGGCAGGGCTCAGGGGACCATATGGGATGCTGGGACTCGAACCTGGGTTGGCCACGTGCAAGGCAAACGCCCTACCCGCTGTGCCGTCGCTCCAGCCCCCTCCGTCCCCACTTTTTATTCTCTATGTGAATATTCTTAACCATACTGTTGTTGAAAAGCAGAGATTTCGGCAGGCTACTGGGATCAGAATGGGCACTGGTAGAGGGCTGGGTATTTGATCATTGTATAACTGAAACACAAACACAAAAATATGTAAGTCTACAACTGTACCTCATGGTGTTTCACTAATTTAAAAAAAAAAAAGAAAGAAAAAATAGTACAGCAAAAAAAAAAAAAAAAGAAGGCAAAGCAGAGATTTCAGAGACCCAACTCCTCCTCAGAAAGAACTTGGAGTCCAGTTAAAAGGAGCTACTGTCAATCTGGAGGTGAGACCGAAATCTCACCGCTGCGAAGAGGGGCCTCGCGCTGGCTGTGGCCACCCAGATTGACTCAGGGTTTCAGGAGACAAATGAAGGGTCAGCTCAGAAACCTTCCCGCTGGCCTGTGGCAGAAGCAGCTCCTTGGGCCAAGTGCAGACTCAGGACTTGCTCCTGGCTCTGCTCAGGGTCACTCCGGGTGGGGCTCGGGACCTGTGGGATGCTGGGCTAGAACCCTCGAGAGACCCCCCACCCCCCATCCCCCACCCCCATGCCCCAGATTGGCCCCAGGCTTGTTTTCCTCCTGATCTTTCCTGTGGCCACTTGTACCTCTTTCATGTTTTCTTCTGTGGGTTACTGATTAGCTCAGGGCAGGGTTTCGGAGTGGACTCCAGATGGTCAGGCCGTGGACTCTGGGCAGCGAAGACCCAGCGTAGACCGGTGCAGACAGCTAGGACTGGTCAGATGTGGTCAGATCAGCCTTTGTACCTGGGAAGCCCTGTTCGCCTCCTCTCTCCCTTGCCTGAGTCTTTTCCAGGAGGTAAAAGCAATTTCATTCAGATAGTTTGGCACCGTAAGAAGAAACAGTGGTTGTGGGGGTGGAGAAACAGTATCCTCCAGGCACAGCCAGAAGTGATTCCTGAGCATAGCTGGGTGATTGCTGGGGAGAGACTGTCAGGCTGCCCAGGGATCACTCCTGTGGGGCTGGGATCAAATGAAGGACAGGGGGCTTGGGCCCTGAGAAACACTTCTGGGGCCAGAGAGAGATTCCAGGGGTTAAGGTTGCATGTTTCTGGCCGGGTTCAGTTCCCAGCACCGCCTTTGACTCCCCCAAGCCATCCAGGAGAGACCCCAGAACACAGAGCCAGGAGTAAGCCCTGAGCACCTCCAGGTGTGGTCCCAAACCGGCCAAACCAGTATGGGCTGGAGAGGCAGTACTGGGGGTAGACACACGTGGTGTCTGTGCATGGGACCCCAGCTCCGAGCCAGGGACCCTCCCACCCGCTGGCAGGAGTAGCCCACGGACACTGCCTGGTGTGACCCACCACCCCCAAACAGAAGAGAAACTCTAGGGTTCATATCCACATAAATAAATGCATATTAATGGGCTGGAGAGATAGCACAGCAGGAAGGGCGCTTGTCCTGCACACGGCTGACCTGGGTCCAACCCCGGCATCCTATATCATCACCTGAGCACTGCCAGGACCAATTCCTGACTGCAGGCCCAGGAGTAACCCCTGAGATCACTGGGGGTGGCCCCAAAACAAGAGAACTCCCCCAAACATACATGTATATAAAGTGTTGTAATTAGATCTTGTATCATCGGAGAAGCTCAGGAGATGAGTACATCTTTGCTTGCAGAAGCTCTGGGTTCAACCCCTGGCACCCATGGTCCCCCCAACACCTCTGGGAGTGACCCTTGAACGCTCAACCAGGAATAGTTGCTCCACTCCAAAAAAAAGAGCCAACAGCCCTTGATGTCATTTATTTATTTTTGCCACGCAGAGGGGGAGGGACTCACCAGGGCGCTCAGAGCTAACTTCTGTATTCAGGGGTCACTCCTGTAGGGCTCAGGGGGCCCCTATACGGTGTCAGAGGTCAAACGAGGTTTTGCCACATGTAGGCAGTTCGTCACGCCTGTACTCTCCCTGCTCAACTTTAAAGAAGTTACCTAACCTCTGTCAACCCCATCCTGTCCTCTAAGCAAGGCAATTGAGTAACCTTGCATAAAAGGCAAGATTAGGCAGATTTGACAGATGCCACCATCCCACGTCACCCAGGGTCACGTCACCTCTTTTCTGTCATCCCTTTTTGCCTGTATCCTTCTCCTGAACTCAGTGTGGCTGAGGATGGAGTTGAAGGTGCAGAAACCAGAAAGTCCCTTGCCACCCCCTCAGCTCGGAGCCGGTGGCCGGACCCAGCCATGGCTTCGATACCCGTGCGCGTCTTCAGTTAAGACATCAACCGTCTCTACTCTTTGGTGCATTTACTCAAAGGGTGCAGTGCATGTTCTCAAACGCTGCTTCTGTTTCTGGAATATTGTGTGTTGGGCCAGAGTGATAGTACAGCTGGTAGGGCACTTACCCTGTACACAGCCGACCCTGGTTTGATCCCCAGCATCCCCTGTGGTCCTCTAGCTCTGTTAGAAGTAAACCCAGAGCACCACCGGGTATGACCTCAGACCGAAATATAAAATACTACTATTATCTGAAGTGCCTTTTGTGATAAGCAGTATGACTGAAGTCTGACTGACCTCATTTGAAAGTGTTTTTTTCTGAGGCCAGAGAGAAAGTACAGCAGGTAGGGCACTCGCCTAGCACATGGCCGACCTGGGTTCGATCCTCTGCACCCCACGGGATCTCCCAAGTCTACCAGAAGTTATCCCTAAGCACAGAGCTAGGAGTAAGGTCAGAGCACTGCCGGGTGTGGTCCCAAAACCAAAACCGAAAAATGATCTTTGTCCCCGTTTACAGTAGAGAAATGTCTGCCTTAGAAGCCTGAAGTTTTTTGGTTTTTTTTTTTTTTTTTTTGCTTTTTCTTTCGATGGGGGGGGGGTCACACCCAGCGATGCCCAGGGGTGACTCCTGGCTCTGCACTCAGGAATCACTCTCGGCGGTGCCTGGGGGACCATGTGGGATGCCAAGGATTGAACTTGGGTCGGCCGTGTGCCAGGCAGACGCCCTGCCCGCTGTGCTATCACTCCGGCCACCAAAGCCTGAAGTCTTGCCGCCGTCTGCTCACTCTGTTCCTTTGTCCTTTCGCCCTCTAGATCTGCAGGGTGCTGGAGTGCTCACAGGCGCCATCCCTGAGGCTCACCCCTCTCCCCAGCACCCACCCACACCTCCAGGCTTATCTTCAGGGAAATGCCCAAGCCTCTCGCAAGAAGGTCCTGCCTCTGCTCCAGGAAGCCTTGTCAGCACATTCTGACTCTGTGAATATCCCTTGCTGGCAGCCGGAGGTGGGAGGCGTGTCCAGGGAGCACATGGACAAGGAACTGGACAGGGCAGGGCACCCCCTGGCCCCGGGGCTGAGTCAGGATGATGAGGAGCCCTCCCTGCCCCCCACGCCCATGAACAGCTTGGTGGACGAGTGCCCACTGGATCAGGGGCTGCTGAAGCTCTCGGCCGATGCCATCTTTGAGAAATGCTGCCAGATCTCCCTCTCCCAGGCCAAGAAGTGACCACCACGGGCCGAGCAGAGGGCCAGGCATGCGCCCGGAATGCATGCGTCGAGCGTGCTGGGAGCCGGTGTTCTGATCTCGTCACACTGGCTGGAGGAGGCCCCCTCCTCCCTCCCCCCCAGCCACACTCGGTGTTTAATTTATTTCCTTTAATCAACACTGACTTTCCTCTCTTTCCTTTGCTTGGGGCGCAAGGTCAGGCCTGCACAGTCCCAGCAGAGCTGCACAAAAGATGAATGTGTACCCATAGGGTCCTCAGACCCTTAACACAATCACTGTCCGTCTTGGAGCCGTGATTCGCCGTCTCGGAGTCATTCTCTGGTCAGTCAGAAGGACTGGGAGCCGGAGAGGGCAGAGAATGGGCTTTGGGAACACGGATTTGCAACTGCCCCAGTGCCAGGACGCCTCCTGCACTCCCCAAGACCTTACTCTGCCGGCTCCGTTTCTACTCTGGGTGGGGGCATGCCCCGCTCACGTTGGGAGCAGGTTTGAGACCGTGTTCCTTGGTCCTCCCCTGCTGGCCTGCCTGCCTCTCCATTGCCATGCTTCTGACCCCGGGAGGCTCCTGCAGGAGCCAGGAGCACTGGTTTGTGAGTTTGGGAACCTCCATAAGCCCCACCACCTGGTGGGAATGAGTCCCGGAAGCTGCAGATCTCTGGGAGAGCCCAGACTGCCTCGCAGGCCCGGGCCTTCCCCTTCCATCCCCTTCTCTTCCTGCTCCTCCTCTGAAAGGCAGGTAGAGTTCTCACCCAGGGACCTGAGTGATGGGACAGGGGGAAGCTGATGGCCTTGCACGCGGCCGACCCAGGTTCCAGGGTCCATCCCCAGCACCCCTGGGCATAGGAACCAGGAGCAGATCCTGAGCACCGAAAGGTGTGGTCCGAAAAAAAACAAAAACCAGTTCTCCTCAGGCAGCCCTGACTGTCGTCTGGCAAGACGCTTCCCGTTGCTCGTTTCCCGCCTGGGAAGTCAAGAACCTGGGTTGTCTCTGGGATTCTGTGGTCTGCCCCTTGCTCCCACTTCTCTGCTACTGGTTTTTGTTGTTGTTGATTCTGTTTTCCCCGGAATGTGCAGGGTCACTGGATCGTCCATGTTTCTGTGTGATTGTACCGAGGGACCCCGCTGATGTCGCATGTACAGGGTATAATGATCCATGCTCGAGGGACCCGCCTGGTTCTCCCCTTGACATGTTCTGCATGTGTCCACTCCCTCCCCACCACCCGCCTCTCCGTGTGTGTCCCCCCTGCCCCATGCCCTGTGAGTGCCAGCAGTGGCCCCGAGCAGTAGGTCTGTGATGGTTTGGGCATGTCCAGTGTGAAGGGGCTAGTTTGACTTCGCTTTGAGGGAATGACGTGATAGACATTAGAGGATAAAAATAGCGTGATTACTGAACCAAAGGAATTTATGTTTTGTAACTTGGGTACTTTGTTTTGCATTTTGTTAAGGTATTAAATACTTTTTCTTCCTGTCCAGAGTCTTATTGTCTCTTTGTATAACTATAATCTTTCTGTTTGTTTTATTTGGGGTCACGCCAGCAGTGTTCAGGGCTTACTCCGGGGATCCTATGGGACACCAGGAATGGAACCGGGGTTAACTGCGTCCATGGCAAATGCCCTCCCCACTGTCCTGCTGTCCCAGCCCAGCAGGCCGCCAGCAGATTCCTTCCCTCCCAGCTGCTGCATTTCACTGTCTTTTGTTAACTCACTGGATGGACCCCCACAGGGCTCAGGAGGCCTGTGGACCAGCGGTTCAATGTGAGGGCCCCGGAGTGCAGTGGTCAGCCCAGCAGTGCGTGGGGCCCCCAGGACCACACCTGGCCGTGCACCAGAGACCGTGTGATATCAGGATCAAAGTGGAATCTGTGTCTCTCCAGCCCTTTTTGTGAACTCTGGGAGTAAAATGCAGCCAACCCTTCTCATCTTTATCCTTTGCTTTAACTTGCTCCTCGTTCCAGAACCCTCCTTGCTCTCTGTTCCCAGGCTGGAGAGGTGATTTAATGCACCGGATGGGGCCGGAGTGATAGCACAGCGGGGAGGGCATTGCCTTGCACGCGACCAACCCAGGTTCAATCCTTGGCATCCCATATGGACCCCCGAGCACCGCCAGGAGTAATTCCTGAGTGCAGAGTCAGGGGTAACCTCTGAGGATTGCTGGGTATGACCCCAAAAGGCAAAAAAAAAAAAAAATAGCACTGGAATGGGATACTTTGCATGCGTGTGGCTCTGGTTCAGTTCCCAGCACCACAAGGTCCCCTGAACACTGCTGGGAGTGACCGTCAAGTACAGAATCACGAGTAGCCCTGATACTACGGGGTATGGCCCCGAAACTGGAAAGCCAAGCACCCGGGTGCAATCCCTGTTCAAAGCAGTCCCTTGAGCACCTTCAAGCACTGGCAGGGGTGGCCACCAACCAAAACAAGTTCAAATAGGGGCTGGAGCAATAGTCCAGGGGGAAGGGCATTTGCCAGGTATGTGAAAGACTCAAGTTCGACTCCCGGCATCCCACGTGGTTCCCCCAAGCCCTGCCAAGAGTAATTCCTGAGTGCAGTCAGGAGTAACCCTGAGCATTGCCAGGTGTGACTTCCCCCGAAGAATTTCAATAATAAAGGAGTATAAATTACCATGAGCACCTGCCCCTGTGTCAGCATTGAAGCCTGCATGCGCTGTCCACCCCATGCCCACCCGGCAGGCATTTTACACTGAAACTGCCAGCCATGTGTGCGATACTGGGTTAGTTATCACAGCAGCAGAGACGGAGTGGGGAGAGCTGGAGTGCTGGCGGGTGGGGGTCTGTGCTGGCATGTGGGAGGCTGAGCCTTCTTCCCTGGCACTGCATGGTCCCTGAAGCATGGAAGAACCCCAAGCATCGCGGGGTGTGGCTACGATGAGAAAAGAGAGAGGAAGGGGTCACAACATTTCGTTTTTTTGGGTTTTTTTTTTTTTTTGCTTTTTTTGGGTCTCACCCAGCGATGCATAGGGGTTACTCCTGGCTCTGCACTCAGGAATGACTCCTGGCGGTGCTCAGGGAACCATAGGGGATGCTGGGAATTGAACCCGGGTCAGCCGCGTGCAAGGCCTACCTGCTCGCAAGCCCCACATTTTGGTTTTAAGACTTAAGGCATCCTAGGCCTGAGAGTCCGGGTGGGCTTGCCTTACAGCTGTCTGCTTGCAGCAAAAACAGGGCTGATTCGGATCCTGGCGCCTCAGACGGACAGCACCGGGGCGCGCACCTGTGCAGGAATTGCCCCTGAGCTATTAAGCCCCCGACAAACAAAAGAGCAGTCATTAAACCAGACATCAAGTTAGTTCTGTCCCTTCCACAATTGATAATTTTTTGCTGTTGAGGCTTATTTTGGGACTACACCTGGTGGCTTCTGGTGCGCCTGGCTGTTCCTCGCCGAGGTCCCTTGGAGGGGAGCGGGTTGAGCTTTCCTCCCCGCCCCGACCAGGGCTCCAGCAGCCGAAGACCTCCAGGATCAGCCACCACCATGCTGAGACCACTCTCCGCACACATGAAGGTACTGGCAGAGGGACAAAGCCACGCGGGTTCCGGGGCCGAGACCTCCAAGCCTACTCGAATTGGAGTCGAGCACCTTCCACCCAGATCCTCCAAATTCCAGTAGGCGGGGGTCACACCCACCACCTGGCCCCCTGGCGCCGTGTAATCCCATCAGCGGCCAAGACTCAGAGACTATAAAATCCAGCTCCCGGAACCGCTCGGCCGCATTCACGGCCGCGCGACATCTTATCAGGACATCTTTTTATGACATCTTACTATCTCATTCCTACTTTGGACAAACTGGCAGGCTATCGAATGTAGCCTGCCCACAGGGCAGAGTCTGGCAAACTCCCCGTGGCGTCCCCAATTTGCCAAATACCAGTAACAATGATGGGTCTCATTCTCCTAAAGATCCTTGAGTATAATCTCAGGGTTAGGATGAAAGAGACGTTACTGGGGCCTGCTCGAGGCAATCGACGATTAACAGGATGATGAATGAAATGAATGAATGAACCTGGTGGCTTACTCCTGACTCGGGACCCTCTGGGATGCTGGGAATCAAATCTGGGTTAGTTGAATACAAGGTAAGTGCCCTCCCCTATGTGCTATTTCTCCAGCCTCAATTTTTTTTTCTCTTCTGGTTTCGGGGCCACACCTGGCAGTTGTAGGGGAACAGGATTTTAGCACTGTAGCACTGTCCTCCCATTGTTCATCGATTTGCTCGAGCAGGCCCAGTAACGTCTCCATCGTGAGACTTGTTGTTACTGTGTTGGCATATTGAATACGTCCCGGGTAGCTTGCCAGGCTTTGCCATGCGGTTTTATTTTATTTATTTATTTATTTATTTATTGCTTTTTGGGTCACACCCAGCAATGCTCAGGGGTTACTCAGGAATTACTCCTTATGGGCCGTGCTTGGGGGACCATATGAGATGCCAGGGATTGAACTCCGATCAGCACATGCAAGGCAAACGCCCTACCCGCTGTGCTATCACTCTGGCCCTAAGGAACAGGATTTTAACCAAGACCTCACAGTCATACTAGGCAAGTGCCTGAACCTTTGTTCTCGTTCTCTCTCTCTCTCTCTCTCTCTCTCTCTCTCTCTCTCTCTCTCTCTCCCCAGTGGTCACAAGTCACAATTCTACACCATTGAGGGTTTTGTTGTTTGGGGGCCAAACCTGAGGCAGTGCCCGGGGGCTGTTGTGGCTCCACTGGTGTTCCCAGCAATGCCCACAAACCGTGGTGCTGGGATCCTGCCTCAGGCTCCCATATGCAAAGCTTGAGCAGGTTCTGGTGGTGTCTTTGGCACCGTAGGTATTTTATACCGATCAAAATGTTTTTCACCGGGGCTGGAGCAATAGCACAGCGGGTAGGGAGTTTGCCTTGCACACGGCCGACCCGGGTTCGATTCCCAGCATCCTATATGGTCCGCTGAGCACTGCCAGGAGTAACTCCTGAATGCAGAGCCAGGAGTAACCCCTGTGCATCGCCAGGTGTGACGCAAAAAAAAAATGTTTTTCACCACCTTTTGGGGGGAGGGAAGCCCACACCCAGAGGTGCCCGGGGATGACTTCTGGCTCTGCACTCAGAAATTACTCCTGGCAGGCTCAGGGTAGTATATGGGACACCAGAGATTGAACCCAGTTGACCCTGTGCAAAGCAAGTGCCCTACCTACGGTCCTATAGCTCTGCTCCCTAAATTATTTTCAAAGAGGACCCCCCTGGAGCTAGCAGAGTACTCACGCCCTGACAGCACCTGCTTAGCCCATGTGAGACCTTGAGCTGAATCTCCAGCACCTCATGAGACCCCCAAAACTCTACCAGGTATGACCCCAGCCCCACATCAAACCCTCACTGGAGCTGGGTGACCATATAGCAGTGAAGCACTGTCCTCCCGTTGTTCATCGATTTGCTCAAGCGGGCACCAGTAACGTCTCCATTGTGAGACTTGTTGTTACTGTTTTTGGCATATCGGATACGCCACGGGGAGCATGCCAGGCTCTGCCATGCGGGCGGGATACTCTCAGTAGCTTGCCAGGCTCTCCGAGAGGGATGGAGGAATCGAACTCGGGTCGGCCGCGTGCAAGACAAACGCCCTGCCCGCTGTGCCATAGCTCCAGCCCGGTGACCGTATAATGTGATAATAAAGAAGTCAAGTCACAGCAGCTCCCTGCAGGCTGTCAGAAGTCTGCAGGGGACATGATTCACCAGCGCAGCCTTCCTAGGAGGTGCCCCGGATTCCCCAGACCCGCCCACATGGGCACAGCATTTCTCTGGGCAAACCGGCTTCTGGGCAAGGCGGGTGGCGAAACCTGCTTGAAGGTGAGGTTCCTCCCACCCAGGCAGCCACCAAGGCTGGGAGAAGGGGCCAAACAGAGCCAGGGAGCAGGACGCAGCTCCTGGAGGCCCAGGGGACAGAGACGGGAACAGGACGGAGATGGCAGCGGTGCAGGAGGCCGGGGAGAAGGCCCCAGCGCTCGGGTGAGTGGAAACCGGGGACCAGGTCCCTGTTCTCAGCAGCTCCGACCTCAGGGACCCAGAAGAGATGAGACTGGAAGAGAACTGACTTGCAGAGCAGCAGTAAGGCTGATGCCAGGCAGGAAATGTCTGTGTGGCAGCAAAAAGGATTCCGGGGTGCCTTCTTTTTATTGCATGAATTCTTCTTTTCGCACACGGCAGAGCCTGGCAAGCTCCCCATGGTGTATTCAATATGCCAAAAACAGTAACAAGTCTCACAAGGGAGACATTACTGGTGCCCGCTCGAGCAAATCGATGAACAACGGGAGGACAGCACTACAGGACAGTGCAAGTCTTCTTTTGATGCCGAACCTAGAAGCAAGGACCTCTCACAGGGAATCCGTGCGCTGCTCGATCCCTCAGCTCCGGTTCACTTCCCATCTTTATTTTATTATGTTTTGCCTGGGGGCACCACACCCTGCAGTTCTCAGGACTGACTCCTGACTATGTGCTCAGAGGTCACTCCTGAAGGGGCTCTGGCACCAAACGGGGTGCCACAGATGGAACCCAGGTTGGCCACTTGCAAGACCAACACCCTCACTGCTGTGCTGTCACTCCCGCCCTTTGGTTTTGTTTTCTTCTCTTTGGTATTTTTTTTTTCTTTTTGGGTCACACCTGGTGATGCACAGGGGTTAATCCTGGCTCTGCACTCAGGAATCGCTCCTGGCGGTGCTCAGGAGACCATATGGGATGTTGGGGATCGAACCCGGGTCAGCCACGTGCGAGGCAAATGCCCTACCTGCTGTGCTATCACTCCAGCCCCATTCTCTTTAGTTTTTTTTGGTTCGTTTTTTTGTTTTTTTCTGGATCACACCCGGCAATGCACAGGGGTTACTCCTGGCTCTGCACTCAGGAGTTACTCCTGGCAGTGCTCAGGGGACCATATGGGATGCTGGGAATCGAACCTGGGTCGGCTGCGTGCAAGGCAAACGCCCTACCCGCTGTGCTATCTCTGTGCTATCTCTCCAGCCCCCATTCTCTTTAGTTTTTAAAGGAAGCTCCTTTATTTGTGATTATTAAATCTGCCCTGATCTTTATTTATCAATCTTTATCCTGAGTAAACAAGACTCAAGAAAGCTGCCCTAGCGTCCTACTGAGTTCTCCTTCCCAGTCCGTCTTCCTCTGCCTTGGTTTCCCTGACTGCTCCAGAGTGGAGGGAAGAAGGTGGCCAGTCCAGTGCCATCTCTGCCCAGATAGTGGGCGGGCCTGTAGTTTGAAGCCCACCATGTGGGATCCTCTCGCCCCCGATCTGCAGGCTGAGTGGCAGCACTCAAAGCCATGGGGCAGCAGCGACAGTCCAGTGCGGAGGGCATGTGGCCAACCGGATTGTCCCTGACACCACTTATGGTCCCCCGGGCCCTGCCTGGAGTGATCCCTGAACACAACAGGTGTGGCCAAAATCCAAAAACCAAAATGCCATTAACTTCATTTCCACTTAAACCCAGTCAGGCCGACCTACTTCCAGCCCATGGGGAAAAAAAAATCTATGAAGAACTTAGAAGAAATCAAGGTTGGGTTGGTTGTTGTTGGTTTGGTTTTAGGGCCACACCCAGGGTGTCCAGAGGCTACTTCCAACTCTGTGCTCTGGAGTCACTCCTAGCAGTGCTCAGGGGACCATGTAGAGACTGAACCGAATTTCCAACATCTAAAGCACGCACTCAGCCCCAAGGGCTAGCTCACAGCCCAGTGTTGGGCTCTTCTCTCTTTATTGATTCATTTGGGCAGGGGTTGTTGGGCCAGGCCAGAAGTACCCGGGGCTGCTCCTGACAGTGCTCCTGGGGGACCACGTGCCGTGGTCTGAATTACACCTCTCAGACTTTACCTCTCAGACCGCAGGCGATGCTGGGGACTGAACTGGGGTTGACTGCACGCACAGCAGTGCCTCCTCCCTGTACTCCCTCTCCGGCCCCGTCCGAGGCTCCTCTGGAAACCATCTGGCCTTCGATGCCTCCGCCCCATCCCGCTCACTGTTCTTCGTCCTAGTGTCTCTCTTCACCTCCATCCCACTCTCTGAGGTGCTGCCTTGGTTGGTCTCATGATGATGTTCTCATGATTGTGGGTCCAGGGAGAACACAGATGCGGTTGAAGTGGGAGCAGCCCTGAGACTTGGGGAACTGGAACTGGAGGAGGAATGGCAGGATGAAGAGTTCCCTGGGTGAGGAAGATTGTTGGGGCGGGGTGGGGTGGCGTGGGGAATGAGGGCTGAAGGGGAGCCCCGGGGAGAGTCGGGGGACTGGGAGATAAAACTGCCGCCAGAAATGACAAACTGCCTCCTTGCAGGGTGCCTTTAGCCATTTTTCTGCCCTTTTTAATCCCTTCCCCTCCAGATTGCTTCCGGAAGAAGATGGCACTTCCGAAGACCCTCCGGAGGACTCCCAGACAGGTAGCCATAGCAGAGAGTGATTCTCAAGTTCTGTTTCCTAAAAAAATCATTTGGAGCTGGAACGGACAGCAGGGAGGGCACTTGCACATGGCCAACCCAGGTTCTAAGCTCAGCCCCCCAAATGGTTCCCCCAAGCCCAGAGCCAGGAGTAATTCCTGAGTGTAGAGCCAGGAGTAAGCCCTGAGCATCGCTGGGTGTGGCCCCAAAACAACACAAAAAGATCTTAAAAAAAAAAGTCAAATCTACTTAGGGGCCAGAGAGACAGTACAAGGGTAGAAGACACTTGCCTTGCATAGACCAAGCCAAGTTTTAATCCCTGGAACCTCAGGGTGTCCCCAACATTCCCAATAGTAAGCCCTGAGCAGAGCCAGGAGTGAGCCCAGAGCACCACAGGGTGTGGCTCTGAAACCATAAATAAAAGATTTCTTTAGGGATGGGGAGGGCTGTGCTCAGGACTTGCTTCCTGCTTGGTGCTGGGGGTTGCCTGGATGATGGAACGTGGGCCTCGGGTGATAGGACCCCACAGCCTGACGTCTTGATTCCAGCACGAGGCTGTGCCTGGACTCGTCTTTCCTTCTGCAGCGTCTACTCCATTTTTTTTCTTTTGGGGTCACACCTGGCAATGCTCAGGGGTTATTCCTGCTCTACACTCAGGAATCACACCTGGCAGTGCTCGGGGGACCATATGGGATGTCGGGTATCGAACCTGGGTCGGCCGCGTGCAAGGCAAACACCCGCCCCCAACACTTCTAACTCCAACAGGAGGGTTTCCCCATACAGCAGTCCTTCAGCCCTCTGGGTGTTCTGCGATTCATAACAGACATCACCTGGAGCGAGCACACCCCTACACCCACAGAAGTGCCCCCCATTCTGACACAGTACATGCCCAGGGTCACCTCTGCTTCTGGTCCTCTGGCTGTGAATCTGTGGGCCTCATTCCCCCTCCTCAGGATTAATCATCTGCTCAAACTCCCAGAACTCGGACATTCTCACCTCATAGATGAAGGTTATAATAAGGGGCTGCAGCTCAGAAACTTCTAGAACATTCATAGGACAGGATAGGCGAGGAGTACCTCACCCACGCACCCCCCCCCCCAACCAGCACACCCCATATCACCAGCCTGGAAACACTATTTAGGGTTTGTTTTTATGGCGGTCCATGTGTAGCCAAAACTGATTAGTGTCCTGGTCATTAGTGATTAGCACCATGTCTAGTGTCTCTCCCTCCCCCAAGGATCAGAGGGTGGAAATTCCAGAGCTCTGAAGGTCACAGGGTCCCTTCCCCTCTGAACAGCCATCCTGAGTATCTTGGAATGGAGACTACGGCCTCTGTTGTCATGGAGACTTAGTACTCCATAACAAACTGCTGGTTATAGAGAGGAAATATCTATCTTCTAGAGCAAGGATGAAAACCAAAATATATATCAAAATCAAAACATCCCAGATAAGAAGAGTTGGCAGGTAAGGAGGGAATGGTGAAAGATACCAATCTGCAGGAGATCCTTTTTTTCCTTTCTTTTTGAGTCACACCTGGCGATGCTCAGGGGTTACTCCTGGCTCTGCACTCAGGAATCACTCCTGGCGGTGCTCAGGGGACCATATGGGATGCCGGGGATCGAACCTGGGTCAGCCACGTGCAAGGCCAATGCCCTACCCGCTATACTATTGCTCTGGCCCCATGAAGATCCTTCTTAGCATGCTGAGAGCATATATATCTACGTGGACAGATTGTATGCTGGGCCCACCTGGTGGGACTCAGTACTCACCCTCGGGGATCCACAAAGTGGAGGGGATCAAACTAGGACTTCCTGCGTCAGAGTCTGCTCAGCCCGTTGGGCTCTCCGGCCCCAAGTTCCCATTTTATCCTGTAGGCAATGGGCATCCATTCACTAGTGCAAGGAGACTAGCCTGAGCTCTGGGGAGACAGGCTAGTGTGCGGGCTTCGTGTGTGGCTGGTCCAGGCTGAGTCCCTGCCTCTGTAGGGCTCCCCCAGCCCTGCTGTCAGTGACCCACAAGCACAGACCAGAAGTAGCCCCAAGAGGACTGTGAGATGTGGCCGAGGGAGACAGAGATGGATAATCAGCGGCTCTGAAGAGAAAGGACACTGTCCAAGGCCCATGTACAGGACCATTCTATTACGGTCTATCCAGCAGGTAGAATATGAAACACTATATATATATTTTTTGGTGCTGTATTTTTTCTTTTGTTATGGGGCCATATCTGTGGTGTTCACAGGCTTCTTCTATGTAGAGGTTGTGAACCTGGCAGTGGGGATCCAGCAGTGCCAGGGACAAACCCCGTCCTCCAGCATGCAAATACGGGCTCCGACCTATTCAGCACTCTCCAGACCCACGGCAATTCTTTTTTGAGCAGCACTTGGGCTCAATAGGTTGTTTGGTATTTGCCTTATACGCAGCTGACCCTGATTCAATCCCCAGCACCACTAACCATCCCCTGAACACCGCTAACCCCTGACAAAAATAAATAAAAATTCAGAGTCACTGGGCAGACAGATCTGCTCAGTCCCAGGAGGCCGGAAAGAGGCAAGAGTTAAAGAATTGGCCGGACATGGCCACCTCCTACCCCTGCTTGCAGACTGCCTTGGGTCTCTAACCAGTGCAGCCTGAGGGTAATAAGTTACAGGAAAGAGACCCAGAAGTGGGGTTGGACAAAGCAGAAAACCAGGAGGTTTGGGAAGCCAGAGGAATCGCCACTGTCCTGGGAACCCCAGAAAACTAGGACTGGAGACGTTAGAGACCCTGAAGGTGAAGGTGAAGCCCCCTTCCCTCTCCAGATGAGCTGACGACCTGGGATGCGGGCTTGGGGGCCAACACCGCGGTGGAAAGGCTGGGCCAGAGCTGCGTCTGGGACATGGCGGGTGCTGATGGTCATCGCTGGAGGGTGTTCCAAACAGGCCAGCGGGAGCAGCGGGTGGACATGAGCGTCATCGAACCCTACAAGAAAGTTCTTTGCCATGGAGGTAAGGGCCAGTCGGGAGACGAGCTAAAACCGGGAGTCCAGGGGCTGGAGGGGGACCCTGACTCAGTGCCTGGCCCTGCGTGCTCTAAGCACAGGAGTAAAACCCAGCGCCAAGCCCTGACAGGCCAGAAACAACAACAAAAGAAACCCTAACAATGTTTGGGTCCAGTGCAGCTCCGGGAGAGCGTTTGCCTGACACAGGGGGCCCAGGCCCACCCACCGCCCTGATAACTTGACAGCTCATTTTTGGTGTTCTTTTTATTTTTCTTTTTGGGTCACACCCGGCGATGCTCAGGGGCCACTCCTGGCGGTGCTCAGGGGACCATATGGGATGCTGGGATTCGAACCTGGGTCGGCTGCATGCAAGGCAAACGCCCTACCCACTGTGCTATCGCTCCAGCCCCAGACAGCTCATTTTTGGTTTTTTGCTTTTCTTTTTTTCTTTTTGGTTTCGGGGCCATACTCCGCGGTGCCCACGGCTGACTCCTGACTGTGCTCAGGAATCACTCCTGGCCCAGCTTGGGACCATATGGGGTGCTGGGGATCGAACCCAGGTGGACGGCGTGCAGGCTCCAACCCCACCATGACGTCTTGAATCAAAGGCTTAAGTAACCGATTCCAGCTGTTGTGGTCAGGACCCTCCTTGGAACTTCCAGAGATCTTCAGAGTCCTCTCATCAGTCCACCAGAGTTTCCTCCTTTACCTTCCAGGTTACCATGGTGACGGCCTCAATGCTGTCATTTTCTTCACTTCCTGTTACCTCCCCAGAAGCAGTATCCCCAACTATGCCTACGTCATGGAGCATTTGTTCAGGTGAGGAGGAAGGCCCGCCAGCCCCCCTCAGGCCAAGCGGCTGACGGGAGAGTGGGCAGTGGCAGCCCCTTCCCCGAAACCCTCGCCCGCAGGTACATGGTGGGAACGCTGGAGCTGCTGGTGGCCGAGAATTACCTGCTGGTTCACTTGAGCGGAGGCACGAGTCGGGCACAGGTGCCCCCCCTGAGCTGGATACGCCAGTGTTACTGCACCCTGGACCGGAGGTGCATATGTCTTTTCCTTCCCACTTTTCTGGTTCCCACACAAGCTCTCTGGGTTCTACCTGCCCTTGGAATCTAGTTTCAGATCTTGCCTTGAGGCTCAGAACAAGGCACTTAGCCTTTCTGGAACTTGGTTCCCAAGAAAAAGTATTTTCTTTAACTGTAAAAAATATTTACTGGAGCGATAGCACAGCGGGTAGGGCTTGCATGCGGCCAACTTGGCCAACCCAAGTTCGATTCCTCCGCCCCTCTCAGAGAGCCCGTCAAGCTACCGAGAGTATCTCGCCCGCATGGCAGAGCCTGGCAAGCTCCCCGTGATGTATTCGGTATGCCAAATACAGTTACAAGTCTCACAATGTTACTGGGCCCGCTCGAGCAAATTGATGAACAACAGGAAGACAGTGACAGACAGTAAAAAGTGATCCCTTAGCCACTATATATATTGTGATAATCAAGGAACTCAGTGGAGCCCGTCAGCCTCCTTGTCTGTCCTTCCATGACGTCACTTTCCCTTCCTGTCCAACTCAGATATTTCCCTCTCTGATGCCGGTGTGCTCCCTTCCTACCTCACCTTCCCTTGGTTTATTTTGCTATTTCTTCTCGTGCCTTTTTTGCTTTCCTTTTTCCCCTACTGCCATCCTCAACTTGGGGATGACCAACATAGTTTTGGTCATGGAAAAATGGGCACATGTAATTGAGGAGAGACTAGAAACCACCAGATGTGAGATTTCCTGAGAATTCCCCAAAAGTAAGGAACACAGGACACTCCGTTCTGGTTCTGTTTTGTTTTGTTTGTTTGCTCTAAACCCAGAGTCCCACAGACACACCGCACTGTACAATTAAGCCACATCTCGTCCCCAGCAAAACACATGTCCTGGCCTGAAGCGCACCGTTTCTCTTCACTTTGGGGTGGGAATTTGAGCCACACCTGGCAGTGCTCCGGGGTTACTCCTGGCTCTGATCAGGGCTCACTCCTGGCAGTGCTTGGGGGTCCCTGTGTGTGCAGGGAATTGAAGTGGGCTCAGCTGTAGGCAAGGCAAGTCCCTTTCCCTGTGTTGTCACTCCTGCCTCTGCAGGAGATGCTCCCCGTGACCTTCTCCCTTCCCAGCTGCTCTCTCTGAAACTACTTCACTACAAAACAAAACCCCAAACCCTGAGGAAAGATGGTTACAGGAATGGAGATTAGACCCACCAAGCTCACAATGAAAGTTAGGGAGGTGGAGGGAGTTCGGGTGCAGGAGAAGCTCTCCTGAACGAGGGCGTGAAGCTTGCAGGAGTGCTTGGATGATCTCGTGTTCTCCAGGCTCCGGAAGAACCTGCAGGCACTGGTGGTCATCCACGCCACGTGGTACGTGAAGGCATTCCTGGCTCTGCTGCGGCCGTTCATCAGGTACTGACCAGAAATGAAAAGGCTCTTTCTCCTCTCTGTGCTCGCAATCAAATAAAAAAGCTCTTGCGGTTGGAGCAATGGTGCAGCGGGTAAGACACTTGCTTTGCACATGGCCAACCTGGATTTGATCCTTAGCTTCTAAACAAGAGTGATCCCTGAGCAAAAACCCAGGAACTGGGGCTAATAGTACACCAGGTAGGGCATTTACCCAGCCCTGAGCCCCGCCAGGAGTGACTCCTGAGTGCAGAGTCACAAGCAAGCACTGATCACTGCCATATGTGCCCCCCCAAACCAAAAGATTTTAAAATTTTTATTTTTTTAAATTAAATTTAGGGGCTGGAGTGATAGCACAGCGGGTAGGGCGTTTGCCTTGTATGCAGCTCACTCGGGTTCGAGTCCCAGCATCTATATGGTCCCCTGAGCACTGCTAGGAGTAATTCCTGAATGCATGAGCCAGGAGAAACCCCTGTGCAATGCCAGGTGTGACCCAAAAAGAAAAAAAATTAATTAAAAAAAATTTAATTTTATTTTCTCATTATACCTTGGGCTGGAGCAATAGCACAGGGGCTGGAGCGATAGCATAGTGGTTAGGGCGTTTGCCTTGCAAGCGGCCAACATGGCCGACCCAAGTTCAATTCCTCTGCCCCTCTCGGAGAGCCCAGCAAGCTACTGAGAGTATCTCGCCCGCACGGCAAAGCCTGGCAAGCTACCCATGACGTATTCAATATGCCAAACACAGTAACAACAACTCTCACGATGGAGACGTTACTGGGCCTGCTCGAGAAAGTCGATGAACCACGGGAGGACAGCGACAGTGACAGTGACATTACACCTTATACAAACACTGTGGTTTACAAAGTTATTCATGATGATTTGTTACAGACATTCAGTATACCAACAGAAACCCCAACACCACTGCACCTTTCCATCACCATAATCTCCAATTTTTCCAACCACCCCTAAAGCCTGCCCCTATAGCAGGCCCTTAATAATTTATTTTATATTGCTTGTTATAATTTGCTAAAAGAATGATAAAAATGTTTCTTCAGAAGAGAGTTAGTGAAGATTGTGTATCTCACTGTGGAGTTCTTAAGCCCTCATATTAGAGATTACTAAAATGTTGTTACAGGTTAAGCCTTCCGTGTTGATATTTTCTTAATTGAGATTGGCTGTCTTCTGCACTACATCCAATCCAATCTGGCGTGCTACTCCTGGTTGTCAGTGTTATAGAATTTGAGGTGATACAGCTGCAGTTAAATTTTTATTTTTATTTATTTATTTATTTATTTTTGCTTTTTGGGTCACACCCGGCGATGCTCAGGGGTTACTCCTGGCTCATGCACTCAGGAATTGCTCCTGGCGGTGCTCAGGGGACCATATGGGGTGCTGGGAATCGAACCTGTGTCGGCCGTGTTGGCTGTGTGCAAGGCAAACGCCCTACCTGCTGTGCTATCTCTCCGGCCCCCAGGAGTTAAATTTTTAGCTGGGTGTCATTTAGGGGTGTATGCGTGACTGCCAGGGCTTCCAGAGTACAGGGAGATGGGAGAGCCCAGCCCCAACTCCATGAAGGCCTGGAGATTTCAGTCACAAAACCTGCATACCTGAGTTTTTCAACAGGTTAATTTCTGGTTGAGGTTCATCCTGAGCGGTGGAGTCTAGCCAGGAGCATGGTGGTAATTATAGAGCGTGAAGGTTTTCAGCTGTCAGGGCTCTGTTTGGGCGGGTGCTGGGCTCATCTGCTCCTGCTCCGGGGTGCCCAGGATGACTCAGCCTTGTGCGAGTTCCGGAAGAATCTCGGCAACTTGTTGATCTCTTCCAAGATTTATTTATGAGTCTCTGGATCATGGTCAGTGAGAGAGCTTACATGGTGTCAGAGGTGGTCTGGAGGCATTGATTGCTGTGGCTTCCAGAAGGACAGGGAGATGTGGGGAGGTAGCCCATCCTTGACTTGTGAAAGCCTGGAGAAAAACATTTTTTTAAAAAAAGAAGCTTTTGGGGCTGGAGCAATAGCACAGCAGGTAGGGCGTTTGCCTTGCACGCGCCCGACCTGGGTTCGATTCCCAGCATCCCATCTGGTCCCCTGAGCACCGCCAGGGGTAATTCCTGAGCGCAGAGCCAGGAGTAACCCCTGTGCATCACTGGGTGTGACCCAAAAAGAAAAAAAAAAAACAAATAAAAAAAGAAGCTTTTGCCTCACCCATTCTCTGCTTGCTTCCTTCTGTCTCTCTCCAGTCCCCCTGCTAGTGTGTAACGTGCGTGGCACTATCCTCTCTCTTCAGCTCCAAGTTCACACGCAAGATTCGTTTTCTGAACAGCCTGAGAGAGTTGGCCCAGATCGTCTCCTTGGATCAGGTCCACATCCCCGAAGCTGTCAGACAGTGAGTCCTGAGCTGAAGGCTAAACGTCTGGGGCATGGAAAACTAGGTCCCACTTCTTAAAGCCTGGGGAGGCAGGGGGCGGGTGGTGATAAAAGAAACCAAGAGAGAGGGGAAAAAAACCAAAACCTTCTGTTCTCAGCTGCTTCTGCATATCTGGGAAAACCAGGAAGAAATCGTATGCAACAGGAAGGGGGAAAAAAATCAATGCATGAAAGTGAAGAGGCCTCAAAGAATCAAGGAGTCAATAGCCTGGAGTTTAGAGGCGATTCAGAACAGCCTTGGAATCAGGAAGGGATTGTCAACAGGAAACATGAGAGAAGAGCCAGTGTAAGGGTGCTGGGGCAAAAGGCCCCAAGTGATGCCTCACACAGGTGTTCTACCTTCTCGCTTTTCCATGTCTCCTGGTTTCACTCCCAAACCAGTGAGCAAAGGACCACAGAGAAAGCACAGGGGTTAGGGTGCTTAGCCTGTACACCACTGACCCTGGTTCTATCCCTGGAGCCCCATATGGTTCCCAAGCATGACCAGAAGTGATCCCCGAGCAGAGCCAGGAAGAGTCCCTGAGCACTGCCAGGCCTGGCTCTGAAGCAAAACCAAAAGCAGAACAGGGACACTGGAGCCATAGCACAGCGGTAGGGCATTGACCTTGCATGCAGCCGGCCTAGGTTCGATTCCCAGCATCCCATATGATCCCCCGAGCACCGCCAGGAGTCATTCCTGAGTGCAGAGCCAGGAGTAACCCCTGTGCATCGCCAGGTGTGACCCAAAAGGGAAAAAAAAAAAAAAGAACAGGGGCTGAAGCAGTAGTACAGCGAGTAGGGCATTTGCCTTACACACAGCCAACCCAGGTTCTATTCCCAGCAACCCATATCATCCCCCGAGCACTGCCAGGAGTCATTCCTGAGTGCAGAGCCTGGAACTCCTGAACACCACCGAATGTGCCTGCCAACAAAACCAAAAAAAAAAAAACAAAACAGAAACAAATACAGCAAAATACCAGAACAGGGTCAGAGTGCTTTCCTGGCAAGTGGCCAACCCAGGTTTGATGTCTATCACCCCATGTGGTCCTCCCAAGCTTTGCCAGGAGTAAATCCCCGAGTGCAGAGCCAGGAGTAACCCCTGTGCATCACCAAGTGTGACCCAAAACAGGTGTGAACCACAGAGCTAAAAGTAAGTCTTGAGCAGTGCTGGGTGTAACTCCAAAACCAAACCACGCCCCCGTAGAAAAAAAAAAAGAACATCAAAGTAAACCAGTGACTAAAACACAGGTCCCACCCACCCACCCACCCACCCACCTACCCATTTTCCTTCTCTCTCCAGGCTGGACCAGGATCTCCATGGCTCTGGAGGGACCTAGCATGGGACTGGATCAAGGACCTTAGAACCCAGCCAAGATACTGCTCCCACTCTCAACCCAAACCTCCCAGAGCTGTTCTGCAGATCATCTCGTCAGTGCCTGCTGACTTCTGGTTCATCCTGGGGTCACTGGACTTGCTCTGGGCCCATAGGATCTGGGACCCCTCTCGCTGACTTTTTTTTCCCCCGGGTGCAGGGAATGTTTTGTAGCTATGGGTGTGAGTTGTGCTTTTAGCTGTAGAGCCTTGGGCAAAAGTTTCCATCTCTTTTCTGCAAATAAAGGAGCTTCAGAGTTCTCCACAGGACCAGTGGGTGGGGACAACACCAAGGGCAGGGTGGGGAAGACCAGGACTTAGCTCCCTCACTTTTAAAATTTAGGGGGCGGAAATAGGAATGGGGCTTTAGAGACAGAAATATATGTGAGGGCCTGGAGTAATAGCACAGCGAGCAGGACGTTTGCCTTGCATGCGGCCAACCCGGGTTTGGTTCGTTCCCAGCATCCCATATGGTCCCCTGAGCACCGCCAGGAGTAATTCCTGAGTGCAGAGCAAGGAGGAACCCCTGTGCATCACTGGGTGTGACCCCCCAAAAAAAGAAATATATGTGCATATGTAATGGTGAGTGCATATCTTTAATAAACATGATGAACATTTAAAATGCATATCCAAGGGTTTGTCTCATGTATAGGAATAAAAATTGTGACACTGGCCATTATAAGGTATTAAAAAATTCATGGTGGGGCCTGAGCGATAGCACAGCGGGTAGAGCGTTTGCCTTGCACGCAGCCGACCTGGGTTCAATCCCCGGCGTCCCATATGATCCCCCGAGCACCGCCAGGAGTAATTCCTGAGTGCAGAGCCAGGAATAACCCCTGAGCATCGCTGACCCAAAAAGAAAAAAAAATTCATGGTAACTTTTGGAAAAATAAATAAAATGAACACGCGAACAAAGAAAGAAAAAAAATAGGGGTGGTGGTGGGGGGGAGCAGGGTGACGGGGTGGGGTTGCACCCTGGAGTGCTTGAGCGACTCCTGGCTCTGTTCCCAGAGTGACCACGGGGCTCTGTAGGTGGGGTCAGAGAGAGGCCACATGAGGTGCCAAGCGATCGAACGTGGTTGGCTGCATGCAAGGCCAGAGCCTCAACCTCTGCGGAGCCTCGGGGTGTGGTGTGGTGCGGTGCTCAGTAGCACTCCTGGCTCCGTGCTCAGGGATCACTCCTGGCAGGGTCCAGGGTGCCACACGGAGTGCTGGCGCTTGAACCGGATGGGCTGCGTGCAGGCCTGGCGGCGCTCCCCAGTGTCCTATCGCTTGGACCCCCAGGACTCCCCAATTTTTTTTTTGCTTTTTGGGGCACACCCCGCGATGCTCAGGGATCACTCCCGGCAGGGTCCCCAGTGTCCTATCGCTTGGACCCCCAGGGCTCCCCAATTTTTTTTTGCTTTTTGGGGCACACCCCGCGATGCTCAGGGATCACTCCTGGCAGGGTCTCCAGTGTCCTATCGCTTGGACCCCCAGGGTTCCCCAATTTTTTTTGGATTTTGGGGCGCACCCCGCGATGCTCAGGGATCACTCCCGGCAGGGTCCCCAGTGTCCTATCGCTTGGACCCCCAGGGGATCACTCCTGGCAGGGTCCCCAGTGTCCTATCGCTTGGACCCCCAGGGCTCCCCAATTTTTTTTTTGCTTCTTGGGGCACACCCCGCGATGCTCAGGGATCACTCCTGGCAGGGTCCCCAGTGTCCTATCGCTTGGACCCCCAGGGCTCCCCAATTCTTTTTTCATTTTGGGGCGCACCCCGCGATGCTCAGGGATCACTCCCGGCAGGGTCCCCAGTGTCCTATCACTTGGACCCCCAGGGCTCCCCAATTTTTTTCATTTTGGGGTGCACCCCGCGATGCTCAGGGATCACTCCCGGCAGGGTCCCCAGTGTCCTATCGCTTGGACCCCCAGGGCTCCCCAATTTTTTTTGCTTTTTGGGGCACACCCCGTGATGCTCAGGGATCACTCCCGGCAGGGTCCCCAGTGTCCTACCGCTTGGACCCCCAGGGCTCCCCAATGTTTTTTTTTGCTTCTTGGGGCACACCCCGCGATGCTCAGGGATCACTCCCGGCAGGGTCCCCAGTGTCCTATCGCTTGGACCGCCAGGGCTCCCCAATTTTTTTTTCTTTTGGGGGCACACCCCGCGATGCTCAGGGATCACTCCCGGCAGGGTCCCCAGTGTCCTATCGCTTGGACCCCCAGGGGATCACTCCCGGCAGGGTCCCCAGTGTCCTATCGCTTGGACCCCCAGGGGATCACTCCTGGCAGGGTCCCCAGTGTCCTATCGCTTGGACCCCCAGGGCTCCCCAATTTTTTTTTGCTTTTCGGGGCACACCCCGCGATGCTCAGGGATCACTCCCGGCAGGGTCCCCAGTGTCCTATCGCTTGGACCCCCAGGGCTCCCCAAATTTTTTTTTGCTTTTTGGGGCACACCCCGCGATGCTCAGGGATCACTCCCGGCAGGGTCCCCAGTGTCCTATCGCTTGGACCGCCAGGGCTCCCCAATTTTTTTTGCTTTTTGGGGCACACCCCGCGATGCTCAGGGATCACTCCCGGCAGGGTCCCCAGTGTCCTATCGCTTGGACCCCAGGGCTCCCCAATTTTTTTTGCTTTTTGGGGCACACCCCGCGATGCTCAGGGATCACTCCCGGCAGGGTCCCCAGTGTCCTATCGCTTGGACCCCCAGGAGATCACTCCCGGCAGGGTCCCCAGTGTCCTACCGCTTGGACCCCCAGGGCTCCCCAATTTTTTTTTTTTGCTTCTTGGGGCACACCCCGCGATGCTCAGGGATCACTCCCAGCAGGGTCCCCAGTGTCCTACCGCTTGGACCCCCAGGGCTCCCCCAATTTTTTTTTGCTTCTTGGGGCACACCCCGCGATGCTCAGGGATCACTCCCAGCAGGGTCCCCAGTGTCCTATCGCTTGGACCGCCAGGGCTCCCCAATTTTTTTTTGCTTCTTGGGGCACACCCCGCGATGCTCAGGGATCACTCCCGGCAGGGTCCCCAGTGTCCTATCGCTTGGACCCCCAGGGGATCACTCCTGGCAGGGTCCCCAGTGTCCTATCGCTTGGACCCCCAGGGGATCACTCCTGGCAGGGTCCCCAGTGTCCTATTGCTTGGACTCCCAGGGCTCCCCAATTTTTTTTTTGCTTTTTGGGGCACACCCCGCGATGCTCAGGGATCACTCCCGGCAGGGTCCCCAGTGTCCTACCGCTTGGACCCCCAGGGCTCCCCAATGTTTTTTTTTGCTTCTTGGGCACACCCCGCGATGCTCAGGGATCACTCCCGGCGGTGCTCGGGGGACCCTATGCGGTGCTGGGAACCGAACCCGTGCAAGGCAAACGCGCCCCCCCCCCCGCGCTGTGCCACCGCTCCAGCCCCGAGGGGGTCCCGAGGGGGTCCCCAACCTCTGCGGGAGCCACCCGACTCCCCCGCTCCTGCCGCCTGCGCCTGCCGCCCTCCCGCACCCCGGACCCCCGCTCCCGCCCTCCCGCACCCCGGACCCTGCGCGCCCGCCCCGCGGCCCGGGGCGCGGGGCGCGCGGGCCGGCCCGAGCCGCCTGCCAACGCCCGCGCGGGATCCGAGCCGGTAGCGGCCCGCAGCCGAGCCCGCAGCCCCATGGGCCCCGCCGCCGGCGCGCTGCTCTGGGCCCTGCTGCTGCCTCTGGGCGCCCCGGCGGCGGGGGCCCAGGACCGCACGGACACCTCCACGCTGCGGCCCAGCTCCCGCGGCCCGGCCCGCACCTCCCTGCGCCCCGCGCCGCCCCGCAGGACCAGCCCGGCCCGCAGGGTGACGGCGGAGGACGAGGACGACCTGCTGGTGGACGCCGACCGCCAGGCCAGCCCCGCCGCCGCCGAGCTCCTGGCGTCCACGGTGACCGGCCTGGTGCGGACGCTGCCCGGGGAGGACGAGAGCCTGGAGGAGGGCGGCGTGGTCATCAGCGCCAACGCCAGGAAGGACCAGGCGGCGAAGCCCGCGGCGGAGACCACCACGGCCAGCACCCCGGGGCCGCCCAGCCCCCGCTTCCCCGCCAACGTGCAGGAGCCCGAGCTCCGGCTCACGTCCGACCTGCCCACGACCACCCCCGGCGCGCCGGGCTCCAGCGCCGCGGTGGACGAGGCGTACTCGGAGAACACGGAGGGCACCGAGAGCACGCTGACCACCCTGAGCCGCTGGACCTCGCACGGCTCCGTCCCGAGCCCCTGGCGCTCGGCCCCGGCCAGCAGCATGCCGGCGCCCGAGGACCTGCAGCTGATGCTGCTGCCCTGGGGCCCCTGGCACTGCCACTGCAAGGCGGGCACCATGAGCCGCTCGCGCGCCGGGAAGCTGCACGGCCTGTCCGGGCGCCTCCGGGTCGGGGCGCTCAGCCAGCTGCGCACCGAGCACAGGCCCTGCACCTACGCGCAGTGCCAGTGCGACCGGCTGCGCGAGGAGTGTCCCCTGGACAACAGCGAGTGCCCGGGGCCCGGCTGCACCTCTGCGCCCGCCGCCAAGCCCACCGCCGCGCCCAGCACCAGGACCCTCTCCACCGCCTGCCCGGACTCCGCCCTGGAGTTCTGGAAGAAGGTCAGGGCCGGGCTGGAGGACATCTGGAACAGCCTCTCCTCCGTGTTCACACAGATGCAACCAGTAAGTGTTGGACCACCACTCGGTTGGTGCCACTTGGGGACCTGTAAAGGCCCCAGCCCCACAGCTAAGGCAGCCATGGAGCCAACGGCAACCTTTGTGATTGATTGGTACTGACACATGACATCGATTAGTCATGGATCACACCTATTTTTTGTTTCGGTTTGGGTCACACCCAGCGATGCCCAGGGGTCGCTTCCGGCTCTGCACTCAGGAATCACTCCTGGCGGTGCTCGGGGACCATATGGGATGCTGGGAATCGAACCCGGCTCGGCCACGTGCAAGGCAAACGCCCTACCCGCTGTGCTATCGCGCCAGCCCCATCACACCTATTATTCCTTGAGCCACTGCCGGTTATTAGGTGAACATATTGGTTAGTACTAGTATAGGAACAATTCTTGTTGTGGAACCAGAGCGATCGTACAGCAGGTACAGTGCTTGCCTCGCACACAGTCGACCTGGATTCAATCCTGAGCACCCCAGGTCGTCCCCCCCAAACCTATCAGGAGTGATCTGTGAGCACAGAGCCAGGAGTAAGCCCTGAGCACCGCTGGGTGTGGCCTCAAAACAAAACAAAAAAAACTGCTATTAAAGTCAGAGAGACGGGGCTGGAGCGACAGCACAGCGGGTAGGGCGTTTGCCTTGCACGCAGCCAACATGGCCTGGCCGACACAGGTTCGATTCCCAGCATCCCATATGGTCCCCCGAGCACCGCCAGGAGCGATTCCTGAGTGCATGAGCCAGGAATAACCCCTGAGCATTGCTGGGTGTGACCCAAACAGCAAAAATAAATAAATAAATAAATAAAGTCAGAGAGACAGTACGGAGGGTAGGTGTTTACCTTGCATTCAGCTGACCCTGGCTCAATCCCTGGCACCCTATGACTTTTCCTGAGCACTTCTTGGAATGTTCCCTGGATACAGAGCCTGGAGTAAGCCCTGAGCACAGCTAGGTGTGCCGCCCCCGCAAAAAAAAAAAATTATTGATGCCGGGGTCGAAGAGACAGTTAAAGCACCTGTCTTGTGCACAGCTGACCCTGGTTAGACAACCCCCAGTGTTGTCAGGATGGATCCCTGAGGGCTGCCACACGTGGCTCAACTTACCAAATTCTTCTTTTTTGGGGGATGGGGGAGTGGGGCACACTTGGTTGTACTCAGGGCTTACTCCTGACTCTGCTCAGGCATCACTCCTGGCAGTGCTCAGGAGACCATATGTAGTGCCAGGGACCGAACCCGGCTCAGCTGTGTGCAAGATAAGCACCCTGCCACTCAGTCCACTCCCCCAAATTCTCCGTGCACAAATTAAAAGGCAGGGAAGATAATAACCAGGTGCTTTCAGCATATTAACGCAGTGAAGTCACAGCCGTGTGAGGACTTTTTTTTTTTTTAAGTTTTTGCGTCATACCCAGAGGTGCTCGGGTTATTCCTGGCTCTGTACAAAGGAATTGCTCCTGGCGGTGCGTGGAGGACACTATGGGATTCCAGGGATTGAACCTGAGTTGACCATGTGCAAGGCAAATGCCCTACCTGCTGTGCTATCGCTCCAGTCCGTGTGAAGATTTAGTGGGAGCAGTTTAGTGAACCAAACCTCACTCCAAGCCTGTTAGCCCACTGTGCAGGTGAAGAAAACAGGGTTTACGGAGCTGATATCTGGCAGTCAGAGGACTTAACCAGGTTGACTGGACAATCTCGCTCATCCTCGTTAATTCCCACAGTCCCCTAACACTATCCCTCTGTGCTTAGGGCCCATCCCCTAAGAATTCTCAAGGCAGGACAGTCCCCTGCTTTACCCATGGAGCTACCAAAGGTCTGACTGACCTCCTGAAGCATTGATAGAATGACAGGACCTTTGAGGAAGGCGACACAATAAAGTGTGAACTTGGCCATTTTGATCGTTCTCGTCTTTGTCTTCCCCTTGTGGGCCCAGCTGCCATCATTCAATACGAAAAAGCAGCAACAGGGCCCCAGTGGTGCTGAGGACTTGAAGGTCTGTGGGAGGAGGGAGATGAAGCAAGGATATAGATGTAGTAATCAATATTTATTTTCACTTGTATTTTGTTTTCCTTACCCAGATAGACAGAAACCAGAAGTAATGGCCACTTCAGCAAGAGAAGGCGCCAGCATCCCAGCCTCTCTCCTTTCAATCCCTGCTCCCACTGGATATTTTTAGTACAGAAAACATGGTTCTAGAAAAATACATTGATCTTGTGTCTCTCTATACTTCACTGAGGAAGACGTCACTCTCTGAAATCTTGGCGCTAGCATCTGGCTGGTCCCTTACCCCAATTCCCTGGATAAAATGCTGATGTTACTGGTGCTTGTGATCTTCACTTTCAGAGTTGTCATTAATCAATTTGGCGGGGGGGGGGGGGGGGGGGGCGTGGGGACGATTTTTTGGTTTTGGGCCACACCCAGTTCTGCTCAGGGCTTAGTCCTGGCTCTGTGCTGCTCAAGGTCGTTCCTGGCAGGCTCGGGGAACTAGATGGAGTGCTCTCTGGATTGAACCAGGTTGGCTATTGCAAGGCAAGCTCTGGCCCGACAAGCACTTTTGGAGGGTTTTAGTAATGTGGGGCCACACCTGGTGGGGCTACCATTTCAACCCTGGCCCAACAAGTATTTTTGTATGTGTGTGTGTGAGGGGGAGTCCCCAGTAACGTTCAACGGCTACTTCTGGGTCTGCATTCAAGAATCACCCCCAGTGACCATCCACAGGGGACAACATGGGGTACTGGAGGCTAAACCCAGGTGGGTTGCTTCAGAGAAAATGCCCAACCTATTGTTCTACGGCTTCAGCCCAAACAATAACATTTTTCTCAGACAAAAATCACGGATAAAAGCCAAGGATAGAGGCTGATGGTGGCCTCCCAGCCTTCACTAGTACACACTTGCCTCAGGAAGGCAAATTGTTGTTGACAAAATCCATTAGCCACCTTCCGGGAAATCCCTGCCCCAACCACATCCAGCCAACACACGCCTAAGAGATTACTCTGGGACTCTTTTGCTTACATTTTTATTTGAAAAAAAAAAAAGTATTTAAAAGTCCAATAAGTTTTTAATATAAATTATACCTCTCATTCCCATCACTCTGGTGATGGTGGCACACGCTTAATATACTTGGAGAAAAGTGAAGAGAGAGCACCGGAGAGAAGGCTGTGTCCAGAGGAGACGGCGGAGTAAGGCTGAAGATCTGGGCGACCTGAGGTCCCAGGGGTGTTGTCTCCCCTCCCCATCGCCTCATCTTTCTAACCTGCTCTGTAGCCTCAGGTTTTTTTTACCCTTTGGGGTTCGGGAGGCCCCACTCGGGGGCTCAAAGGCGAGGCCGGAGCACTACGGCTGAGCGACCCCCCCCCCCAGCACCAGCGTCTCCAGGCTGGTGAGGTACTTTCAGGGCAGCCTGCTGGGCTGGGTCTGAGTAAGTGAGAAGCGAAAAGGACCCATCAGAAGTGAAACTGGGGGGAAAAACTCGTAGTAAACGCACTCCAGCTGGAACACTGTAGACAGTGGCACAGCCGAGGGGCGGTGGGCCGGGCAGAGCGGGCCTGGCTTTCCGCGTCTCCCAGCCCTGTTCCCGTCGGACAAGAGTCCCCGGGATGGAGTCAGCAGGAACTTGTCCCATCTGTTCTGCCGGGCAGGGGCCAGAACAAAGGACACCTGAGAAAACCGAAAATGCCTTTAGACCCCGTCCCCCCGCCACTTCCCACCGGACTTTTGAGCGGGGCGGGCAGTGGCCACGGTTGCTGGTCCGCAGACAGAACTCCCTGAGCCTCAGCCGCGCCTGCTTCTAGGACAGGGCGCAGAGACGGAGATGGGGAGGCCCTTCCCCTGAAGGATCCTGTGTCGTACCCATCAGAGATGGGGACCCAGGCGAGCCCGAAAGAACGGTTTGGAGATTGTGTTGGGCTTGTCACCAGGGGCCCAGTTCATCCAAGGCTGAGGCGCAGGGTGAGTAAGGGGAAGGGAATGGGATGGTGTGTGTGTGTGTGTGAAAACCACTTTAAGGATCTTGGCTGTTAGAGTGTGGCGGGATGGGGAGGGGTGGGGAGTATTTTGCTCCCTCGTAGACATTTGGCAATGTCTGGGGACATTTTGGGGTTGACATTAAAGGATGGACCAGAGATACTGCTAAACGTCCTAAAATGCACATGACAGTCCCCACTGCAAAGAATTATCGAGCCTGAACGTCAGAGAAGCATGGTCTACAAGTCTTGCACTAGGTCAGAATTTCTCAGCCTTTTCCTGACCATGCCCCCCTTTCAACAGCTTCCCACTGGTGGTCTTTTGGTCAGTTGGTTCCCTAACAGTTTTCACCTGTGGCCTCCGTGGAAAATCCCAGGGCCTAGAGGGGGCTATATGGACGTCGGCTGAGAAATCCCCAGTGGTCTGATGCTCGGAGAGTCTCAGGGCGCCTCAATTCATCGCTGAGGACTTTCAGCCTATTTTCCTACCAGCCTTCCTATTCTCAGGGGTCTGGAAGCCCCTCACACCTCCTCCCCTGGCGCCGCCGCTTCCTGGGCTTCTCTGCAGCTCCCCTCTGTCTGCTCACCTGAGCCAGCAGGGAGGTTGGCAGAAGGTCCGCAGGTCCTCAAAAAGGTCAACGGAATGTCGTTGGGTTGAGATCTACCTCTGAATGCTCCCTCAGTGGGAAACGGGCGTTTTTCATGGGGGCGGTGTGAACAGGATGGGGGTGACTAACAGAATTCAAATTAAATGTTTAAAAAAAGAAAAAAAAAAAAAAGGAAAGCTGCTAGGAGCTCAGAATGCCACAGAGACACTGAGCAGAGGCCTGGCTGGAGAGACGAAGGGAGAAAGACGCAGGGGAAGCCATCGCTCCAGATGAGAGACAGTGAACGAGAACGCCCTCCCAGCCCCGCCCGACTTGCCGCAGTCTTTCCAGGAGGGGAGGACGAGGGGAGGGAGCGTCTCAGCAAGGCCGACCCCACCCACCGACCCCAGGTGAGGAGTCCAGGGATTCAGAGCAGACGGCACCCTGACCATCATTCAGGAGGAGGGAACAGTCTCCCCACATTCCCATATCAGATCCGAGTGTCCAGGGCTTCTGCTAGGCTCTCTGGCCAGCCAGTCCTACTGCCTGGACCCCATCTCCAGGAGGGGCTCCAGCTAGAGGGACGGAGGGAGTCCAGCCCCCCCAGCCTTCCGAGGCACTGTCAGGCAGAGAAAGGTGGGGTCAGGGGTCACAGGGACTAAGAGCAATCTGGTGGGAGGAGGCATCTTTTCTGGGCTAGACAGAGTGGAGACTTCCGGACAGCAGAGCCTGATCTGCAGAAGGAGAGGAAGAAAGGCAGATTACAGTCTCGAAGCAATCGGGGCTTTGGTTGGTTCGCTTTGGTTTGGGGGCCACACCCAGTACCCAGGGATCACTCCTACCAGGGCTTGGGGGATCATGTGGGATGCTGGGATCAAACCGGGGTGGCTAGCTGCAAGGCAGTGCCTTCCCCACTGTGCTCTCGCGCTGGAGCAGAAACTGAGGCTTTGGAAGAAACTCCCCTCATGCGGACCATCCCTCTCCTCTTCTGCATCTTCCACCACAGGCCTGGGCTTCCTGAGGCAGGGCTGCTGGACACTCACCGTCCCTGGGGGCGTTACAAGCCCCTAGAATTGCTCCATGGCCTGTCTCGGTTCCCCTTGGATCTCATCTGCTCCTGAACAGCACCTGTCTGGGAGAGCACAGTGAGCCCTGGAAGAGGTCGAACCCCTTTCTTCAGAGAGAAATCCAGTCCACAAGCTGCAAACCTCCCTCCCAGGGAGGCACCGCTGCGTCCTTCACACAGACCCGCGAGGAGGAAGAGAGCCAGTGGGTCTGGGCGGACACTCGCAGAGACGCTCTTAGGAACTGAGCGCTGTCCCAAGTGGAGACCCCTGCGCTACCTCCAGGCCCACATTCCGAACTAAGCAGAAATCACATCAGCCATGATTGAGGAGGACAGAGGCGTCTGCTCCTTCCTGCCCTGACACGTCCAGCAGCGGTGCTGGTCGTAACACTGACCGTTCCTTCTGGGCAGTGTTGGGGGCAGAACCCAGTGCCTCCCACATACAAGGCATGTGGTCAAACACGGCGCCCCAGCCGCAGCTGTAGCTCGGAAATGCTGGGTCTCTGGTGCTGACAAGGACTAGAACCCTCAATTCTGGGCTGGAGACATAGCCCAGCAGGAGAACACATGCCCTCACATGAGCGAGGTGCTGGGTCCCATCCCTGGGATCAGAATAAATTTGTCTCGGGGCTGGGGTGATAGCACAGAGCGTAGGGCGTTCCTCCCATATGGCCGGGTTCGATTCCTACCATATGGCCCCCCGAGCACGGCCAGGAGTAATTCCTGAGTGCATGAACCAGGAATAACCCCTGTGCATCGCCTGGTGTGACCCAAAAAGCAAAAACAAACAAACAAACCAATAAATTTGTCTATATAAAACCCTAGGTTCTGCTTGTTTTTGTTTCGGGGTTTGGGGCTACACTCATTGATGCTCAGGGGTTACTCCTAGCTCTGCACTTGAGAATTCCTTCTGCTGGTGCTTGGGGTACCCTGTGAGGTGCTGGGGATAGAACCTGGGTTGGCCGCTTGAAAGGCAAGCATCTTCCCTGGGATATTATTGCTCCAGTCCCTAAAATCCTAGGATCTGGCTTGCTTTCTAAATGCCTGTTCTGCCCTAAATTTCTGCCTTGAATATGTATTTCACCTGCTTGTCTCGATGTATTTCTTCTTTCTCCTTTTTTTGGGTCACACCTGGTGGTGCTCAGGGGTTACTCCTGGCTCTGCACTCAGGAATCACTCCTGGTGGTGCTCGGGGACTGTATGGGATACCAGGGATCGAACCCGGGTTCCCAGGTTGGCCACATGTAAGGCAGGCAGCTTATTCACCGTACTTACTACCTCTCTGGCCCTCTGTCACATCTTGCTAAGCAAGAATTGTTATAAAAAGCATCTTGTTTCACAGGAAAAAAAAAATTTGGGTCACACCTGGCAATGCACAGGGGTTACTCCTGGCTCTGCACTCAGGAATCACTCCTGGTGGTGCTCGGGGATTGTATGGGATACTAGGGATCGAACCCGGGTTCCCGGGTTGGCCACATGTAAGGCAGGCAGCTTATTCACCGTACTTACTACCTCTCTGGCCCTCTGTCACATCTTGCTAAGCAAGAATTGTTATAAAAAGCATCTTGTTTCACAGGAAAAAAAAAATTTGGGTCACACCTGGCAATGCACAGGGGTTACTCCTGGCTCTGCACTCAGGAATCACTCCTGGTGGTGCTCGGGGATTGTATGGGATACTAGGGATCGAACCCGGGTTCCCGGGTTGGCCACATGTAAGGCAGGCAGCTTATTCACCGTACTTACTACCTCTCTGGCCCTCTGTCACATCTTGCTAAGCAAGAATTGTTATAAAAAGCATCTTGTTTCACAGGAAAAAAAAAATTTGAGTCACACCTGGCAATGCACAGGGGTTACTCCTGGCTCTGCATTCAGGAATCACTCCTGACGGTGCTCAGGGGACGATATGGGATGCTAGGAATCGAATCTGGGTCAGCCTTGTGCAAGGCAAACGCCCTACCCGCTGTGCTATCACTCCAGCCCCTCTAGATTATTTTCGGTTTTGGGTGCTGTGCAACTCCAGGTCACTCGGAGGACACTGAAGTAGCAGGGACCAAGTCCAGGGCTTTGAGGGTTCCACTTGAGCACCCCTAGACAGCTTTGGAGCCTAGCTTCTTTTTCCTTTTTGGGCTTTTGGGCCACGCCTGGCAGTTCTCAAGGATCACTCCTAGCTCTGTGCAAGGGACCATCACTGGATGGAACCGGGGTTAGTCCTGCCCGCCGCACTGCTCTCTGGTTCGAATCCTCCATTCTTACTTCCTTGCGGTGTGCTCTGGTATGCTCCCTGCTTCGGTTCTCAGAAAGGGGAACAACGCTAGACCGCAGCCCACATCAACCTCTCTCCATCCCCAGTTACCATGGCAAGGCCGTCTCCGGCCCCCATCTCCCCAGAGCCAATGTGGGTCAGGTGGACAAAATTCATTGGTTCCCCGATCATGGTCCGATCGATCCGTCTCCTCTTCTTCTTCTGCTTGGACAAGACAGGGCTGTTAGGGCGGAAGCCCCCTCGGCTGGGCCCAGAGAAAAAGCACAGAGACTGCAGGGCCATGAAGGCGGGAGCGAAGGGTCCCACGGGGAAACATCGCATTTGGGGAGGGGACCCCAGGGAACGCCGAGGCCAGCCAGGGAGGGAGCGCAGCGGCCTGCAGGGAGAGAGGGGACAAAGGCCACGCAAAGTCCCCTGTGCCTGTGAGGAAACAATGGGGCAGTGGACAGGCATGAAGCTCCGCCCGCTGCCCCTGTCCAGCTCAGAAAGGCAACGACGAGGCAGTGACAGCCAGGGCTGGACATGCCTTTCACCTTCCACCTTCCCTCGCTCCTCGGACACTCCGAACACCGACACACTCTGGAGAGCAGGGGCCGAGAAGGGCCTTCTGGGAGAACAGGCCCCAGAAGGTCACAGGATCTGGTAACTGATTTCTGGGTGCTGGGGTGGGGCGGGCGCAGGGAGACTCACCGGCTGGGGTTTCTCTACCACACAGCAGCCCAGTTTGTGCCAGAAGTCACTCATGTTCCCTGACGGTTCCAGTTTCACTCTTGTGCTAGAAAGCCCCAGAGGGCTTTAGCTCTGGTTCTCGGGACACCCACTCTTCAGCTCCCTGGGTGGGGGCGGGGGGATGAGAGACCCCGATGGAGAGAAAGTGAAGTCTGTGCAGAGCGGTGCCGAGCCTCAGAGTCAGCGTAAGCTGGTCAGAGCCCGAGGGGGGCAGGAGGGTGCGCAGAGGGTCTTCCTCAGCCGGCAGCCCTGCGGGAGCACAGGGGAGAAGAGGGGGAGGTCAGCAGAAGCCCCTCCCTTGCAGCCACACCTCGGTCTCCTTTAGTGGATTCAGTCCCACACCGTACCACTCATCTCCCCCAAACGTGAGAAACTCCCGGTCGGACTCTTCCGAAGGAAGGAGCAGTTGGTCTGGGGCCAGGAAGGGGGAAGGTCTGCAGGCAGTGAGGAAGCAGAGGAGAGCGGCAGAAATGAGCAGTCAGGGCTGCAGAGACAGGACAGTGCTCAGGGCACTCGCCTTGCACGCAGCCCACCCACGTCAATCCCAACCCAGGTCAATCCCCAGCATCCCCTGGTCCCCCGAGCACCATCAGAAGAGATTCCTGAGTGCAGAGCCAGGAGTAACCCCCCGCACATCACCAGGTGTGGCCCCCCAAACAACAAAGAAACAAAAAAAGAAGTGAGCAGAGCAGGGCCCGCTCGAGCCCCACCTCCTCCACCCAGAACAGGAGAGGAGGAAATAGTGGTTTTTTGTTCTCAAAACAAGGTCCCTGCCCTGCCCCTCCTCTTGCCTCACCTTCCCCTGAACACCTATATATATATATACATATTTTTTTTTTGTGATGAGCTTACATTTCATTTCTTTTTCACTTAAAAAAATTTCTTAAGAAGTTTGATCGGATCACCGTGAGACACAGTTACAAACTTGCATAACTGCATTTCAGTCAAATGATGTTCGAGCACCCATCCCTCCACCGGTGCACATTTCCACCACCGATGTTCCCAGTGTCCCTCCCGCCAACCCCACCCCACCCCACTCCCTGCCTCTGTGGCAGGTACAATCCTTCTTACTCTCTAATCTTGGGCATTATGATTTGCAATACAGACACTGAGAGGCCATCGTGTTTGGTCCTCGGTCTACTTTCAGCGCACATCTCCCATCCCGGGCGATCCCCCCCAATCATCATTTACTTAGTGGTTCCTTCTCCATCCCAACTGCCTGTACCCCCAGCACGTGGGGCCGGCTTCCAAACCATGGCGAACACCTATCTTTTAAGACCCGGAGAGGCCCGGAAGCCTGGAGAAGCTGGAGAGACTCCAGGGGGAAAAGTTTTCACTTTCCTGCTGCCACCACAGTGTCATTTCCCCCAGAAGAGACTCTCCCAGAACCCATTAACAGCACCTCTGAGGACATGACCTTCAGGCCTTCCCGATGCTCTCCTCTGCTTCTCGGTCTGCTGGTGACCGGGCCTGGTCAGGACCCTGCCTTGTACGCACGCAGCTCCAACACCCAGGTGGCGAAGCGTGTCTTTGCGAGGATCTGACCGCACAGGTCACCTGTGTACCGGCTGCAGGCCCCCGTGCGAACCTGGTGTTCCGTGAGCAATCTTTTCCCTGTCTCCCCACCCTCTCCACATGTCCTATCCTGTGTGCTGCTCCTCTCTGCCTCCCGCCCCCAAGGGCCAGATCCCCAGCCCGCGTCATGCTGGGACCTGTCCTCCCCGTCCTCCCGCCAGCCAAGCTGCAGCAGACAGCCAGACAGAACCGAGAAGGAACTTCCCCTTTCATCACGGCCAGAGTGGAGGACAACTTGAATGTCCTCTGCCTTGCTTCCCGCCCCTGGTCTCAAAATACGGGTAGACAGGGCTGGAGCAATGCGACCCTGAGCAGAGCACCTGCACACGGCAGACCCTGGTTCCATCTCCAGTACCCCGAGTACCCCCAGGAATCAGCCCTGAGCACCAGCCTCCACCCTAAACCAGAACAAACCACAACTGAAATACGGGTAACCCCAAAGAATCTACGACGACTAGGGGCAAGGCATTTCATGAGCGAGGCTCTGGCCGGAACCTTGGTGCTCTGACACCCCAGACCCCAGGAAGTGAGAACTGGGCTGTGTCTTGGCGCACTGTCTTGAGTCAGGGTCCAGGGGGGCAAGTGAGGGCCTGAGGAAGGGAGCACAGGGCTGGCCAGAACGGGCAGTGGTGCCCAGCGGGGAATGGAGCAGCGGCCGGCCACCACGGCTGGTGGTGGCTGCTGAGAGCCGAGGGGAGGGTGGGGATGGCGGAACAATGGAGAATCAGAGGAAACCCTCAACACCACCAGAAAGGCGAGGCTGGGACTGGCCGCCGCCCCCCACACACACACCAGAGTCCGGCGGAGGGGGTTGGAGGGAGGGCAGATGGGAAGGAGACTGGAGGGAACAAGAAGGGTTCTGTTCCCTCTCCGGGCTGGGTGGAGGGCGTGTGTGAGCGGGACTCTTGGCATCAAGGACCCACGATGATGAGAAATGACCAGGAAATTCCATGCCCGGGACAGAAAACACCAGGGTCTCAGCAGCCTGCGGGTGGGGGGCGGGTGGGGGCAGAGGGACTTGGGGGTGGGGGTGCAGAGGTGGGGAGGGGGCCAGGAAGGAAGTGAGAGCGATCGGCTGGCAGCGGCCTTCGAAACAAACCTCGGACAGCGAGGGGACAGCGAGGGGACAGCGAGGGGACAGCGAGGGGAGCGAAGCCCCGCGGGCTGCTGGCCGGGCGGGCGGGCCAGCAGGACGCGCCGGCCACTTCCTCGCGCCCAGGAGCGGAAGGCGGCGGGGCCGGGGCCCTGAGCCCCGCCACCGGCCCGGGCCCAGCAGTCGGGGCGGGGACAGGCCGCCAAGGTCGCGGGGGGGCCCCGGCCAGGCCCAGCAGGGGTGGGCGCGGGTCCGGGGAGGAAGCGTGCGCAGAGGCGGCGGCTCCCCGGCCCGGTCCGGGCCGCAAACCGGTTCGCCCGGTCCCGCCGCCTGCGGCCCGGGGCCCCGCAGCCCTCGCGGGGGGCAGCCGGGAGGGAGAAAGAGAAAGAGAAAGGGCCGAGCGGCGGCTCCCGGGGGCGGCCAGGGGCGCGGGCGGCCCCTGCGCGCGGCTCCCGGGGGCGCCGGAGGGAGCGGGGGGCGCCCGGCCCGACCCCCGATCGCGCGCCCGGCCGCCCCGGGGGCCCGCTCGGAACCCGCAGGCCCGGCCCGCGGCACCCCAGGGCCCGCAGGGTGCGGGGCCGCCGCCCCCCTCCCCGCCGGCGCCCCCGCCGCAGCCGGGCGGCCGCTCACCTGCAGGGCGCGGGCATCGGGGCGCGGCGCGGCGGCCGGGGGCTCCGCTCGGGTGGGCAGCGCGGAGGGGATCCCGGGCGGGCGTCGGCGCTGCGGGAGCCCAGGGCGGCCGGCAGGGGTGGGGCCGCCGCGGACGGAAGCGGCGGCGACGCGCTGACGACACGGCGGGGAGGGGAGCGGGCCCTGCGCCCTGGGCGCACGGCCCGGGCACCCGCCGCGACCCCCGCCCGCAGCCGCCGGGGACAGCGGAGCGGCGGCCGGGGGGTCCTCCCCTGCCCGTGCCCGCCCCGTGCCCAGGTTCGCACAAGCATCGCGTCCCCCCCTGCCCGCTCTGCCCCGCGAGGGTCGGGCTGGCCGGTGCGCGCCCCCCCTTTCCTCGTTTTGGGGTCGCAGCCGCCCAAAGCAGGTGCTGGGGGCTCACCCCTGGGCCTGCGCTCGGCGGGACGCGGGGACCAGCTGGGAGGACGGGGATGCGATGCGTCTCTCCGCCCCGATCCCCCCGGTTTTCGCGATCCGGGGGGCGGAGGGGCGAGCGGCAGGGGGGCGGCCGCGGGGGAGGACGGGTGCGGCTCTCCACGCCCTGCCCGGACCCTCGCGAAGCCGAGACCCCTCCCCCGGGGGAGCAGGGGCGCTCTCCCTCCCCGGCATCCCGAGACGGTCCTCCCCCCGCACCCACCCGCACCCCCACCCGCGCACCGGCGCAGTGACTCGCCCCTTCCCCGCAGCCGGGCCGGGTGCGGGGCCGGGACGCGCGCGCGCCGCCCACTGGGCCCCTCCGCTCCGCAGCCCGCGCCCCCGCCCGCGCTCCGAGCCTATCGCTTGAATGAGCCGAGCCGGCCGGGAGGGGCCGCATTGCAGGGGTAGCCCGAGCCGAGCCTCTGCGGCGGGAGAGCAGAGACAAAGCCGCCAGCCCCGCCGCTCGCCCACCTGCAGCCCCGAGCACCCCGGCGCACCCCGAGCGCTCCCGCCGCCCCCGGAACGCGCCGCTCACTCCCTGAGCACAGGTAGAGCGACCCGGGCGGGGGGCCGGGGGCTGCCGCTCCAACGGGGATGGGCAGGAGGTGGGGGACGGTCCCCGGGGAGGGGAGGCAGCGCCGTGGACAAGGACAGCCGGGCAGGCGGCCTCCCCAGCCGTGTCCAGTGCTGCTCGCAGACCTTCGCCGCCAGCCTGCAGGTGCAGGGACACGACTTCCCGGCGTGTCCTCCTAGGTCCGAGGCTGAATATGCCTGTGCCCTATTCAGCCCGATTCAACCCCGGAATCGGTTCACTGCCTTTTTGCACGAGTCGGTGTTGGCCGATCAGCCTCGACTCCCCTCTGCATGCATAAGTGTATTGGCCTCCCCCCCCCACCGCTGCCTACCTTCACCCCCAAACTTACTGGCCTCTGGAGGAGTGACTTGGATGGGAAAGGATTGAATCAATAAGCATCTCGGGCCTCTTTTTGGGTAACCCCAGCTCAAAGAAAGAAAGGCAGCCTGGGGGTGGGTGGCGAGGGCTCCTGAGAAGCTGCCTGATCCTATTCTGAAATCACCAAGCCCAGAGGTAGCTTTGGGGGAAGAAAGACTGGTGTGGAAGGGTGGGGGGGAGACCTGGTTGCTGGGAAAGTCCAAGGCCAGGAGGTCCCTGGAATGAGCCTGCAGAGCTCTGCCGTCCCCTCCCCCAGGGGCACCATGACACAGCAAGACCCTGGGTAGGCCTGGGTATGTCTGGGTAGGCCCTGGACTCCCACCCGGGGTCCACTCAAAGGGTGTTTGGGAGGGTCTGGTGTGGTTTTTTATACATATGTTTGCTGAAAGGGTGAGAATGATGTTTAGAGACATCTTTATTTAAAAGAAAAGCTGACAGGACCTGTTGTTATGAAGCATCCCGTTGTGGTTCAAGGCACTGTCCAAGCCCTTTTAGATATAAGGTACCAAAAGATGGACGAGGAACACAAGCTTACTGGACTGGGGAAGCCTGAAAAGTAAATCCATTCTGTTCTCAATTAAACATTTTTTTGTCCTTATTGGGACTGGAGGCATGCTTCACGTGTGGGAGGATCAGCTTTGATCTCTTCTGCCTTGTGGTCCTCTGAGCTTGGTCTGGAGGAAACCCCAAACACAGAGCTGGGACTAGACCCTGAGCACCACTGGGTGTGGCCCCAACACAACAATAAGGAAATAAAATGTTCATTCCTAATGACCATTTAGCTTCGGTTTTCTGCAAAGCCAGTATGTTGATTTGATTTTTGAATGCCAGCAAGTGCTTGCTTGTATGCATGTCTTTCTAAACTGGACTTGGTGCTCTCAATTTGTGCCTCGTTTGGGAGGAAGTGCAGGAGGAAGGGCCACACCCCAGAGTGTTCTGAGCTATTCCATCTCTTGCTCGGGGGTCAGAGATGTCGGGTGAGGTGGGCCATGCAAAGACAGGGATGGAATCCTGCCTTTAGTTCAGTTCTCTTAAGTCAGTGGGATAGCCAGAGGTTTGGGGCTCTTTAAATGAGCATTTCCGCGATATTTCTTGTTGTTCCTTTGATTGCAAGGTAAGGTTGCCCGATACTCAGTAAGTTTGGGCAGTTTCTGTGCGTTTCTCTGCTCTTTTATAAGAAGTCAGTTTATCAAAGAGCAGTTTCCCGTTCTTAGATTCAAACTAGCTCTCCACCACCTTTGACATTTCCACCGCTCAGATCAGAATCAAGGATCCTAACCCATGTGATCACGGGAACTAAGAATTCCTTTATGTCTTGAGACTATTGATACAGGGTTACATAAAGCTCTGTGCAACTGTCAATGGGTAGCACCTCACAGATGGATCAGACTGGGCTCTACTCAAACCGGCTGTAGGGCTTCACAATGTACCAGATAATTTCTAAAGTGTCTGATACTTTAAAATAAAACAATTGCATCATCCCACCACCAACATAATTCTGTTTTTTAAAGAACCCTATTATGTGCCCAGCATTTGATCAGGAGGGGGTTGGAAAGGATGAGATATAAAAACCAGGCAGATAGTCAAACGGTAATTACATATATGCATATATATGTGATATAAATGCAGAATGCAGAATTCTGTAACAATTTATAAATAGTAATTAGATCTGTAATATATAACACATATTATATATATATATGTGTGTGTGGAATTCTGTAACAATTTATTCAGGATTTTTGTCAGTTTTTGTTTTTGCTTTGGGGGGGGCCACTCCTGGCTCCGCACTCAAAAGTCACGGCTGGCAGCCTCAGAGAGTATGGAATGCTAGGCGGGCATCCGACCCATTTCTCTGACCCTTTAGGATTTTTCAGTCCAAGATCTCACATTCGTAGGGGCTGGCAGATGGACACTTTCTGTGGTCTCTTTTCTCTTTCTGTGCACCTGTCCCTGCCGGTTAGCCTGGGGCTGGTGAGGCTGAGTATCCCTGAACGATGACCTCACCTTATTACCACGCTTCCCTGCCCTGTTCTAGTCCTCACATCATTTTCCGAAGCAGTTTCTCTGCTGAGTAATGATCAGTTCCCAAGGCTTCTTTTGAAATGGGAACCCGAGAGGGAAAAGACCAGAATTTCTTTTTGGACATGAAAAACTTCCTTGGCTGCCCACTCACTATTCCTAAGGCTCATCCCCTGCCCATCCTCTCCCCACCCCACATAACAGTGCTCTAAGGTACTGTCGTTTCTCTGGCCTCACAGACATTTCACATTCAGGGCCATTATATAATGTCTCCACAGCACTGGTCATGTCTGTCTGACATATTAATGGAGGCATTTGGGGTTGCCTTTAAGATGCTATTTAGAGTTCTTAAGACCTGGTGTGAGCCAAGAGAACGTGTTGGAGGAAAACCTTTGAAATGGAGGTTCTATTTTTGCAGCCACTGGAATGTTCTCCTTTGGGAACATTTCAGCTAATACTTCTTGCCTCTTCCTTGACTGGTTGGCAGCAAAGGGTGGAGACTGTTGGAGATGTCCTGGAACCGTTAGGGTGTAGCTGGGATGTTCAAGCGGGAACCATCACAGAAGTGATCACTAAAGTAGCATTGTAGTACTGTCCTCCCAATGTTCATCGATTTGCTCGAGCGGGCACCAGTAACGTCTCCATCGTGAGACTTGTTGTTACTGTCTTTGGCATATCGAATACGCCACGGGGAGCTTGCCAGGCTCTGCCATGTGGGCAGGATACTCTTGGTAGCTTCCAGGTTTTCCGAGAGGGATGAAGGAATCGAACCCGGGTCAGCCACATGCAAGGCAAATGCCCTACCTGCTGTGCTCTCACTCCAGCCTAAGTATGGAAAATTATCAATTTCTGTTTAAACAAACAAACTTCTTTGGGCTGGAGAGAGAATACAGGGGTTAAGGAACTTGCCTTGGCAGCTGAACCGGTTCAATTCCAGCACCACTTCAATCCTGCCTGAAATGATTCCTGAGCACAGTGCCAGGAGGAAGGCTCGAGCTTAGTCAGTTGTGGCTTCAAACCTTCCCTCCAAAAACAAAAACAAAATATACCCTCCTTCCAATCTCATTTTCCTTGCTGGAAATGTAAAGATCATTTGGTCTCCTTATCAGGTATCCCATAATACTGACCTGAGAGAAAGGGCTCCTGTCACGCCCTAGGATGGTTCTTTTTAAACCTGGGTTTTGTAGGATAAGGAGAAACAGACCCAGAAGCCTTAGCTGGATGGGAGCCACAAGTGTTCATTGTATTAAAGGGTTTGAGGATGGGGATTGGGGGTGAGGAATGAGCACATCCAAGAGCGATTCCTGAGTGCAGAGCCAGGAGTCATCCCTGAACATCTCCAGGTATGACCCCAAAACAAAACAAAAGGTCCAGGGTGGGAGGGGGGGTGGGGGTTTGGATGTCTTTATGTGTGTAAAAGCCAGCACTATTTAAAAAAATTTTTTTATTTTAGTTTTTATTAATGAAACACCATGAGGTACAGTTGTAGACTTAGAAATTTTTGTGCTTGGGTTTCAGTCATACAATGATCAAGTACCCATCCCTCCACCAGTGCCCATTTCCCACCACCACGGGTTCCAGTATCCCTCCCACCCCCCAACCCCCATCCCACCCTGCCTCTGTGGTGGGAAAGCCAGCACTTTTGAAGGAGGAAAATAAGAACTGAATTGTAATGGAAGGACTTTTCACTGATACCATGAACCCAGTCAACCAAAGGGAGGAAAAAGTCAAGTCTTAGCAGGAATGAAAAGTGCTCAGGGGAAAGATTCTTTAAGGACCTTGATAATGTTTTAAGGTGGAGAGTGGAGGGATTTAAGCCAAAGAGCAAGGAGTCTAGCTAGTGGAGAATGTCCTGCTGGTGTAAAACATGGAGCCAGATTCTAGAAAGCCCAGAATCCGGCCCTAAAATGGCTCAGAGGCAGCAGGCAGGCAGTGAAGTCAGGCCAGGTGGCTGTGAAGCCAGTTCCAACAGTGCGCATGAACCTTTCGTGCCGGGCCCTGAGTTTTCCAAGGGGGAAGAAAAGGCGGGAGTTAATCCAAGTGTGTGTGTGTGTGTGTGTGTGTGTGTGTGTGTGTGAGAAAGGCAGTGTACAGAACAACACACTGAAGTTAGAAAACCACAGAAAATGGTTGAGAAGGGTTCCTGAAGCTAGGCCTAGGAACTTAGATTATGAATGGACAAATTGGGATGCCAAATTTCTCAGTAAGGAAAGGCCACAGTCCACAGACGGTGACTGTTTTGCGGGGGTTGGTTTTTGGGCCACACCCAGTGGTGCCTGGGGCTTACTCCTGGCTCTGCACTCAGGAATCACTGTTGGAGGGGCTCAGGGGACCATCCAGACTGCTGGGGATCAAACCTCAGTTGACCGCATGCAAGGCAAACCCCCTACCCACGGTGCCCCAGAGGGTGCTGACTTATGGACTGACAAGTGGTTTCTTCCTAGGAAGTTATGAGGGACCCAGTGAGTAGCCAGTACAACTCGTTTCTTTTCTGGAGGATGCCCATTCCGGAATTGGATCTGTCAGAGCTGGAGGATCTGGGTCTGTCCGATGCATCTACCTACCAGAGCAAAAATAGCACCACTGGGAAAATGACCGGGCAAGCCACCGGAGCAGAGCAGAAGACACCCGAAGGTGACGTCCTCCTGGAGTACAGCACCTTCAACTTCTGGAGGGCGCCCATAGCCAGCATCCACTCCTTTGAATCGGAATTACTCTGAGGCCAAGACTTCTCTCCCTCCACCTGTCCTGTTTTCCCTCCCAAGCCCCTTCCCACCCTTCCCCCATTTTAATCTTGCTACTCCCCTCTCTCGCGTGGAGGTGGTGCCAGAGTTGTGTTGTATTTATTTATTTATTCATGTATTTATTTATTTATGGATTTGTCTTACTGATTTCTCTCAAAACCTTCAAGGCACAAAAGGGTTCAAGCCAAGTCTTTGTTCCCAGATATTAATTCCAGGAAAGAGGCCTGATGGGGGCACCCAAGAGTAATGCAGGAGTTTAAAATGGAGGGCTAATTTTTCCCCCATTTTAATCAGCTTCAGATTGCTCAGATCTCCTAATGTCTTGCAACTGGGAGTAAACACTAAGAGTTCTTTAAGGGTCGATGAAAACATTTGCAGTTTTAATTTGATATTTGCTGCGAGAACGGTGGATTTCTAAGATTGCTTATCGATCCTGCTTGTTAGACGCTTGCAGAGAAAGTACAGGAGGTGGTATAAAATGAGATTGTACATCATGTGAAATGGGGAGGGAAAGGCACGAAACTATTTCTGAAATTGCCATATTGCTAGATTGAGCCTGTCCACTTTACAACTTTGCTCCTGTGCGCTGAAAAATGCCGAGAAAAAGAATTGATTTTCGGGGCTAGGGATATGCGGTTCTTCCTGGCTATGAGCCTCTGGATTTGATTCCCAGCATATATTAAAAAGAAAGTTAAGATCAAAAAGAGAGAAAACTACTAATTTCAGGTCTCAAGACGCAGTCGTGCTGTTATAAAAGTTCCGAGCAGCAGAGCGTTGGGTGACTAGTATTTGATTGCCTTTGATAATTTACAAAGCCCAGTTGACAATTGGACCTGTCAGTTGTGTAACATGTCAGCACAGGTCTTGAGCTCACTGGAGACCTTGAGATGCAGTTTTCCTGATCGGACACCTTGTCTCCCTCCTCCCCAGGACGACTGCTGCCAACTTGTGCCATTCACTTTTATTTAATAAAGACACTCAATCCCAGAAATGAATCTGTTTGTCTTCTTCCCGCCACAGGCCAGTGGTTAAGGACCTCCAAGTCACCCTGGGTTTCACCTTCCACTTAGATGTTTTTCCCCGAGACTCGACTTTGAGGAAGCATTGAGTCATCTTTGCACGTTTAAGTAAACCTTCTGGTTGCACCTATAGGGAATGAGGAAAAGGGTTTTTTTAAAAAAAAAAAAATCGAAATGATTTAGGAAGGAAATAGTGATCAACTCCTCTTTGGCTTCACCAACACTATTCGAGGTAAGAATTCTCGGTTGCAAAGGCCCGAGCACTGCTGGGTGTGGCCCAGAGCCCGAAAGGGGACACCAGCGCGAGTCCCGGGCAGCGGGTCCGCTTGACCGACTGCGGGGACCCCTGGTAAGCACGTGGCCCCCCGCTCGACCCGGGCGGGAGCACCGGGAGCAGGCTCGGACCCGGGCGGGAGCACCGTGAACTAGCTCGGACCCGGGCGGGAGCACCGGGAGCTGGCTCGGACCCGGGCGGGAGCACTGTGAGCTGGCTCGGACCCGGGCGGGAGCATCGTGAGCTGGCTCGGACCCGGGCGGGAGCACCGGGAGCAGGCTCGGACCCGGGCGGGAGCACCGGGCGCTGGCTCGGACCCGGGCGGGAGCACTGTGAGCCGGCTCGGACCTGGGCGGGAGCATCGTGAGCCGGCTCGGACCCGGGCGGGAGCACCGGGCGCTGGCTCGGACCCGGGCGGGAGCACCGTGAACTAGCTCGGACCCGGGCGGGAGCACCGGGAGCTGGCTCGGACCCGGGCGGGAGCATCGTGAGCCGGCTCGGACCCGGGCGGGAGCACCGGGCGCTGGCTCGGACCCGGGCGGGAGCACCGTGAACTAGCTCGGACCCGGGCGGGAGCACCGGGAGCTGGCTCGGACCCGGGCGGGAGCACTGTGAGCCGGCTCGGACCCGGGCGGGAGCATCGTGAACTGGCTCGGACCCGGGCGGGAGCACCGGGAGCAGGCTCGGACCTGGGCGGGAGCACCGTGAACTAGCTCGGACCCGGGCGGGAGCATCGTGAGCTGGCTCGGACCCGGGCGGGAGCACCGGGAGCCGGCTCGGACCCAGGCGGGAGCACCGGGAGCCGGCTCGGACCCGGGCGAGAGCATCGTGAGCCGGCTCGGACCCGGGCGGGAGCACCGGGAGCAGGCTCGGACCTGGGCGGGAGCACCGTGAACTAGCTCGGACCCGGGCGGGAGCACCGGGAGCCGGCTCGGACCCGGGCGGGAGCACCGGGAGCCGGCTCGGACCCGGGCGAGAGCATCGTGAGCCGGCTCGGACCCGGGCGGGAGCATCGTGAGCCGGCTCGGACCCGGGCGGGAGCATCGAGCGCCGGCTCGGACCCGGGCGGGAGCACCGGGCGCCGGCCCGAGGACCGAGCGAGCCTCCCCCGCGCCGAGCCGACGCGCGCGGAGAGTCCCGGCCGGAACTACACGCGCGGCGGGCCGCGTCACCGCCGCCCTCCGCCAGGCCAAGTAGTCCTGCCCGGGACGCCTCCGATACGCGCCGTTTCTCCCCAAAAGCCACTCGGCGGGGAGGCAGCGAGGCCCGGCGGCGCGTCCCCGCGCGATCGGCTGGGTCGAACCGGCCTCCCGGTACCCCCGCCCCGCGGATTCCTCCGCCGGCCGCGCTCGGCCGCGGGCACTTCCGGTCCGCCATCTTGCCGCCCCCGTAGCCCCGCGCGGGGGAGGCCCCGGCCCGCGTCTATGCGCGGCCCGCGCCCCCCGTCCCCGCAGGGCGCGGCCGGCGGCGTCGCGGACGAGGTGAGGGGGCGCGGGGGGCCGGAGGGGCAGGGGAGGGGGCTGCGGGGGGCGAGGGCCGGCGCTGGGCGCGGGGTGGCCGCCAGGGGGCAGCGCGGCGCCGGGGCCGGGCCGGGCCCTGCGCGCTCCGGGGCGTGTTCGGGGCCGCGCGCGGGGGGCGGAGCCGGACCCGCAGCCCCCCGCAGCCCCCCGCAGCCCCCCGCTCGGCCGGGAGCACGTGGTCTCCCTCCTCGGGGGGCCCCCGGAAAACGGCTGCGGGGCCCCGAGCGGGAGGGCGTTTGCTTTGCATCCCGTGCGTCCCCCCCATCCCCCCCGCCAGGGGTGGCCCCCGAGCATCGCGGGGTGCGACCCCAAAAGCAAAATGCAAAATGCAAAATGCAAAAAACAGAGATCATCCCGTGGTTGGTTCCGCTGCAGCAGAACGACACCGCCGTGGACCAGCTGGGACCGTATTTTCGCGGGACCGTTTTGCCCCACCCTGCCCTCCTGCGAGGGTTCGGGGCATCCTGTGTTTAGCACCCAGATTCCGCTGTCACCACGCCCCGGCAGTGCATAGGGTGCTGCGTTGCAGCGCGGTGCAAGCCCGTTTGTGGAAAGGTTCTTGCACCAGCGTTTGGGGAAGCCGGGTGGGGGGGCTCGTGCTTTGCCCCCGATCCTTCCAGACTCTGGGGCCCGGTCCAATCGGACCGTGGTCTGCTAGGTACCTTGCACTTGGGGAGCAGCACCTGCACCCCAGGATGCTTATTTATTTATTATTATTTTTTTTTTGTTCTGGGAGGGCACACCCGCAAGAGTTGGGAGGTGCTCAGGGGTTGCTCCTGTCTCTGCGCTCGCTGGGTGCGTGGGGGGGGGGGTCCCTCGTGGCAGGGCTCTGGGGACCTGAGATGGATGGACTCCGCGCAAGGTGGGACCCCTGCGTCCAGGGCAAGTGCCCTCTCGGCTGGATTGCGCTGCCCCTCTCCCCCATGCTGTTATTTTTTTTTTTAATTTTATTTATTTATTTATTTTGGTTTTTGGGGTCACACCCGGCGGTGCTCAGGGGGTTACTCCTGGCTCTGCACTCAGGAATTAACTCCTGGCGGTGCTCAGGGGACCCTATGGGATGCTGGGAATCGAACCCGGGTCGGCCGCGTGCAAGGCAAACGCCCTACCCGCTGGGCTATCTCTCCAGCCCCCCCATGCTGTTATTTTTTATTTATTTATTTATTTTTTGCTTTTTGGGTCACACTTGGCAACGCTCGGGTTGCTCCTGGCTCTGCACTCAGGAGTTACTCCCGGCGGTGCTCAGGGGACCCTATGGGATGCTGGGAATCGAACCCGGGTTGGCTGCGTGCAAGGCAGACGCCCTACCCGCCGTGCTATCGCTCCAGCCCTCAGGATGAATTTTTATTTATTTTCTTTTCTTTTTGGGTCACAGCTGGTGATGCACAGGGGTTACTCCTGGTTCTGCACTCAGGAATCACCCCTTGCGGTGCTCAGGGGACCATATGGGACGCTGGGAATCGAACCCGGGTCGGCTGCGTGCAAGGCAAACGCCCTACCCGCTGTGCTATCTCTCCAGCCCCCCATGCTGTTATTTTAAGAACATATGCAGGTCTGAAGGGCAGGGCCCCATGTTTTGGATACGGGAGCCCGAGTCTACCACTGAATACGACCCCAGAACTGTCAGAAACCACACCCAAGTAACTGGATCTGCGAGATGCTCATAGAGCTTGGACCACACACACACACTGCACACAGAAACCCCAAGATTTCACCCCCCAAAAAATAATATAAAAGGATAAGGGGAGAATGAAACCTCCAGGAGCCTGCTAGGAGACTTGAAGGTGGGGCTGGGGGCGCGGCGGTTGAGCCCAGAGCCTCACATCCAAAAGTAACTGCTTGAGCGTAGAGCCACAACCCTAGGCCCTGCAGGAGTATTTCAAATAATGAACACGCTTATTCTCGGGCTTTGTTTTTTTTTGGGGGGGGGAGGGTCACACCAGGGGGTGCTCAGGGCTTATTTCTGGTTCTGCACTCAAAGATCATTCCTGGCAGTGCTCAGGGGACAGTGTGAGGTGCTGGCCCCTATATTTACAATCTCATCCAAAAGTGTAACTGCCTCTTTTGATGGTAAGAAATGAAGCTTTTCGGGACGAATTGAAGAATGGGGTGACAGCCCCAGCAGAGCCGTCCCAGAGGGCTGGGGGTACCAGCATCGCATGAGGGAGCCTTGGGTTGAATCCCTGGCTCTTCATAGCTTCCTGGCGTCACCAGGAGTGCACCCCCACCTGAAGCAGAATGGAATGATCAAGTTGGGTGGCTTGCCATTACAGTGGTACTGATGAATATGAAGAAGGAAATGTAAAATTGACATATAGGTGAAGACCGTAGCACTGCACTTTCCTCTTGCATCGGTAACGTCTCCATTGTGAGACTTCTTGTTACCGCTTTTGGCATATCGGATACGCACGCGGCTGGGAGCTTGCCAGGCTCTGCCATGTGGGCAGGATACTCCAGTGGCTTGCCGGCCTCTCGGAGAGGGACGGAGGAATTGAATCTGCGTGCAAGGCAAACGCCCTGCCCGCTGTGCTATCGCTCCAGCCCCCGTGGAGGCTACAGTGCAAAAAATGTTTAAGAATATTTTGCCAATTAGATGTTGGAATTTTTTCAGGTCTTTCAGCCAAGTCCTACGTCCTCATTATCTCCTGCTCTTTTGGTTTCTCGTGTCCAACGTTTGCAGTCAGAACCAAAACAGTGAAGATGACTTCCCATACTGATTTTGGTGATTTTTGGTTTTTTGGTTTGTTCCCCCCCCCCCACTCCAGGGAGGGGGTGGTCATGGGGGGAGGGAGGGTTTGCTCAGTATCCACACACTCCATCCTGCAAAAGCTCTCAGATGACAAGGGAAGGCCATGTACATAGCTGTGTGAAAAGAGATTGCTTCGTGAGCTAATGGTTCCTATATGCAAAAGGGTAAGATGAGAGCTTTGTACAGATGTAAATAGATAAAGATTAAGTCACATAATACATTAACTCTTCTTTAAAATGTGCTGTTTCGGGGTTGGAGCGATAGCACAGCGGGTAGGGCGTTTGCCTTGCACGCGGCCGACCCGGCCTCGATTCCCAGCATCCCATATGGTCCCCCGAGCTCCGCCAGGAGTGATTCCTGAGTGCAAAGCCAGGAGTAACCCCTGTGCATCGCCGGGTGTGACCCAAAAAGCAAAAAAAAAAAATGTGCTGTTTGCAGACCTAATATCAGTGAGTACAGCCTGCCATGGCTGTGTTCCCATAGATTGTTAGAGACAGCTAAACCCTTCGACTACGCACTGAATATCAGGGCTTTGCACAAAAGCCCTTCTAACTCAGAGAAGCCTTTTCGAATCCATTTACAACATACTTAAGGTCCTATTTTCCCTGAACAAGCGCTTATGTGATACAACTCTGTTTTCCTTGCTTGTTTTTTCAAATGGAGAAATATCCTAATTTTGCAGTTTGGACCCGAGGCTGAAAGTTTGCATCTGAAGACCCGCTTATGGGCTCTGGGGGCAGGTGGGGGGCCGGGGGACAGAGCCCCATCCTGAAAGGTAGCCGAGGTCGTGAGCGACCAGTGCCGGGGAGGATGGCAGTTGTCAGATGCCAGAATCAGGGGACACAGGCAGGTCGCCAGCATGTCACCACCGTCACCAGTCACGTGATCTCACACATGCTACCCCCAACCCCATGTGGGACCCATGCCTTGTGTCATGCATCCCGGCCCCTGTCTGTTCACGCCTCCTTGTTTCGTGACGCGATTTCATTCCACCCCAAACGTATCCTGAAAGAAAGCTTCACGTTCTCTTTCCTTTTTTTTTAAGCTTCACGTTTTCTAAGATGATAGATTATGTTTTCACTGTGTTTCTTAGCTGACGAACATTTCCTGATGTGACTCGTGGCTTCCTGTCAGTGATCAGGGCTGGGGATGGCCATGGTGGAGCCAGGGAGAATTACAGAGGATGAGAGGGGGCAGAGACCAAGTCTTGTGCGTGCTTTTGAGTTTGCATCAATCTCTTAATGTCTCTTCATAATACTTTTATAGTACATTAAGCCTCTTGTCTACATATTTGGAGAGACTATGACTTTACTAGCAGAGAAATACAATATATCTTGTCTACTGGACTGTAAGATATCACGATCACGACCATAAGATATATGTATGAAAAAAATTAGTTCCATTTGGTCTTCTAGTATATTAAAGTGCTAGCTGATGTTGTTTTTGACCTGTTTTTGCAAGGAAAAGAAAAAAAGGTTAACTACAGACCATTGTTTCTAATAAGCAGAGAGATCTATTTTAGTAGTAAACGAAGGTTTAGTTGTGAGCTTCAGATTTTGTGAACTCCAGATGTTGTGCAGTGTTTATTTTTTTTTTAGAGACAACTAAAAAAAAGGGGCTGGAGAGATAGCACAGTGGGTAGGGCGTTTGCCTTGCAAGCGGCCGACCCGGGTTCGATTCCCAGCATCCCACATGGTCCCCCGAGCACCGCCAGGAGTAATTCCTGAGTGCAGAGCCAGGAGTAACCCCTGTGTGTCGCTGGGTGTGACCCAAAAAGCAAAAAAAAAAAAAAAAAAAAGGCAACTAAAAAAAATCCAAGGAATATGTACATTGGAGCTGTAGTTGGTAGCTCTCAATATTAGAAAGAGATTGTTCTAACAAACCTTTTTGCTGTTTATCCTGTACGTAATAAAGTCCTTTCGAGATCCTATGTGGAAAGAGGAGAAGCAACTGAATCTTCCCCATGTTCTCATCGGCGGCGCTTTCTTGTGTAATGTCAACTGTGCCATGTTATTAAAAAATGTGAGCCAAGAAAAAAAAGGGAATATTTTGCCAAAATTAGTTTGGATTTAGGGGCTGGAGCTGTAGGATGGCTGGTAGGGCATTTGCCTTGCATGCGGCCAACCCAGGGTCCCGTATGATCCCAGGGCACTGCCAGGAGTAATTCCTGAGTGCAGAGCCAGGAGTAACCCCTGAGCATCACCTGTGTGGCCCGAGAAAATTCAGAAGGAGGAACAACAAAATATTTTGGATTTTGGTGCCAGAGATACCAGCCGACTGCAGCGGCTTACAAATTGTCCTGTTTTTCCGTCACACCCAGCTCCTGGCCCTGGGCTCTATCTCTCCTGCCAGTGCACCGTGCGTATGTGATGTTGGGATCAACCCCAGCCTGGGTCAGTCGTTTCCAAGCCAAACTTGCTCTGGCCCCCTCACCTTGTGTATGTTTTAGAAGTACTGTAGACCTGAGTATTCATATCCTCGTGTAACAGTATTTCTACCCACGTTCCTTTCAAAGGGATGAAATGCTGTTTGGGGGACATTCTTGGTTTTTTGTTTGCTTGGGGTTTTTGCCTCCCAAGCAGTACTCGGGCTCGGGGCCACTCCTTAAACACGGGGCCCCGTGTTTCATTCTTGGGCCTGGGCTGGGGTCAGCAGGGCCACGCCTGGGCATGCTTGAGGCTCTGCAGCATCGCTCATGGTTGAACTAAGGGTCTTCATGGCTTTGGTTTGGGGGGCCACGCCCAGTGGTGCTCAGGCTTACTCCTGGTTCTGCACTCGGGGGTCACATGAGTGGTGGAGATTGAGCCAGGCTCGGCTGTGAGTAGGGCCTCGACTCCTGGACTGTCGCTCTGGCATTGAACTTGTTTCATGCACAGGCCAATTTCTAAGCCTCGAAAGGCGGGAACCTGTGACACACATCCCTAAAGTTGGGCGTTTTGAAGCAGTAAAGTGAGGGAGCTGGCCTGGCACCTCCTAACCCAGGTTTGGTCTCCGCCACGTGTCCTCCTGAGCATCACCGGGCTGAGCACGGAGGCCTTGGGCAGGGCGTCAGTGGCCCGAGCAGCACTGCAGCCTTGGACCTGCACTGCCAGCCTGATTGCTTCTTAAACTCCGTTTCAGAGGGGGGAAGGAAGCGTTCCACAACTGTGAAGGCACCCGCAGCGTTCCCAGATGCTGGGTTACTACAGATGAATAGAAAGGCAGTAACCAAGGCCGTCCGGTGAGGGCCTACCTCGCAGGACGGGAGGTGACACAGGGGCCAAGGCACTTGTCCCACATGTGTCTCTAGCAGTTGCAACCCTGGTTCAAATCCGGGGCCGCGTATGGTTCCTTGACTACAGAGCCCCTGAACATGGCCTGGTGTGGCCCCACAAGCATGGTCACGGTCACGGTCCTCCCGTTGTTCATCGATTTGCTCGAGCGGGCCCAGTAACGTCTCCATTGGAGACTTTGTTGTTACTGTGTCTGGCATATCGAATACGTCACGGGGAGCTTGCCAGGCTCTGCGGTGTGGGCGAGATACTCTCGGTAGCTTGCCGGGCTCTCCGAGAGGGGCGGAGGAATCGAACTTGGGTCGGCCCCACAAGCAAAAAAGAAAAAATATCTGACACATGTTCAAGTACAAGAGGTCCTCTGAACCCTTGTTACAGGTAGTTTTCCTCGATTTGAATTCTAGCTTCCTGCAAACTTGTGTTCCTATGCATAAAGATGTCTCTGGTGGACTTGGGGAAGAGGTTGCTAGAAGCGGCGAGAAAAGGCCAAGACGATGAAGTAAGAACATTGATGGCGAATGGTGCCCCTTTTACCACAGACTGGGTAAGCTGTCTTCCGTTACTGCCAGCTTGTTTTGTTACAACTTTTCTTTGCTCTGTTTTTGTACCACGATCAGTGGTACTCAGGATGACTCCCTGCTTAGTGCTCAGGGATCCCTCAGCTTCTCCCGGGGGTTCTCAGAGGGACTGGGGAGAGAATCAGTGCTGCGAGGAATCCAGGCTTCCTGCACTCAGCCTGCTAAGCAATCACGTCTTCCTCCAGCTGTTTTCTTTGTGTGTGTGTGTGTGTGTGTGTGTGTGTGTGTGTGTGTGTGTGTGTGAGATTTGCGCCACATCAGCAGTGCTCTGGCTTATTCCAGGCTCTGCGCTCAGGGTTCACTTCTGGTGGGACTTGGGAACCAGATGGGGTGCTGGAGTTTGAACCTGGGTGGACTGTGTGCAAGGCAGATGCCCTGTTCACTGTGTGCAAGGCAGATGCCCTGTTCACTGTGTGCAAGGCAGATGCCCTGTTCACTGTACTATCACTCTGGTCTGATGCAAACATTTTCTTTAGGGCTAAGCGGGATTTTCTTTTTCCTTTCTCCCCCTGCACCCTCCTTTTCCTTGGCCCATACCCAGCGATACTCGGGGCTTACACCTGGTTCTGCACTCAGGAATTACTCCTGGTGGTGCACGGGGGGACCATATAGGGGGCCGGGGATCGGTCCTAGATCAGTGCATGCAAAGCAAGTGACCTCCCTTCTGTACTGTTCTTTTTTGCTTGTTGTTTCTTGGATCAACACCTACAGGAATTACTCCTGGCGGTGCTCGAGGGACCGCATGGGATGCTGGAGATTGAACCCGTGTCAGCCACGTGCAAGCCAGCTGTGCTCTTGCTTCAGCCCCCAACCCATCCTCTTGATTGTTCCTCGTTCCCTTCAGCCCCATTCTCCCTAAATGCTTGCTTGCTTGCTTGCTCTCTTTCTTTCTTTCATCACATCTGGTGATAATCGGGGGTTATTCCTGGCTCTGCACTCAGGAATTACTCCTCGTGGTGCCCGGGGGACCATATGGCATGCCAGGGATCCAACCTGTGTCAGCCGCAGTCAAGGCAAACGCCCTATACCGGCTGTACTATCACTCAGGCTCATCTCTACAAGTTTTCTTTTTTTGTTTTTGGGCCATACCTAACAGTACTTAGGACTCAACCCAGACTGTGCTCAGGGCCACTCATAGAGGTGCTCCAGACAGTCTGGGGGGCCAGAGATTGAACCTGGGTTGGTCTGTGCGAGGCCAGTGCCCTCTCACTTCAGCACCATACAGGCTTTATTTTCTTTGTCTCATCTGATTTTTTTTTTTTCTTTCAGCGATCCAAGTAAGAGTCTCCTGCGTACTCATAGGGTGTAATTGTTAGGTGTAATATTCATGTGACTTTCTTTTTTTGGCTTTTTGGGTCACATCTGGCAATGCCCAGGGCGTTCTCCTGGCTCTGCACTGGGAAATCACTTCTGGCGGTAGCTCAGAGGACCATATGGGATGCTCGGGATCGAACCCGGGTCAGCCACACTCAAGGCAAACGCCCTCCCTGCTGTACTATCACTCCAGCCCCTACTTGTGACTTTCTGTAATAAATTTTAGAGCATTTTCTGGAGGTCTACTTCTCACTGGCTTGGACGTCTATAATTAGCTAGAAATTAAACAAGAATCAGTGTAAGAGAAGGATGTTTCTAAACTATTAACTCTTTGGGACTGAAGCAGTCGGACAGCAATCAGGGTGCTTGCCTCGCACATAGCCACCCTGGATCAATCCCTGGCACCCCACATGGTCCCCCCAGAACCTCCAGGAGTGATCCCTGAGTACCGGGGATAAGCCCTGAGCACAGCCAGGTGTGGGCCAAAGACCAAAAATAAATAAATACACTATCAACTTTTTATTTCCTTTTCTCCAAAATGGCCTGGCTATGGGGCCGGAGAGATAGTACGGTGGGTGGGGTGCTTGCCTTGCGTGCTGCTAATCTGTGTTCAGTCCCTGGCACCCCAGATGCTCCCCGCAATGTCTCTAGTTGTGATCGCTGAATGCAGAACCAGGAGTAAGCCCTGAGCACAGCCAGGTGTGGCCCCAAAACTAAAACAAATAAAATGTCTTGATTTATAAAGAATAGAGTAGCTACTTCGTACCTTTGCCTCTGTTGAAAAATGAAAGAGGAAAGTGTCATTTAGTGATGCCCGATGACCATCTTAGCGCATAGCTTCAGAAGCTCTTTGTTGAGGATCTGAAGTAGGCTTGCTTACAATTTACACATTTTGTAAGTGTTGCCTAATTATACCAGTCAGTAATTGTCCTTTATTCTAGCATGATTAATTCACAACTTTAGAGGCCAGCAGGTTCTTAGCACTTCAGAATGAAGGAGGAAAAGGAAACCCATGAGATTTGCATTTCTATAAATAGATCTGAAAAGAGCGATGTGAATTAAATCCAGTCAGGCAGAGAGCTGCACAGATGAAGCAGAGAATAAATGAAATCTGTATAGGCTTAAAACCAGGATCATGATGCAAGGAGAAGAATGGCTTCTGGCCAGCATGAGGGCTCCAGGTAACGCTCCCTGCTTCACTTACTCTGATGTCACACATGCTGACTGGGGCCGTGGACACCATGTTGGCAGTAGCAAGTTTATGTTGTCTTGTTATGCCAACACTCTGCAGGGTCTGTGTTTAGCTACGTCACGTCTCTGGTCTTTTTTTTGGTTTTGTTTTCTGGGACACAACCAGCAGTGCTCAAGGGCTACTCCTGGCTCTGCACTAAGGAGTTCCTCTTGGTGGTGCTTGGGGGGGTGGGGACATACGGGATTCTAGAGATCACATTCGGGTTGGAGTGAAACTGGGTCAAATCAGACCCAGGCTGGACACGTGCAAGGCAAGCGTCCCACATCTCTGACCTTTTTTGTTTTGTTTTAGGGCCATCCCGGGTAATGGTCAAGGGTTACTCCTGACTCTGTACTCAGGAATTACTCCTGGCGGTGCTCAGGGGACCTTAGAGGATGCTGTTAAACCTAGTTGGTCACATACAAGGCAAACGCCTTCCCACTTTCCCACTGCTCCTGCCCTTGGCTCTGGCCTTCTAAGTCATTTGGAACATACTTGGCCTTTCCCTTTACACGTGACTCAGAATGCGTCTCTGTTGTATTCTAGCTTATTAGTTTGGGGACTACATCTAGTGGAACTTGGGTCCTTCTCCCAGATCTGTGTTTGTAGTCACTCCCAGTGGTCCTGGGCACGTGGCATGAGAAGCGTATACTTAGCCCATTGAGTTCGCTCGGGCTCTTTCTTATCTGACCCATTTTTCCACTTTCCTCCAAGCCCTGCTTAAAATCACGTACTTTTACTTATTAATCTTGTTTTTGAAACACACCTGGCAGTGCTCAGGGCTTACTCTTGGCTCTGTGCTCAGAAATCACTCCTGGCCAGGCGTAGGAAACTGTATGGGGTGCTGGGTATCAAATCTGGTTTGCCACATGCAAGGCAAATAAGTGCCTTATCTGCTGTACTATCTCAGGGCCCAAATAATTTACATTAGAAAAATCTTCCTTGCTAGGGGCGGAAGTGATAGTACAGCAGCTAAGACATTTGCTTTGCACCCTGCCGACCTGGGTTCGATCCCTGGCATCCCATACGGCCCCCTCCATATGATCATTGTTGTTGCCAGCAGTGATCCCCAAACACAGAACCAGGAGAAAACCCTGAACTGCTGGGTGTTAATTCCCCTCCCCCCCAAAAAAGAAATTCTTGCTTGATAAATCCATAAGACTTAAACCCATTATACTTAGTTAATTGTCGATCGTGTTATTCACTCATTAGAATATCACTGCTATTATTATGACTTTTTTTGCCACACAATGGTTCTTATGAGCTGCTCCAACTCTGTGCCAGGGGCCACTCCTGGTCATGTGTGGGTACCATGAAGTGGCAGAGACTGAACCCACGTGCAAAGCGCACCAGACCTTTGACTGTCTCCTCGATGCACTGCATATATTTTTTGTTTCATTTTGTGTGGGGCCACGTCCTTTAGTGCTCGCAGGCTGTTTCTGGCTCTGCTCATGAGTGACCCCTGGCAGTGCTTGGGTGACTATAAGCAGTGATAGTTGGCCAAACTGGAGTTGGCCACATGCAAAGCAAGTGCCTTACTTCCTGTACTCTTTCCAGTCTCTCATGTAATTTTTGTATTATGTAATTTTTTCAGTTCTCGCTCTCCAACAGGATTATTGAAGACAGGGGCCCTAGAACTTACCTCTGTTCGTGGCTCTTTCTCCAGTAATAATTTAAGATATTCAATGATAATTATTTTCCCATAGCTTGGAACATCACCTCTGCACCTTGCAGCCCAGTATGGTCATTATTCCACGGCGGAAGTGCTTCTGCGAGCAGGCGTCAGCAGAGATGCCCGGACCAAAGTGGACAGGACCCCTTTGCACATGGCCGCAGCCGATGGACACGTGCACATTGTGGAGCTGCTTGTCAGGGTAATTCGAGAGTGGCGTCTGCCTTCTGCTTCCTTCCTCACATGGGCAAGGAAACTGCCCGGGAAAGATGCAGGTTCTGACAGTTTGGGGCACCAAGTTGCATCTCCCAGGACTCATTGTTGCTACGAGAGTATTGGTTTTTAATCTTGTTGTTGTTGTTGCATTAATAAATGCAACAAAAATCTTATTTTTCTCCCCTTCCTCTCCCATCTGCTGTCATTTCCCAGTGTTGTCCAGGGTAGACCCATTTATCAAAGGTGTGATGTCAGTCAGCATTCACAGAACCTGAGAAATGTTTTTCCCCTGGATATTTCTTGACTGTAACGTAAAATTGAATATGCAGAATCTCGGTGGAAGTCTGTACTTGGTGATGTGCTTTTGCGTCTGTGCTACTTGAAGCAGTGTCTGAAAAAATGGCTTTTTTTTTTCCATGACAGAATGGTGCGGATGTGAATGCCAAGGACATGCTGAAGATGACAGCTTTGCACTGGGCCACGGAACACCACCACCGAGATGTTGTCGAGCTGCTCATCAAGTACGGAGCTGACGTGAATGCTTCCAGCAAGTTCGACAAATCCGCCTTTGACATAGCCCTGGAGAAGAACAATGCCGAGATTCTGGTCATCCTGCAGGTCTGGTTCTTTTTAATACCCCAGAGTGTACTTCAGTTGAATTTAAGTGGTTTTTACAGGAGCTGGGTCAAAACCGAACCTCCCCTGTCTTATCGAAGTAGCACTGCTATTAGGTCTCAGCCTGCTGGTTCATGGCATTCATTCTTGTTGCTGTTGTTTTCGTTCAGCAGTGCCTGGGCACTGTTGCTGCCTCTGTGCTCAGGAGTGAACCCTCTCTGGTCCCATTAGTGTCTTTTTTTTTTTTTAAAAAATCAGATTTCAGGACACAGGTAAACTCAAGGGTAGAGCACATGCCATGTGTGCAAACACATGCCAGGCCCTGAGTTCTGTCCCTGGCACTGCAGGAACTGCCCCCACCCCCAGGACTCCAGGTGTGGCCCTCAGTACATCGAGTACCACTGAGTGAGGTGCCTGTAATAGAATCCTATTAGGGCTGGAGAGATGGTACCGGGCAGGGCATTCGCCTTACCTGCAGCTGACTCCAGTCTGATCCTGGCGCCACATGTGTGTCCTGATCACCACCAGGACTGATCCATGAGCACTGCTGGGTATGGCCCAAACATGTCTCACCCCCCCAAAAAAAAAAAAAAAACAAAAAGAATACTAATGATACCAAGGAGATACTCACTGCTCCCCGTCAATACTACTGGGGCCGAGAAGATATTCACCGCTCCCTGTTAATGCTGATGAAACCAAGGAAATACTCACTGGTCCCTGTTAATACCACTGGGGGCAAAGAGATACTCACTGCTCCCATTAATACTGAGGGGGCTGAGGAAATACTTGTGCCTTGGTCTCCTGAGCACCGCAGGGAGTGAAAACCAAGAGTTATTCCAGCATTGCTGGGTATGACCCCTGAGCAAACAAAATGATAATACATATATATTTTTAAAGCCCAGAATTATTCAGTTATTCATGGTGATTGAAGAACAATGGTCTGGCCAGTAACTCTTTTTTCTTTTTTCTTTTTTCTTTTTTTTTCTTTTTGGGTCACACCCGGCAATGCTCAGGAGTTACTCCTGGCTCTGCACTTGGGAATCACTCCTGGCGGTGCTCGGGGGACCATATGGGATGCTGGGAATCGAACCCGGGTCGTCTGCGGGCAAGGCAACTGCCCTGCCCGCTATGCTATCGATCCAGCCCCTGGCTAGTAACTCTTAAGTAACATTTATTTGACCTCAGAATTTTTTTCCATCCATGATAATCTTTTATTTCTAGTTAAACTGGATTTGGGACAGTATGAAAAATCTTCTTGTTCGGGTCTTGAGCGATAGTACAGGAGGTAGGGCATTTGCCTGGTATGCGGCTGACCCGGGTGTGGTCCCTGACATCCCATATGGTCCCCTGAGCACTGCCAGGAGTAACCCCTGGACATCATTGGTTGTGGCCAATTCCCCGCCCCCGAAATAAAAATAGAAACCTCTTAATTTATATTTATTATTGATCGAGTCATACTGAGTCATAAGAAAACCAGCTCAGGGCCTGTTAACCACCTTGCACGCGGCCGACCCATCCTTGGCATCCCAGATGGTCTCCCCAGCCCTGCCAGGAGTCATTCCTTCCCTGAGTGCAGAGCCAGGAGTGGCCAAAAAGAAAAATGGAAACCACTTTAGAATAAAAAGCTAATTGATACCATTTCATCCATTAATTTTCTTTTAGCTCTTGGGCTAGATCCAGAAGTGTTCATAGGCGGGGTGTGTGGTGGCCACGTCTAGCAGTGTCCCGAGGCCCATGTGATGTCAGGGGTCAGATCTAGGGTCTCGGCATGCCAGGAGACACTCTAGCCCTTTGAGCTCTCTCCCACACGTCCGTATCTATTAACTTTGGGGGCACACCTGGCAGTGCTCAAGGCTTACTCTCGGCTTACTCAGGGATCACTCCTGCTGGGGCTCCAGTGACTATCTTTGGGAATTGAACCTGCGTCTGCCACGTGTAAGGCAAGTACTGTACCCACTGTACCATCTCTCCAGTCCTCCATTTCTTTCTTGTTTGAGTGGCAGGGGGCCATACCCAGTAGTACTCAGACCTTATTCCTGGCAGAGTTCATGGGATTTTGGGGGTACCAGGGCATCAAACTCAGGTCTGCTGTATGCACGGCAAGCACCCTACTGTGGTACTCTCAGTCAGGCTCGCCTCCATTTATTTCTTGAACTAGTATTTCTAAGATGGGGAATGCAAAGATTCCTCCAGGGACATTGCCCGTGGTCCAGAACCTAGGATAGTGCACTTGTCTCGCACACAGCCAACCTGGGTTGATGTGGTCCTCTGAGCCCAGCCAGGAGTGATGCCCGAGCAGAGCCAGGTGTAAGCACCGTAGGGTCTGGCCCAACCGACAGCCTCCTCCTCTCAAAAACGGCAGAACTCCACTCGAGCTGTCCTCACAGGTGACCCTGGCAGGTCTGCGGCGTCTCCACTCTTCCTCCCCTGCTTAGGTCACATCGTAACTGGCTTGTCTGCGGGCAGGAACCACTGTGGGTTCTCAGCCGAGCGGGCCGGTGACCGAATGCCGGGGCCCACGGCGCTGGCGCTGCCCAGACCCAGGGTAGTGCTGGGGCCTCCAGGGCTGCACCTCGCCGCGTGCCGGGGACTCACGGTGCTGGGGTCAGAGCTGACGCGGGCAGTGCTAGGCGGCGCCCTGGCGACCACGCTGTCTCCTACCCTGGAATTGGTTTTTAACTAGTGATGAGTTTGTAGAAAAGTGCTTCTGAAAGTAAAATAATAAATAGATGTTTGTGCTGAAATTGTACAGACGTCCCTGGATGCAAAAGCGTAGCATATGGAACTCGACTTTGAAAGCTGGCACTCATTTATTTGCTGGTAATATATTCTCTTAGGGATATCTTCAGTGGCAGAATGGAACACTGGAGCGCTCTGGGGAGCTCCACGCTCTGCAGGTCTTGGCAGGGGTGCTGAGTGCAGGTCGCCCAGCAGAGATTGGCAGGGCTGGGCTGGTCACGACACCCACCTCAGGTTTTGGTGGTTTTTTGGTTGGTTGGTTGGTTGGTTTGTTTTTCAGAGAACAAGATTCATACAGGGTAGGTGAATTTTCCAGAAGTTATTACAAATTATACACCTTTTTGCTTTTGTGAAATGAAATTAGCACCTTGGGAAAGTCGCCTAACATATCTGGTGGTCTATTCTGAAAATAAACACGGAAGAAATAAACCAAACCCGGAGCCTGAATGAAAACTCTGAGCTAGGACATTTTGTGCCAGGACCAGTTCCTCTTGACGGGGCACTGGGGTGTGGGGGTGGCTTTTCAGTAACTATTTAACTAACATTAATGAACATTCTGACTCTGACGCTCTGCATATGCTGGGCCCAGAATTCCATCCCTGAGTGCGGCTGGGATGTTCTGCTCTGCATCACAGGCCCCCCCCACCCCACCCCCGATCAAACGTCAGGCTGACCAAAGCCACGCTGAGGTAACTGGGAGAGGTTCCTGGACCCCACTCTTGGGACCTGAACCACCACTTAGGATGCCTCCCACAAAAAAAGTAAGCAAGTTAAGTGTTGTGAGTCTGAAAGAGTCTGCCTTGTTTTCTAGGAAGCAATGCAGAGTCAACTGAGTGCTCTCCCCAAGAGAGGCACCCCTGGACCTGTGGCCACCCCATTCATCATCACCTCAGGAGAAGTTGTCAGCCTGGCTGGCATCGTCTCCTCAGCCAGTACCAAAGCCACGCCAGGTACCACTCTGCTGACGTAGCGGCTTAAACAGCATTTCCCGAGACGGATATCTGTACCCTAACACCCACTCTCCCCCCCACCCCCCAGCCTCCCTTGCGCCCCTCCGCTGCCTGCCTCTTCGGCACACACTTTCTCTCCTCTTTTCTTTTTGGGCATCATGGTTCGCATTGCAGATACTGAAAGGTCATCACGTATATCCCTTTGCCTGCTTTCAATCCTCAGTTCTTGTGCAGAGTGACCATTTCTAACTGTTCCTGTCATCCTGGTCCCTTCCGTATCCTGACTGCCCTCCGCCCCCCACGCTTGTGGCAAGCTTCCAACCATTGGTCAGTCCTTCTGGCCCTGTTTTTCCTGGCCTTTGATATTCGTCTCATACTATTTTTATTTATTTTTTTATATTCCACAAATGAGTGCGGTCATGCTATATCTGTTCCTCTCCTCCTGACTCACGTGTTTTGTCTTTTGGCCATGTCTGGCATTGCTCCTGTCCATGTCCAGGCTTTGCACTCAAAAATCACTTATGGTGGGCTCGGGGGACCATATGGGATGCTGGGGATCACAGCTAGGCCGACTGTGTGCAAGGCAAATGTCCTCTCTGCTACACTGTCTCTCTGTCCCCTGACACCCACTCTTTCATCAGAATATTTCCCAAATAGGAGATTTAAAACAAAAGCAAATGCATTTATTCTTTCCGGGAAGAGGGAAGATCATCTAAAGGGATTATTAGTGAGTTTTTTGTGTTAAAAGTAGAATATTCTGGGGCTGGAGCGATACCACAGCGGGTAGGACATTGCCTTGCACGCGGCCCGACCCGGGTTCGACTCCCAGCATCCCATATGGTCCCCCGAGCACAGCCAGGAGTAATTCCTGAGTGCACGAACCAGGAGTAACCCCTGTGCATCGCCGGGTGTGACCCAAAAAGCAAAAATACAATAAAATAAAAATAAAAGTAGCATATTCTGCGGCTGGAGTGATGGTACAACGGGGAGGGTGCTTGTCTTACAAGAGCCAACAAGGCTCTGATTCCTGGCACCCCATAGAGTCCCCAGAGCCCTGCCAGGGGTGAGCTCTGAGAATTGCTGGGTGTGACCCAAAAACATAAAACTGATGTAAAATATTCTATAGATGACTGTTGGAGGATTATACGTATCCCCAAATGGAAGTCCAAAGGAACCTACAACAGCATTGCTAAGGAAAACAGCAGCAGCCTGAGTCTAAAGCAGGAGTAACAAAGCAGAATTGGCATGAGTGCAGCTTAGAGCTGTTAGAGCTGTCACTGTCCTCCCGTCGTTCATCGATTTGCTCGAGCAGGCCCAGTAACGTCGCCATCATGAGACTTGTTGTTACTGTATTTGGCACATCGAATACATCACAGGTAGCTTGCCAGGCTCTGCCGTGCGGGCGAGATCCTCTCCGTAGCATGCGGGGCTCTCCGAGAGGGGCGGAGGAATCGAACTCGGGTCGGCCGTGTTGGCTGCGTGCAAGGCAAACGCCCTACCGCTGTGCTATCGCTCCAGCCCACTGCTTAGAGCACCAATGAGAAAAGGGTATGTGGAGCCAGAGAAATGCCACAGGATGTCAGACGGTTTGGGGCCACACCTGGTGGTACTGTGCTACCTCTTGACCCCAAGACCTCTTGATCACAGGCAGTTGTCACTCCTCAGCACAGAGCCAGAAGTATGCTCTCAGCACCACCAGAACGAAAGAGGCACATGTGATTATGATTGACATGTAAAATTTGCGGGTAAAAGTCTTCATTTCGTTTTCTGCTGCACCTGGTGGTGCCGAGGCCACGCGGTGGGAGGGAGCAGACCTCTGCTGCGTGCTGAGCTACCCCGTCAGCCTCAGTTTATTGCTTTTGGTTTTGGGGAACTACACATGGTGGTGCTCTGGGACTTTTCCTGGCTCTGTGTTCAGGCATGATCTGTGACTCTGCTCAGGGATGTGGGATGCAGGACAGACAGATGCTTTACCCCTGTGCTGTCTCTTCAGCCCTCTGCTCTTGCAAACATATATAACACAAGAGCGGGGGCCAGAGAGATCTCTCACTAGACTGAACCCAGACTTTGCATGCAAAAGCCCTGGGTTCCATCCTCCACTCCCAGCACTGTATGATCCCCCAAACACTGCCAGGAACAACCCCCATTTCTGTTGGTATGGACCAGACACACACACAACACACACACACACACACACACACACACACACACACGCAGACAAGTATTTTTTTTTTTTTTTATTTTATTTTATTTTAAATTTATTTATTGAATCACTGTGGGAAAGGTTACAAAGCTTTCAGGTTTATGTATCAGTCATGCAAATATCAAACACATTTCCCTTTACCAATACTTATTTTTTACCATGAAGAACCCCAATAAAACCCCACCCCCCACCCCTCCCCGTCCCTGTGAAGCAGATGAATTCTAGTTAACACTCTATCTGCTTTGATTAGATTCATTGTTTCAATAAAAGATTCACCACTATTATTTAGAGTTTAACCCCCCCCCCCCAAATCAGACATGCTGAAAAAGCATTGTGAAGTGATTTGCTTTCTACGGCTGGGTTCAAGAATTAAATGTTGGTTTTGGATTTCTGCTCTTTTACCTATTGACCCTGGAAGTATTTCTACTGAAAGTCAGATAGTTAAGAAATTGGTTTCTGTGTTCTGGAGTCCTGGCCGTGCTGGAGAGCCGCTCGCGGGGGGCAACCAGTGGCCTCGGTAGGGCGTGAAGGGCGGACCGAAACGCCCCCCTTCCCATGAGGTTTTAGTCGCCCCCACACTCCCAGCTCATACCTGCTGTCCACAAGGCTCCCATGTGGCCGCCATCTTTCTTTCCAGAGAGGAGAGGGCGAATGGGGCAACACCCTTTCCCCTCCGGCAGACTTGATGGCCTGGATCAATGCATAGTCCGTTCACTTTTCTGCTCCAAGCTGCTGGGTTCTGCATTAAGTCCTTGTGCTTCTGGGGCCGTGGCCGTGCTGGAGAGCCGCTCGTGGGGGGCAACTGGTGACCTCGGTAGGGCGTGAAGGACGGACCAGAACGCCCCCCCTTCCCATGAGGTTTTAGTCGCCCCCACACCCCCGGCTCATACCTGCTGTCCACAAGGCTCCCATGTGGCCGCCATCTTTCTTTCCAGAGGGAGGAGGGCGGAAGGGAGCAACACCCTTTCCCCTCTGGGCAGAAATGATTGCCTGGATTAACGCATAGTCCTTTCACTTTTCTGCTCCAAGCTGCTGGGTTCTGCATTAGGTCGTTGTGCTTCTGGGGCTGTGGCCGTGCTGGAGAGCCGCTCGTGGGGGCAACTGGTGGCCTCGGTAGGGCGTGAAGGGCGGACCGAAACGCCCCCCTTCCCATGAGGTTTTAGTCGCCCCCACACTCCCGGCTCATACCTGCTGTCCACAAGGCTCCCATGTGGCCGCCATCTTTCTTTCCAGAGAGGAGAGGGCGAATGGGGCAACACCCTTTCCCCTCCGGCAGACTTGATGGCCTGGATCAATGCATAGTCCGTTCACTTTTCTGCTCCAAACTGCTGGGTTCTGCATTAAGCCCTTGTGCTTCTGGGGCTGTGGCCGTGCTGGAGAGCCGCTCGTGGGGGGCAACTGGTGACCTCGGTAGGGCGTGAAGGACGGACCGGAACGCCCCCCTTCCCATGAGGTTTTAGTCGCCCCCACACTCCCGGCTCATACCTGCTGTCCACAAGGCTCCCATGTGGCCGCCATCGTTCTTTCCAGAGAGGAGAGGGCGAATGGGGCAACACCCTTTCCCCTCCGGCAGACTTGATGGCCTGGATCAATGCATAGTCCGTTCACTTTTCTGCTCCAAGCTGCTGGGTTCTGCATTAAGTCCGTATTTTTTGAAAGTTTTTTTTTTTTTTTTTTTGCTTTTTGGGTCACACCCGGCGATGCTCAACAGTTCCTCCTGGCTCTGCACTCAGGAATTACTCCTGGCGGTGCTCAGGGGACCATATGGGATGCTGGGAATCGAAACGGGGTTGGCCGCGTGCAAGGCAAACACCCTACCCACTGTGCTATTATTACTCCAGCCCCGAAAGCTGTTGTTTTTAACCAAATATGTTTCTTTTTAAAAAGGAGCAAAGAAGCTCATTTTATTTTTTTGGTTTGGGGTCACACCTGGTGGTGCTTAAGGATTACTCCTCCCTCTTTGCTCAGGGATCACTGCTGGAGAGCTTGGGGAACTTTCTGGGTGCCAGGGATGGAATCTGGATTAACTGTGTACAAGGCAAGTGCCCTGCCTTCTTGTACTATTGCACCGGCCCCAGTAAACTTATTTTCTACATCTTCTTACAACATTTTTTTTTTTGTCTTTTTGGGTCACACCCAGCTGTGCTCAGGGGTTACTCCTGGCTCTGCACTCAGGAATTACTCCAGGTGGTGCTCGGGGGATCGAACGTGGGTTGGTCGCATGCAGGGCAAATGCCCTACCCGCTGTGCTATCACTCCAACCCCACAAATAATATTTTACAAGGAAAAATTTTTTTTGTCTTTGTTTTTGTTTTTTTGGTCACATCTGACTTTGGAAGAAAAAAAAAGAATACACATAGTATACATAGCATTTTGCCTTCAGGACAGCGTTCAAATATTGACTCCGGAACACTCAGTCTTAGGAAAGCTACTTCTATGGTTCATATTGACCTCGCTGTCCATTGTGACACCAGGGCAGAAGAAACAGATAGAGGATCCCATCCTGTGTGACTGGTTCCAGCCCTGCCCTGCCAGGCAAGGCCAGATGCTGACCTCCACCATACATAAATAAGACGAAACTGGACTAGCTCACACATCCTTTACACGGTGGCTATGAGGCTCGAAGGTTTCAGGCCCATTTATAGCAGGGCCTTACCAAAACCACTGTTGAAGGGACGCTTCTCAGTAGGGGGTAACTCTGTAATGCCCATAAGCGGGCAGTAGGGACCTTAATTTTATATTCCAACTGGCGTTTAAAGTCTGCTTTGTGCTTTGCTGGTAGCTGGATGATTTTTTT